ATTCGTACAAAGCTTAACAGTGCTCTCCAAAATACAAATGGCTAGCACAAAAATCCCCTGGATAAATAACTCCGCTTTCCCTCCAATTGATAGTCTGATAATTAGAGCAGTTCAAAAAGCGACTCGCTCAATCCAGAAAACTTTGAAACCCCCGCTTCGAATGACGCGCTCTTTGTGCATAGGAACTTGAATAGCGGCTCGTCTAGGAGCCTATTCTTCTACAACTCGGCCCACAAGCCCATCGATAGCTGCTGTAAGTATGCGTGTTCCCTTAGGACCCATCCAGTCCCCAGGTTGATTCCTCATACGGAAAGCTTCAGTAGCTCCTGCAATTACAACAGCCTTTGCTACTTCTTGATACGTGTAATCTTTTGTGGTTGTGTGCGTGTCGCCGTCCCAGGTCTCTGAGTCTGAACTATCAATAACTGTGACGGGTTGAGTCAATCACGGCAGTGGTTGGATCGACTTGAACCTTTTTTTTCCCCCCGGAAAAGGTATCTTCTGGGCGTCTGTATTCGAAAGGCGTCTCCTTTGGTCTGCTACGGCCTCTTTTATCTTCTGTCCTCTTCTTTCTCTTTATTCGCATTTCTTCTTTCTCCAACTCCGGATAGAATTTCTTTTCCTCTGGCCTAGTGAAAGAATCTTTTCCAATTTTTTTGGGGTAAACTTCGTTCACACGGACAGTCCCATAGCTCGAGTTGGAGCCAACTGATGCTGTGGAATATCGTGGAGATAGCGGTCGAGGCGGATTATATCTAGAACGCGGACGTCGATTGTTGGTAGGTTTGATTAAAGTTGCTTGACTTGACATTGGATTAGAATCTTCAAGTTCCGAATGATATGATTCGGTATAGGGTGGAGGAGGTATTCGACTTTTAGCCGGTACTGTTGGAACCTCCGCCGTGGTGACAGATTCTGACTTCTCCGCCTCTGTAGCAAATTCGTCAGAAAAGGCACTTGGCCACTGTGCGATATAGCTTTGTTGGTTTTGGACGGGTGTATTGTTTCCTGGCAGTTTCTCCTTGGCTTGACCACTATTCTGGCTGGATTTCTCGGGGTTGCTTGTGAATCTTCGAGATCTTTGGACCTGGATTGGAGGTAAGTGACCGGAAATATCGCTACCAGCCTGATTTTTGACGGGTGGTTGATTTGAAGTAGTTTGTGGTGACGGCGGTCGTGAGTGAACGGAATCTGCGCTGATTTCGGACTCGGATTTAACAGAATCTCCCAGAATTTGTTCTTGAACAACAGGCCCTACATCCGAATACTGGCTTGTTTGCGCCTCAGGATCTTCCCGATCATTATTGCTAGTTCCGTTTGACTCCTGCTGGTTCGGCTCTTCAGTCACCGAATTCTCGTCATCCTTTTCAGAAAGGGCAGGCACATTGTCAGGCCTCGGTAGGGATGTATTTGTGAGACGGAAACTGGCATTCATCCACCAAGGAGGCTGATCATTAGCTGACTGAATGGCCGCCTCATCCAAAATTCCACTCTGGTCCAATCTCATCATGTATGCCTGCATGACATCCATATGTCGATCGAGAGAACCGCTGCGGAAACCCAGAGAAATCATCTCGGTGCGGAAGCGTCTCCACAAGTTCTTGTCATCACCTCCATATGTGGATAATGACAGTTGAGAATCAAGGGCGAACACAGACCCAAGCCGTTGCGCAACCCGCGCGTGGGTGGCAATATCCAAGATGGCTTTCCTCATATCTTCGAATCCGTCCATGCGATCCAGTACTCTGTTGAATCCCACCTCGACTCTGTTGTCCACTTTCTCGACGGCAGCAAGCTGCAAAGAATCCAAGAAGACAGCTAACATCGAGGTGTAGGTGACAATCTTTGCACGGTATTTACCCAATTCTTCCAGCTCTGCGCCAAACTGAATTCGATGCCAAAATCTCCTCGGGCGACTGCCTTCGACTCCATCTTGCAGACTGCTATACTTTGCGAAAGGGCGGTCAAGGTTGTCCAGAACTCCACGGCACCCGTCGGAAATAAGTATCAGGTTGGAGGCGGCTGTCGAATTCTCGTGGGCTAGACTCGAGCCCGGTCTCGTTGCCTCTTTGTGGACAGACTTCAGGACACCATGCAGACTTCGAACTGCAGTCGCAATTTCCAGATATTCACCACCTGCTTCCTTGCAGTTGCGATAGGTTTGTCGGGCAATTTGAGCAAGTAGGACAATATCGCTAATCGAGACGCCGAAGGACACGTTGAGGTCTTTGAATTGGATATGTAAGCATCTGATGCATACGGAGTAAGGTAGTTGGGATTGGAATCCCTTATATGTGACGGCATTTGCTCAGCTACCTAGCACATTATTAACACCTGTTTGGGGAGGCGCAGTGCCCCGCCAACATGTTGGTGAAGCAATGTGGAACAGTCAGATACTCTACAGTAGGCACTTGTAACAGCGCAGCACAAGCTACTATAGGGCTGGGGCGGGGGCTGGAGCGTGCACAGCCTGCAATCCCCAATCATCACAAGATAAACTCTCTCTCGGTTTCCTTATCGCAAATTTGTCAACCCCATATTGATTAGATTTCGATCTTCGCTGGGAGGTTTTTAAAAACTGAATATAGAAAGTGTACAGTAGGTTAAACAGCCGACAAAGTGCCCTCAGGCTTACGGTTGGTAAGAGGAGTTGTGCTAGACACTGATTCCGACCTCTCGCCCTCTGAAGAAATCACTAAGAGCCCTGCTGCGGTAATAGTGGTCTGTACCATCTCGCTAGGCTCGTCATTCCACAAAGAGCCCCCAACTGTTGGTGCCGCCTTTGCTACATTACTTCGCGGCACATTTCTCATGACTTGGCGAGTCGAAGACGGCGTTTTGCCCATGACCTGCCTCACCAACGGCTTCAACATCGGTATAGAGGCACATATTATAACCAGACTAGTCTCGAGCGTGGTCCAGATGGCAAATGAGAATGAATCCCACTGCGCAAGTTTTGGATTGAGGAATTGATAGGCTACAGAGATGCGCGTCAAAGATGCGCAAGCGTCGAAGAGACCGAGTGTCAGGACGAAGACAAGCCCACACTTCTGCCGCATGGGCAAAGTCATCTTGATCAAGTGGGGCACAACTAAGGCGATAAGCCATAGATCACTTGTGGTGTGAAGGATCGCCGAGGCGGTCATGATGGGGTAGTACTGAAAGCATTGTCCCACTTCAATATCAAACTCGTAGTGGCGAGTCTGAGGATTGCAAACGAAGAAAGACATCGGCAGAAGAACCGCGCCGTACAGACAGACCAAGCCCACTGTGGACCAGATGAAGATCCTTTGCAGATCGAGCTTCAGAATCCGCAGGTAGAAGAAGAGGATGCTGAGTTTGGTGAAAATGAGGCATAGTTGATAGGTAAATATTGTGCCAAAGGAGACTTGAATTGCGATGGCTTGAAACCTCGATGGGATATCTTTGTGCTTGTGGCCAAGGCCGTATTGCGTTTCGACTCCAACGAGGGCGATGACTGCAATGGAGCAAAGCCATGCCATGAGTATGAAGCCATCATCCCAGCCCCAGTTCCTGATCAAGAAGCGGGGGTAGAAGCGGCCAAGCACAATGAAGCTGGATACGATTCCAGGAATGATTATTCCCGCCAAGATATCTGGAACATTTGAGTGTCCTCGAAGCTGTAGAGACAAATTAGCAGATAACATCAGCTGGAAGGGGAGAAGCGACGTACAGATTGGGGATACACTGTCATGGTTGTACGTACGGGCTTTGAATTATCAAATCCTGTTTTGACGACCGAAGCGGTGAAAGGAGTGATGGAGAGTCCTGGGTATTCAACTTAGAATTTTCCTATGGAAGCAGCGAGTTTTATGCTCATCTGCTCCCAAACCCCCATTACTTCCGCATCTTTGTGTACTACACATCTAGTAAAGTAAAGGGTGTAAGCAGCTGAGACCATGCCATATCGTGAACCCTATCATCTAAGTTTTAAACATTATCTGGGGCGGTCCTTTCCGCAGCTGGATGGTAAGATTACAATTGCAAGCCTGTCAGCAACACCATATATAGATGTTAATAAGAAAGGCAGACCCCAACATCCAACGCCCATCTTGCCACAAATAGCAACTTATAATATAAAAGTTATCATGCTGTGCGTGCAAATTTTGCGGTCAATGTTCAGCTGTTGCAATTGGTCTATTGAAGGGTTCATAATCCCGTGTGTCTTTGTCAGCTTACGAGATGCTGCAGTCGCAATGCTTGAAAGCTATCAATGTGCATGTGTAATATAAGTAGGGAATCGAAAATTTGGCAGTGGGTTATCTTTAGCCTTGGGGGTCATCGTAGAAGGGGTATAACGGGATGCCAACGGTTCAAAAGAATCGTGAAGGATGGGATCATTGATCGGCTAAAATACCTCACTTGAATCTATATCTAACAATAATGCATTGACGCTAGGCTGTGAAAGAGCATTTTAACTTTTAAATTGTGTCGCTGATAACTTACTGAGGCCAGTAAAAGGCGCGAAGTTGCACAGTTCGAGGAGACATTTGCCGGTCGCTGCTGACAATAGTAGTAGAACCTTGGCCTTTGAAAATATCAAAACTACAGGGAATTTGTCCCTTGAATTCAAGGTTCCTGTAGTCGCTATAGAGACGAGCTCGGTTATCAAAAAGGGGGAAATTAAATATACCCCTTTCTGCTCATGATACCTACCCTACCAAAAAATAATTCGTACATCCCGCTGTCTCAACCGATAGTCCAGATCCGTGTTCTGGAACGAACTGCGTTATGCCATTAGTCCATAGCCAACCTCTTCATGAAATCACCAATTGAAGGAAGGGCTCAGAGGATGTAAGACGGCTTGGAGAGAATAGAAGGAAGGAAGGAGGTTTTTATATGCTGCATGTATCTGGTCTATCCTAATTCTATCCCAAAATTCATCCCAAAGTCTATTCCCAAAACGCCATTGAATCTATGCAAGGTATAACCCGTACGTATTCCATCTATCCCAATGCACGCGACCAACGCCCTCTAATCTACGCCCCAACTCCCACCTTTCCTACCACCGCACCCCCAGCCACAACATCCTCCTCCCCAGCATCCACGCCCGCCACCCTCACCCTCGCCGCCGCCTCCTCCATTTCAGCGGTCCGATTCAAATAACTAAGATAAGTCTGCCACCCAATCGCAATGAACCCCGCAAACACACTCCTATACTGCGCCTCTATAAACGTAAAATTAAACGCCGTGACCGCGGGCCACACTTTCAGGCTGTTGAGCATAGACGGTGGTACGGTTCTCTTGATGCGTTCCCAGACTTCAGGCAGCGAGTCGCCGCTTAGGAGGGCTTGGGCGCCGAAGAAGTAGGAGTTGTTGATGGGGGTGAAGAGGGCTTGGTTGACGATGACTTTGGTGGCTAGGGAGAGGGCTTTCGAGGAGGGATAGTTGAAGCTGTTTCCGAGGAATAGGAACCTGTTGGAAGAAGAATAATATAGTAAGTCTTTGTTTGTCTATCTATGGGGGGGATATGGTTGGGTTTACTTAGGTAAAATCGAGTTTATATAAAGTATATGTGTTTACTTACCATTTATAACTTGGTATAGCAGACCCCGCACCAATAAGTATCGCTCGCAGCGATCTGGCGGGCTTATATTCCTCGTCGGTGATACTCTGCGCGGACAAGTCGCCTAGGAAAAACACAACCAACGCGCTCCAGAACTGCGTCGTTAGAGGACGTTTCCTCTGACTCCTGCCGTATGCTTCAAAGCCTCTTGACAATGGACCTAGTCGCTGCCATAATGGCCGAGATAGTGGTGGCAGAGGCGCGATGGTGTTTGGGACGGGAATGGATGTTGCATTGGCGGGGTCCGGTTTTGGTGGTCCGGTACTTGGAGCTTTTGTTTGGTTGTATCTTTTGGACTGTCTGATTGGATTTGGTAGATGTGACCGGCGCACAAGGACTCGACTAGCCGTCTTGGTCGCGATAATAGATACAGCCATTTAGGGATAATGTTATGGAAGGCGCATCTTTGTTTATTTGTTCTTGAGGTTCGACTTAAGAGGAAGCTTTAGAGTGAGATTTATTCAGGGTCCAAGGCTAGCGTCACGGGCCCACGTCACACTCCGCTTTCGGTTATAAATACAAGCCGAGGCGGGCCGTCAACTCCCGTGTTATTTCGTACTATATGGTATGGGTCGTATCTCCGAGAACTATTCCTGTCGCTCATCTAATTTTAGAAGAAGATATACTTCGTGCACTTCTTGAAAGTATTATGACTATAGATTCATTAAACGGTACCAAGATTTGAATAGTCTTATATTTAAGAAGCGTAAGAAAATATTATGAGGGATTTCAAATAAGTATGAGTATGCTATGCATATATTGTTACCTCCTAAGAGAGTTACATTCCCACGCCTTCCTCGCTCATAGCTTCTTTACTGCGCTCGATCTGAGTGTTCACTCAACCGACGTTGAATATGTATATTTTCCCCTAATTACGTACGCTACGTGCCCTCCGTCTGACGAACTTTCTCGTTATGTTAGATAAAAATAGAGATAGAGATAGACTGAATTTTTGTTTATGGTCTTCAGCTTTTGATTTAAATAGTAGGAGACAACCTAGCCCTTCAGCCTTGATCACCAACTTCAGCCTCGACCATCTTCCACCTCGACTATCTTCCGCTTCCGCCTTGACCATCTTTCGCCTCAACCATCTCCGCCTCAACCATCTTCCGCCTCAGCCAGCTCCGCCTCAACCATCTTCCGCCTTAACCATCTTCCAAGATTTACAAACCCCTTCCCCTTATTGTCGCTGCAACCATGTTGGCCGATTTTTGGACAGTGGTGACGGATCTTCTGATGCACTTATTGATCCTCCTCATCCTTGGTTCCCTTGTCGTCTTGACCCTGACCTTGGTTCATCTGAATGGATTGAAACAATGCGTCCTCATAGACAGCGATATCTGCGATTTGCTAACTCTTTTCCTTCTCAGCTTCTGCGATTTCATTCTAGAAGACAGCGATTGCATCCTGGGATTCCTCGACTACTCTCCACGCATCAGCTTTCAGCTCCTGCAGCTTCTTCACAGATGTCTGTTCATCCAAAAGTTCCTTGACGCTATCCTCGAATATTGTGGCCCTGCTTTGTTTCTGTGGTATAATACTTGCTCCCACGACAGGATCATACTTCTGATTTCTTTCGTTTAATGTACTCCATTCGGAGGGCTCGGCGCTATCGCCACGAAGGTCGCTCATCATATGCATTCGACTTGATCTGGCGGTGCGACTCCGAACGATCGTAGAGGGAGGGGTTATGATGCTCCTTAACCATCTCCGCCTCGACTATCTTTAGCCCAGCCCAGCCCTGTCAGGGGCAATGGCGGGGGTAGAACAATTAACACCAGAGTTGAGGTTGGACAAAGAATAGTTGTGGTTCTTGGCAGATCGAGACGAGGTACTTGTGCCATTTGCAGTGTTCATAACGTCGTCTTCAAAGACGATGCTCGAGGAGGTGATGCAGTGCTTGTCGCTCCAGTTTCGATTCCTATTCCCAGGCTCCCAGCGCGAATGGTCCTGCCAGCCAGCGCTTGCTGGAAACATGGTACGTCTTCTGATGTCTCCTAGTTCCTGTGTCTTTTTAGCGATTTGACTACAAGGTGCTAAGCGGTGGAATGACGTGAATTCCATGGAGGGAAGGATGGAGTAGGAGTATATCGATCGATAGTTGCGTAAATATCCCTTATATCCTCTTCTGCCTTTTTTAGGCATGGGTCTTATTTGTTATTTCTCCAAGAGCTCGCTGTCCTCGCTGTCCTCGCTGTCCTCGCTGACACGCGGGGTCAGGGTTGCTGCAAGCACATCTCTTGGACAGCTCCTGACCTGTGAAGCGCGCGCACTCGCTCGATTCCAGTCCAGAAGCTAGTAGTGGCAATGGCTTGTCTTTCAGAACCCTTGGGTGCCGATGCATTTGAACCCCTCGGCTCCAATTCTACCGCTTCTCCAGATTCTGTAGTCCGATGAAGCTTTCGAATCTCGGTGGGTGCAGTCCTCTGATGCGTTTCCGCTCTTCGGTTGTGGACTCGTCAAGCTGAAGCGCTTCCGCAAAGGGGGGTTCCTCGAAACGATCTTTGTAGAGTCTGCGATATGTATTTAGAATTAGGCCGCCGGGAATCTTGCTCTAATAAACTTGAAACGAATTCCCATCGGCAATAGTCTTCCCAGCTTACGATCCCAACATCTCTCCTGGATAAAGACATTAACAACCATACCAAAGCTCGTTAAATAGTGCTGGGTGGGCGGTGGATATCATACACGACCCAACTTTCCGGAAAGATAAAGGGCCACGTGACCATGTTGGACTTATGCGTGTTGTAATGTGCGGTTGTAGAATGTGTCTCTGTTGCAGAAGGTGAAGTGTCAAGTATGCGACGAAATCAGGGTTCGAGTACCTGCTGACTAATCCAATATCAAACTCCTCACTTTTCTCTGTCAGATGATGACTCAAATCTGCTACCATCTGCTTCGTCAAGTCGGTTGCATCAGTCCGTTGAGCACCCTCATGCTCATCTTCATTCTCATCTCCGGATTCCCCATCTCCGGAATCCTCATCTCCGGATTCCTCGTCTCCAGATTCCTCAGTATCAAGCTTCAGTGAGCTTTCCGAACCCATTATGTATGTATCAATACAGTCCTACAAACAGGCAGGCTCAGCTAAAGTCAAAGCACTGCATCAACACAGCCCTTGTGGCAAAGTTTACTTCAAAGCCGAAATCAACCATGTGGTGATGGATGGTGCTTCTGCCAACATCGTCCTGCGCGATCTAGCGGCAGCCTATCATGGAACGCTTCCTGAGGGACTAGGACCGCTATATAGCAATTACATTGCGTATATTAAAAGTAATCCGGTGTTGTGTATTCGATGGTATAGGACATTGTGGGATTATGGAGGAATCTCGCGATGCTCAGGCTCCTTATGCTCGGGTTCGTCTGCCGTGTCTACTAGCATGCTGTCAAGTAGTTCGATGATATTAGTAATATCATTATCGTGCTCTGTATGGCGGCGCGCGGAATCGGCATCGATATCGATGGAGTGTTCTGAGGGCTCCATGACCACCCACCAAAGTTCTTGGAGGTTCTTGCATGCCTCTCTGATCTCATCAGCATACTTTTTTAGACGCTCGATTAATTCCTCAAGACCTAAGATCTTGTTCTTAAGTGCAGCTTCCTGCACCTTTGCGGTCTCCACGTCGAAAAGAAAGGACTGTGGAGTCCAATGGCTTGAGCTTCTCCCATATAGACAGAACGTGTTTGAATGGGCGTTCCTGCTCCTAACTTGCTCAACGGCGCTACATTCGTACACATAGAGGAACATGTGGTCTACTGGAACAGTTAGCTCTCTGGTCAGAACTCAAAATAAAGGGGCACGTACTCGCATATGGTCTCCATATTTTCTTCCGTTTGTAGGTGTCTTTGGACGTCATCCCTGTCCACCAAGCACACATCGTTGAGAGGCTTTGATAAGTTGGGGAAGGTGGATTGCGAAAGTGCATGTCCGGGGAATGTGTTTGCGCATATGTGAATGTAAAACGGACTTAAGCAGGGTTTGTCGAGCGGATCTTTGGATTCTGGAATAAGGCCTTTCAAGATTCTTGGGTGGGAAGATGGAGGAACATAAGTGTACTTGTGTTTGGTGGTGACGACCAGGGTGAAGAGAGAAAGAAGAGAGAATGGAAGGGAATAGGAGACATGAGAAATATAAATATGATAGAAATTGCACGCGAGAACATATCTTATGCAGGGGACGGCAAACGGGAGAAAATAAGGGAAGGGGCAAGTTGAAGCTGCCTGGAGTGCGCTGGCGCAGTTTCGGGAAAGGAACTCAAGCATCCGAGACATCAGACACAAAATCAATTATCCACGCTTTCCAGCATGTACACCTCACCCGCCGGACCTAAAACGGATACGACCTAACCTCATCCTCCTTCTCGACCTCCAGCCCCGCCGCCACCTGCTCCTCATGCTTCCTGTCCAAGTACTCCAACAGGACATCCTCATACATCTCCTTACCCTTGTACTTGCTAACATCGTCGCCCCAACTCCTAATCGCACTCGCCAGCCTCCCAGGCACGTAAGGCTCCTCGGCAATCTCAGTAATAGGGTGAAAGTACGTGCGGATCGTAAACACCACACCGCCACTCCGCGGCAAGCGGCGTAAAGTCTGACGTTCAGAGCGGAAGTAATGGTTTTCAATTGCCTTGTTTTTCTCCGCTGAGAACCAGCCCACGGTACCTTTCTCGCCGTCTTCGTCACCGATAGACGACGACCATGGAAGCGAATCGTCGACTTGGATGAAATAGTTGTTCTGATTGGCCCTTTAGTATGCATGGAGCCGAAATGTGGGAAAGAGAAATGCGCTTACACGTTGCACTGGCCCGTTTGGCTGGACGCGGCGGAAGAAATTCATCATTCCTTTTTCCAGTTTGGTTCTGTAGCCGGGCACGTCGGCTGAGGTGTGGATCTCGCTCAATGGCATCCCGAATTTATCTTCAAGTTTCCAGAAACCGGCGAGTAGAATTGCTCCAGCCAGTAAGTAGTACTGCCCATCCTCCTTTTCAAACATGATGGCTAGATCATCCTGAACCATGCGCGCGGCCATTTGCATTGGGTCTTCTGCCAGCGGCCGTTCCTTGATATTGAATGATTCACCGGTGAGCAAGTTGACCATGCCGACGGGAGTGCGTTGGTAGAGGGAGGGGTAGCGTTCTGGGAGGTAGGCGCAGAATTCTTCGACGAGTTCCACTGCGCCGTCGAAAGCTGAGGGGTCGGTGTAGCAACTTTTCGAACCACGCTCAATGATACGTCGGGATTTGTCGGCGTGGAATTTCATGTACTGGTTGTCAAGCTCTTTGCCGTGTTAGGACATGTCTCTTCCCGACGGGAAGGCAAGGAGTCACTCACCTATCCACTCATCCCATGCCATGTTGCGGAGTCCCATCGTGATATGATATTGTCCATGTCTAAAAGGGCGGTATGGATTTGGTTTCGTGGTGTGAACGTCCCAGTCTGGAGCTGCGCGTGCATATGGCCGTCTGAATTCAACGGGATCCCATACTGTCACGATATTAAAAATGATTCAAAGTTGGCATGAGTTGATACATACCTCCAGGTTTCCTTGTAGGCGCCTTGAAAGAAGTGCGTGCTGCCGGTTTCTCAAGGTCTGGCGTCGCGGCCCTGCTTTGAGCCGGTTTCTTCAGATATTTGGTGGTTCTGACGAGAAGCCAAGCAGTTGCGCATATAAACAAAGAGGCATAGAAGACGAGTTTCGGACTGCTGGTAATTCGCTCCATCACTGAGCTAGAGTTGACTTCGCTACTGAACTTCCGAGCCCACTGCTGGCATTTTTGCATTTGTTTATCCATTTTCACAGAAGATCTTGGGAAATCAGGTATGATGAAAAGCCCGCGACAGGATCTTGCGAAAAGAGATTAAGTAGAACATGGTTGGAATCGTCAAGAATGTATATAAATTGTTAATGGCTCAAGAAAGAGTCGTTACTCCATAGTTGGGATAGTGCCCCCGCCTTGAATGTGGGGACTGTGTTATCGGACCTTGGGGAAACTTTCTCCACATCCGGCTAAAGGTTACAGCGATCTTATCAACGGTGATAGAAGACCACATCAGGAGAATAATTCTCGAGTTCCGAGTAATGTGAATGCTAAAGAGTAAAAGTTGGCAATGTTTCAATTGGACAAGAGTACTTGTGACACCAAAGACGGCTGAACATGTGAGCTCAAATTACGATAAAAGTCAGGTGCACCGAAGCACTAGTGGCGCCTTTGGATTTGGTATTAAAGAAAGGAAACATTTCGAAACTCAACTTTGGAACATCTTTTTGTCCAAGTCGATGACATGAATATTGATATGTTTGTGTATGTTATTGCTTCGGTGGTGTTCGTCATTATGCAATGAGACAATGCTCTGCACGTGACTTCACCAAAAGCATCTTTCATCCAGCTTATTCTGTTTGATGAGAGAAAGTATACACGAATCATACAACTTGCAATTGAAAATTACGAACCACCTCTACCTCTTCCATCCTGTTGGCCTTGAGGGTTCCATTGATTTGGCGCACCTCCTTGTGCATGTCCAAAGAACGCTGGGTTAATGAAAGCACCGCTGTGCAAAGGTGCTTGAGGGGGCATAGTTGGCCACATGTTTGGCATATTTGGCATATTTGGCATATTTGTGAAGGGCTGCTGATATTGTGGAGGTGGGGGGAATGGCCATGCTGGGAGCTGTGGTTGATGAGGTGAGTACGCTGCATTATTATATCCAGTAGGGGGGACGCTGGGAGAAGTTTGAGCGGGTAGATGAAAGCCTCTTCCTTGTGGTTGAAATTGGGGCGTGAAGTTTTGACCTGGGCTGGGATTCGGGGGCGGTTGTGGATAATTTGGGCGACCCTGTGGAGGAAGAGAGTGGCCACTGCTGCCTCCCCGTCGGTCTTGATATCCCCCTCTGCCTCGCACTCTATCTCCACGTCCCCTATCTCCGCGACCCCTTCCTCTGTCGCCTCTTCCCCGGCCTCTGGAAGTATCTCTATTTTGGTTGTGAGTATTCCCATTTGGACCACCTTGATATGCTCCTTCTTCTGGCGCCTCGCTACGTCCAATAGAATCAGCATACCCAACTGGCCGTGAGAGAGGCTTGTATGGACCATCATCGTCAGCGTCATCATAATCCAAGCCCCTGCTCGCGTCATAAGGCGTTTGATGCTGCTGTAATGGATGACCTCCGCGGCTTGAACCGCCATTTTGTTGTGACTTTCCACCCCTGCCACGTTTTGCCTGCTTAACTCTGCGCTTATGTTCCATTTCTGCCTCATCATCCGAGAACTCCATCTCCTCGTCGCCTACTTCCTCGTCATGCAGGTTAGAGGCATCTGAGCCCTTGTAAGCTTTCAAAGCTTGTGTGAAAACATATGTTGAATGTTGCTCTGCATAGAACACCTTCGTGCCAAGCTCCAATTTTGCTTCCGCAATCTCCCCAGCATTTGTGAATAAGACAGAGTATAGCGGTTGTTGACGCGTCCAAGAGTTTCAGAAACCACCCCAATCACACTTCTATCAGCAAGACATAAAACCGACGCGCTTTCGAGAACTCGGTATTCACCTGAAATTTTCGCCTTGACCAGCACAATGTTTTCGACAATTGCCTCGACAGCTCCTAGCTCCGTAATAGTCATATCTTCTGTAATCGTGACGTCTGGCTTGGGGATGACAACCTCCGGTATCTCGTTCTTCGTTCGTAGTTGAGCTCCTGCTCCTTTTGCTTTATTGCCCTCGTCATCTGAACCACCATCTCCTTCCATTAATATCCTAGCTTGTTCTTCGGGGCTCAAAAGCTTGTATGCATTGTCACCATCCTCGCTTTCGTCGGAGCTATCATCGCTGGACGAGTCATCCGAGGAGGATTCGATAGGTGAAGAGTCCATCTCCCATTCTTGAGATTCTTCTTCTAGGGCGGCGGGCTCAGAATTCGGCGGTTGCCCATTTTCTCCAGATGTCTGGGCTATAATTGAGTCGGTGGTGGGTTGGTCTACGGTGATTAATGCTGGGGTGGTGGTTTCACGCTGCTTGTCCAGAACGGCGGTGGGGTCGGCATTACTGGCACTGGCTTGGGCAGGTTTAACTGAGACATTTTGTGTATCGGGGATTGAAGTCGAGCTTTCAAGCGGCTGCAGGGTAGCCGGCGCTACTGTCTCTTCAACAGGATTTGAGGGATTATCGAGACCTCCCAATAGCGCTTCTAAAGCGTGAGTGAGGGGCGGGCTTGGATTGCGGTCCCTAGATTCCTGTTCAGACATGGGAGTGTCGTCTGTCGTCGCGGGAGGGTCGATATTTTCGGTCGCAAGTTCTTTCTCCGCAGACTGTAGTTTTCCATTCGTGATCAAATCATCTTTTGCAGTATGCGCAGCAATCTGTGTGGCATCTGGTTGAATCATTGGAGTGTCTTCTGTTGTTGCGCCTTGGGACTTTTCGGCTTCGACATTCTTCTCTAAACCTGCTGGGCCCCCGTTTCCAATTGGCGGACTGACTTCGGTAACGATATTGGCAGCTATGATATCCAAATCCATATTCTGGGTGTTCATACTGGAGATTGGGGGTTGTGAAATGTTAATATTCTCGATATCAGAAGTCGATCTCAGACTGAATGGACAAAACAAAATATTTCTGAACCCTGCTGGCGCTAGCGGCCGCACGCCGATGTCATCGATGTGGTGTGGGTCAAAATCGCGACCTCAAAGCTCAAGACAGCTGTCAGTCGCGAACCTTTGTCAAATAGGGGTGAAAATTCCATAAAATGCCTCCCAAGGTCATCCAAGCTCCCCCATCAAGTGGCTATTCTACAGTTCAACCAGCAAAGAGGAAGTCAGTATTTCACACCTGTTCTATTGAACCGTCCCGCACAGCTCCGAAGGAAGCTTAGCTGATTGTCCCAACAGACCTCCAACGCCTTTTGCAGTCAAGCCAATTGGTGCCTTCTATGTATTCCTAGCTGCGAACATCCTAGCTGCTCTATATGCCCCAATACAGGACTGCGATGAGACGTTTAATTACTGGGAGCCCGCACATTTTTTGAGCCATGGCTACGGGCTGCAGACGTGGGAGTACTCTCCAGTATACGCAATTCGAAGTTGGCTCTATGTTGCTTTGCATGCGTTGATTGGCAGCTTCAGACGTCTGCTGCCATTCTCAACGAAGGTTGGGATCATCAATCCAGCTTCACATCTCTATATTAATCTATTGCCAGGTTGCGGAGTTCTATTTCATCCGATATGCTCTAGCTTTTGTCTGCGCCCTCTGCCAAACACAAATGTTCCGCGTCATTAACAACATCTTGAATCCTCGGATTGCCATATTCTTTATTATGGCTAATGTATTCAGCCCTGGCATGTTCCATGCATCTGCTTCCTTCCTCCCATCGAGCTTCGCAATGTACACAACAATGTTGGGAATTGCAGCTTTTATGAACTGGAGAGGTGGTTTGAAGACAGCACAAGGCATCTTCTTTTTTGCCGTTGGGGGAATATTGGGATGGCCATTTTCAATGGCTTTATCAGCTCCGTTTTTGTTCGAAGAAATTGTCTTGGCCTTCTTGAGTAGCAAAGACGCCCTGATTGACGTGATCATGCGCTTCGTAAGAGGCATCGTAGCTGGCCTACTCGTATTGGTGTGTTGGAGCTCATATACTTATGATGATTCTTGCTAACGTTGCTGTGTAGCTCTTCGAATTTGTTATCTCTGGCTTCTTCTATAAAAAGATGGTGGTTGTCCCGCTGAACATTGTCCTTTACAATATCTTTAGCGGGCCTGGAAAGGGGCCAGAAATTTATGGCACAGAGCCTTGGCATTTCTACATAAGAAATCTTCTTCTCAACTTCAACATTTGGTTTGTGCTAGCTGTCGCTGCCCTTCCTCTGTTCATATTAAAGAAGATCTTCTCATCAGAAAAAGCCGTCGCAGTTACTGGACTTCGCAGCATCGTTTTCATGAGTCCATTCTACCTCTGGTTGGGTATCTTTACTTTCCAACCACACAAGGAGGAGCGCTTTATGTACCCCGCCTACCCAGCACTCACCCTAAATGCCGCGATGTCTTTGCACATCGTTCTTGCTGCTTTCGGTCAGTCGGACCCGAAGACATTAATTGGAAAGATACCAGCGAAACTCAAGCTTCTGGTCGTGAGTTTACTTGTCATTGGGTCAGTGGATGTTGGTGTCGCAAGAATATATGGCATATACACGGCATACTCTGCACCACTCAAGATATATGAACCTCTTCAAAACGGAACATTGGGAACGCGCGGAGACTCGGTTTGTTTCGGCAAAGAGTGGTACCGATTCCCCAGCACGTACCATCTCCCAAATAATATGCGTGCCAAGTTTATCAAGAGCGAGTTCGATGGCCTTCTACCAGGTCAGTTCGCAGAAGTAAAAACTGGTCATGGCCTCTGGGCCGGCGCTTGGCTCGAGCCAGCGGGCATGAACGACGAGAATATGGAAGATATGGGCAAATATGTAAGTTTACTGCATTGAAAAACCGCGCGTCTAACATAATATTGCAGGTCGATTTGCATACTTGTAGTTTCTTGGTTGATACCTATTACCCTGGGTCTAGTGCGTCTGAGTATGAACCCCATTACATCCTTGATGAAGAGAATTGGGAGCATGTTTCATGTCAGCCCTTCCTCGATGCGTCGCGAACTCACGTCCTTGGCCGAACAATCTGGCTGCCAAATCTCCCATTCGTGCCAGAGAAGTTCAAAAGGCACTGGGGACAGCACTGTTTGTTGAGGCGTAAGCAAAAGTAAGGAATTTATACCCTGTAATAAATAGGTTCAAATTGACTTATTGTTCGCTCGAGCATCATTATTGAGATGAGTTTCCGCGACTTGGGGAGGTGAGTCCTCCCAATACTCATATTATTCGATCCACAAACGAGGAGGATAACCACTACGCGCCTGGTAGGACAATCGCCGTTCCCCCATGAAGGTTTCTCCCTAATGCGATGCTCGCCAAAATCACAATTCGCCAATACCCTAAACTGGGTTCAGCACGTGACTGGCTTCGGAATCCACCTTCCGCGAATCCCTGGAATTTCCCCCGCCCACTGTATGCCAGGCAATTTTGTTTTCTATCACAAGGAGCAGCAAATTATTCCTTCTTCCAATCAGCCTGTTCGGTTCTATTTTATAGACACTTTCCACTACCATAGATCGCATGGCGTCCAGTACTACCTTGCTTGCAATCTGGTAAAATGCCGATAGATCACCCCGGCACTTCGGTCCGTACTTGGCTTTGTGACTAGATACATATTTGGTCTTTAAAGAACGTTGATCTCTCGCGTGCAAGAACAGAACAAAGCTTGTTTCATCTTCTATTTCTATTTTCGGGCCTTTTCTCATATATACTTCGAAATGCTTTCAGTAAGTCTTTCACTTCTGGCACTTTCGTCGGCTACTGTCGTTTACGCACAAGCTGCTGGTTATGCTCAGTGTAAGTATGAATGTCTGGCTTCTAGTGAACAACTCTAAAAATCACAGGTGGCGGAGTATCGTGGCAGGGTGCTACCACTTGCGCTGCTGGCTACACGTGCACGGTTTCTAGGTACGCAAACGTCCCACCCTTTTCAAATAACAAACTAAAGCTCCGACAGCGAATGTATACTTTCATATCCCCCTACCATCTACCCGAGCCCTAACTAATGTCCCAAAGACTATTCACAATGTCTCCCCGGCTCTGACTCAGCCTCAACCACCACCCTAGGGACTGGAAGCGCAACTCCCACGTCATCAAGCGGCAGCAGCCCAACCAACGGCCCAGGAACAACCCTCCAAACCGGCTACTACTGGATCCGCGCAGTCGAAGACCCCAACTTCCACAAATACCTACAAACGAGCCCCGAATACACACCCGGCACCGCCCTCCTCGCCGACTACACCACAGCCGGCCAATTCCAGATCGTTGACGGCCAGCTCGTCGAACTGATCACCGGCGGCCTGCTATACGCCGTTGTGGAGCCGCAGGCGAACTCCACGGTGAGCAAGTTGAGTCTGAGTTTTGGCACGGAGATGAATACGTATGGCACGTTTGCGTTTAGTGGGGATGCGGTGCAGTGGAGCATTCCTAGTATCAGCAGGCCGAATCTGAGCGCGTGGTTGGTTTGTGAGAATCAGACCTTGTGGATTAACCTGGGGGCGTATGCGTACATGACGCCTGCTGGGTGTGCGGATGAGACGGTATGTTTTGCTTCTTTTCGGGTGTGAGAACGAAATCGACAATCCAGAGCGCTGACACATTTTCAGATACATTACTATAATGGTGCAACCGCGGTTTCTTGAGAGTTCGACCTGTCTTGGCTTCTGGTACTAAAAAGAAGTGTTTGTTCAACGTTATGGCTTTGATATACGTAGCTCATGCGTATATATACACAGTTTTTCGTATCTTGTTATCCAACCATCATGTTTACGTGAAGAGGGGGCGTTAGCGCTGTTCTAGCGTGCTTGTATTTAGAGACCTCGGTTCTATCAATTCATCATCTATTGCACCTACGTATTATACTTCCAAAATCCCGACACAAACACCAGACACTTAGCATATATCTAAACAACACAAAGTGTACCTTTCGAAACTCCTCCAGTGAATCTTTTAACGAATAGGTTTAACGATCGTCAATTTTGAAATCCACATACTGCTTGTTGGAAATGAAAAATTCGCTGTTCCGCTTGTCGGCCGCCAGATTCGACATTTCTCTCCTCACAAGCATCTTCCAATATTCCTGTGCTCGATACGCAGTATCTCCAAAACTTTGCCATGTCGTGATCTTGAATTGTCCAGCTCCTTGCCCGTTGTATTGAATGTGCCATTTCGTCGGACAAGCTCGACATGTCCACAAGGTACTGACACCGGGAACTGTGGAGTCCATCTGTTTCTTTTCACTCGGCGCTGGCGTGCAGAACATGCTAGGCGCTGGTATACCTGCACGGAGCGAAAGAGGGGCAGCTGTCGCGATCGAATGGCACAATAGACCACAGGGAAGCCTGCTCTTGGTATAACGCCCTGGCTCTGCTTTCTGCGTGCTGGTTGTCTGATGTGGACATAGACGGACCTTGAGATCGATGATATCAGCTACGCGGAGTGGAGATCTGGGACTCGTGCCACGGAAAACATGTTCATGTTTGAGCACTAAATGCTTCCCTATTTGTCGTCCAGAGGAATTCATGGTGTGGGTGAGCCGTTCGCGCGGGATGGTGAAGTTCCCACCCAAAAGCTCGATGAGAGGGCCAGGTTTATCTCCAGGATGCGGTGTCAACGACTTACGAGCCTCCACGATGTGCTCCCAGACAAGGCTATACCCACCATAAATGCCGCTCGCAATCGGGGTATAGTCGATATAGGCAAAGGGCCCAAAGCAGCTGTTTGTGAACTTGGTCTTTCGGTGCTCCCGTGGAGGTTTCAGCGGCGGATGCAACACCGCGCATACAGTGCAGTCAACCAGATGAGGTGCATCTCGGACGAGCAGCGTGAGCAGTGAATATAGGGGTCCAAGCGTACTGTGCGAATCGTGGTCCCAACCTCGTCGTCTGGGGCGGCATTCGAGCCATGATTCGGTTCCCACAAAGCTTAAAATCTCCTTGCAAGTGAGACTTAGGCACGTCAATGCGTCGGGCTCCAAAAAGGATGTGATCCCATCGAAGCTTTCCTTTGGGAGGTTCAAAAGCCGAACATTTTGATTCGGTCCATTCTCCGCTTGATATGATTTCTGGAGGTAAGACGGAAGTTCCTTTTTGACTCGTTTCCTGCTCTTGCCGTTTGCGGCGTTCTCGCTCTCCCTCTTCTCTTCCGCTTCTAGTACTGCCTTTCTCTTGCTCTGCCGTATTGGTGCAACTTTGCTGGTCGCTGTTTCTGGGATTGCTTTCCTCTTACTCTGGCGTGTTAGTGCAGCGCTGCTGGTCGCTGTTGCCTGATCCTTTGTCGATTCGCTTTGAGCACCGCGTCGAGTCGACTTCCGGGTTGCCACCATGGTTGATGGAGAATGAGACAAGAGCGATCAAGCGTTTTCTTTCTTGAATAATCGAGATGTCGGCAAAATGTTATGTGCCAAGAATTATATAAGTCTACAAGTCGGAACGATCCGATCCTATGGGTTGAAATAAAGTTAGGCTGCAACCCCTGCATCAAGTCGGGAGGGATGAGACGAACTCCGCGTCCGTGCTTCCCCTTTTTTTTAAGGTGGACTAAGCTTGCTATCTGCTAAGATCACTTGTTCAAATGTATAAAACATCCACATAATCCGTGATACTTATACATCCACATAATCCGTGAGACTTTTATGAAACAGCGATATATAGTAGAGAATCTGTTAATATAGTACTTCATCTCGTAATAAAAGATTGACTCCTTTTTAAACTATACTCTTAATAAACAAAGTCTATACACTACACGTCTATCTAATTGGCACATCCTTGAAATTCATGGCAGCTGTACTTTTACAGTTATACTTCAATAAATACAGAATAAGCTATTGATCTTATCCGAAAGAGGCCCAGCAAAAGAGCTGACTTAGCAAATTAGTCGAGTCTTGCCCTATAAGTGCCCATTGCCTATTCGCGTACCATGGCGAGGTAAGTGCAACGATTTATTCCATTTTTGGGCTCATGGACTAGAGCTAAGCACACCAACTTTTACAAACTATTGAAGGTAGATATTGTGCTTATATCGTAACAATAAACAGACCACCTCGAGCGGAATATGAATGAACCTGAAGGTTAGACATTCCTGCACGGGGGAGTCATTAATAGTGAGGTTCTGCTTTCAATCAAATGAAAGACTACATGATAGAAACAACAGCACGTACATAACGGTTTCAGCAACATGCCAGAGTATAATACTATAAGCGGACAGAATCTAAACAGGATAGACTAGCACTTATCTGTACTGTATCCAAACAGCCGCCTTGGGAAGCCCCCTCCTCGGAAAGTATCCGTCTTCGTACTAATGTATTTGTCTATGGCAATGGTTGCGTTCACTGTCTAATGCATGAGTTGAAGTTTACACAAGGGTGGTCCTTAGTCACCCTTCTTTTGTGAGCTTCAATGACCCTTGTTAGTCAAATACATGCAAGCCCAAATAGGAGGTGATTAAATTAAATACTCTTGAGCAAATTCTATATCATACCCAAAGCGACGCATGATTGGATCAGATTTGGTTCGCTTGACATTGGCAATCGGTGATGGGTTTACGCTCCAATGACTAAAGCACCAAAGTTTTTTTATCCTTCCTCCACCACCATCATCGTCCTCATCATCAGCATCCTCTTTCATAAAGTCCACCATCTGTGAACCGTGGTGCAAACACCGCCTTCTCAGAGTTATGCGAAATAGCAACTTAACCTATACATCCCCGATAAAAAAGTGCGGAATCGGGATGCTTGACTATGTTGCAAAATCTGTAGTGTCTGTCTTTTGTAGTTTTCCAGGTAGCTGGTTGCTAGAGAGCCAGTAAAATTCTCATATTAGTCTTGCATGAAATCACGCCGCTCGTCACTTGCAGCGTTAACAAGACATTGGCATCCATGCTTCGATGATATGAGAAAAGATGAACACTTGCGGAGAAGTTGCCGCCCCGTTTTCTGTGACAACCATCACGCGCTATATCTTAAATCGCGGATGACAACCTCACTGCGTGAACTGTGCGGGAATAGTCGTTCCACGTTTTCAGATTTTCAAAGGGACAGGCGTAAAAGAGGCAAATCCGGAGGAACTATAAGCAAGTAAGGCACACCGTTTTCTGTCATGAAGTCGGGAAAAGTACCGGGAGTCTGAATTGTCTGAACCCCACGCGGAGGATGAGACAAAATATGACGTTTGCGGCATTCGGGATAGAGAACGGTTCTTCGATTATTGACAGCATCTCTCCACGTGGCACACCAAATCTGAGATTGGCAGGAGGGTGGAGACAGACTGCTGATCTCTTTCCCCCTCTGTTCCTCTACCGAGATCATGCCTAGTCTGGTCTCGTGCTCCTTTTATCGTACAGTAGGGATTCATCAGCAAGTCTATTTTTATATACTTTAGCATAAAATATAGAAGTAAGTCTTGGAGATTCAAATAGGAGGTGATAGACAAATTACCGACCACGAGGTGGTGCGAGTACGGGGGTATAGTATACGTGGGTATGCTTGAGATCAGACAAGATCATAGCGCCTAAAGCGCGTAAACTAAACTATATCAGATTTAGCGTGAAGCTTGAATCCACATCCTGCCAAATCCAAGTACCTCGCATAAATTTACATGCGTAAAACTTCATTGTTGCAATAATAACACCTTTTTTGAGAACGACATTTCTGAGTCCTTGATAGCTATATCCCCAAAGCAATGGTAGATTGGAGAGGAGGCCCTCCCCCTTTTAGGCCTGTTGCATCCTCCCGTCCGATGTTTGTTTGTCAACCACCAGATCCACCACCCAAAATGGACAAGCGTCCGGAGTAGTGAAACAGAGCATTGCGAAGAATCACAGGGTCAATACTATCAGCTTTTGGGAGGATTTAATGATCGCCAGTGTCTTTCATTTCAGTACTGTACTGTACTCAGTCCTAGCCTCATAGGGAGTCTGCAGGTCTCTTGAAACGTTGCAGAGTCGTCATTGAGTACCGTCTTACATGATTGTAAAGTCAATACTGAGGAGTTCTCTCGAACCATCATAGTGCCATTATGAATCGGCTTTCTCAAAATTATAACTTTTCATACTCAGCAGGTCTGTCGAAAGTTGCAATTCTCCCAGAGTTTACGGCATTAGTGCTTAGTAGTCTCTTACCAATTACAGGGTTGAGTACGCAAGACGACGGAGTAAGCAGTATCGGGTAGTCGCGGGTATCGAGATAATCACAGGATCGGTGCCCAACCCAACCCAATCTGTCAAAGAGTTGTCGAGTCAGTACTACTCTATTCCACGACCCGCCGTCAAAGATTGCAGGGTTAGTTAGTATCAAGCGACGGTCCGGGGGGTGGTAGGACCAATGCTACGCAGCCATTCAAAACAATGTGGGGTGCAGTCCTGCAGGCTTTTCGGAGATTGCGGGGTGCAGCTACTCGTAAAGAGGAAACAAAAAAGTTAATAAAAAAAGGCGGGGTCGCAAACAAGATACTTCGTGCTGCTCGATGTTCACCTCAGGGGCTATGGTCCCTGCAGTAGAGCAGAGGACCACCACCAGGACTCTTGCTGCAAGGGCCAAGCGGGCGATTGTCGGAAGTTACGCCTTCTCATACTGATAGCCCTTTTTGGATTTGGCGACGCTATGGGTCATCTTGATATGGAGTTTGAGCGACACAGGCCCGCCAACTTGTCCGAATCCGCTTTGAATAGGTATACAAATAGCTACAAACGCCATGTTTCTATCAGACCCGCAGCTTCTTCTATGCCCCAGCTCTAAGATACTTTTAAGCGCGCTGCAACGGTTTCAATCATGGCTTCGTCTCTCAAATATGTCTTCTGCCTTCTCCTTGCGAGCTCCGTCTCTGCCTTGGTCCATCCAGGCATGCTTCATACCGATGATGACTTTACACGCATGCAGTCAAAGGTTGACGCCAGTGCCACGCCCTGGATAATTGGATGGGACCTGCTCATTGCCAATTCTCATTCCCAACCAACCTACACCGCGAATCCTCTCCCCATCGTCTACCGCGGCAGCGACGGCGTTCATGCTGAGAACTACGGTACTCTTTACAATGATGTCGCAGCAGCCTATGCTCTTGCCTTACGTTGGAAGATTCAAGACGATGATGAGTTTGCCGATGCTGCTGTAGCCATATTTGTAACGAACCCCTTTCTTTGTTGCTTGGCTTTGCTTTTTCGGCTCCCGAGTGTTCCATCTCCTCAGCTCTTGCTCTCTACAGAAAAAATTATACTAATTTGGTACAGAATGCATGGTCATCCACATTGACATCCATCCAAGGAGACTCTGACGCAGCTCTGGCAGCGGGTATCTACGGATATGAATTTGCTAACGCGGCCGAGATTGTGCGCAGCTACAGCGGATGGGCTGCAGCCGACCAGGTCAAATTTCAGACCATGCTGCATGACGTCTTTTTCAGCATCAACTATGACTTCCTAAACCGGCACGATGGACAAACCGACCCAGACGTATATTTTGCCGGTTGGGATTTGTGTCAAGTAGCCTCAATCATGTCGATCGGGATCTTCAACGACAACGAAACAATGTACGAATATGCAGTGGACTACTTCAAGAGCGGCGTCGGTAACGGCAACGTCCACAAGGCTATCTGGGTTACCTACGACGTTGATGGGGAGACGCTTGGCCAGTGTCAGGAATCCGGTCGTGACCAAGGCCATTCGACCCTGGACATCGGATTGCTTGGTGTCATTGCCCAGATGGCATACAACCAGGGCGACGATCTGTTCGCGTACGAAAGCAACCTCATCTTAGCTGGCAGCGAGTACACGGCCAAATACAACGTCGGCTACGACGTACCGTACACGGAGTATACCAACAGCTATCCGACGGACGAGCCGATCATCTCCAACTACTCGAGGGGTTCTCTCCGGCCTACCGATGAGCTGCTCTACGCTCACTATCATGATTTGAAGGGCTTGGATGCCTGGTATACGGGTCTCTACAGGGATATGGTCAACAACTCGACGGGTGGGGCAGAGGGCGGCGGTGGAAACTATGGGTCCGATAGTGGTGGTTATGATCAATTGGGATACGGCACTCTGACCTTCCGACTTTCAGCAGCATAGCTAACCAATATGGGTGCGGATTCGAGATCCGATTGAAGGAATTCCAACCCATTAGGATGTTTAACAAATCAGGAGGAAGGCTAATTCAACATTAGCCAGGTAATATTTAAGCGGTCATTTTCCAAAATGTCTACAAAGCTTGTACATACGGATTTTGTATATAAAATATCTTTGTGTATAGTCAACCTTTTGAAAAATGGAATCAACTCTAATTTTGATTTATATGCAATGATCACCCACCTGTAAGAAGTTTGTTGTTCTGTCTAGTCTGAAGCAAATGTTCTGGTACGCGGCCTTTGCATTGGCTCAGTGCGTGGGATGATGTGCAAGATATTAGTGACACCAACAACAGTTTCACCAATACGATGAATTTTGAGTTTCGTTCCTAATTTTCTTGGACATAATATTGTGGGAGAAGTCAAATTGGGCAATTAAAGTAATGGGAATAAGGGGCTGGTAGATTTCATGTTACCAATATTGTAGATGTGATGTTGGAGCCGCGTGGAGCAGGGGGCCAGGGCACAGTTACTGTACGGTGTAGGTAGCCCGCAGGTAGCCGCATGCTTATATAATCATGTCGTTGTCTCTTAGATGCTGCTAGGAAGCTGTAAAAGATCGCTGAATGTTGTTAGCATGATTGAACGATGTGATTTACGCACACTGAATGATATTGAACTGCTCAGGTATGTTTCAGTATGAATCAGTAATATCATCTGCATGCTAAGCTGAACAAGAAATGTAGTTCAATCATCCTCAATCACAGCTGCCCACTGCTCGTTCATACATGTCAATTTTCAAATGCAACCTTTATCACCAACATTTTCCGTATTAGGTCGGTGACAGCAACATAGCCTCATCCTTCAGTTCCTAACGCGTGTCAGGCAATATGAACAAAGAGTTCTCATATAGGTGGGTGTGATCGAAACACTTCATCATCTCGTATCTGCTCTGCCTCCTCCATAGTGCACGGAGCTTAGTAACGAAAAGGACGGATTCAATAACGAGCCTTCATCTTGGTGCTACTGTTTCGGCCATGGTCCATTTGCAACGATTAGCGGTTCAATAACCAGTTTCTGTGCTTTCCCAGCGTTACCAATTCAGACTATTTCGTTCACGACGTATTCAACCCCACTCAACACGGCTTGTGTTGTTACTTCGTAAGTAAATCACCACCCAACGCGATAGTCACTAACTTGGATTAGGATGTCACTTACCCTTAGCGAGCCTGCCTCGATGCATTCTTATCGCCAGTGTGGCGAAATAATGGTTAGGTTTCTCACAAGAAGCACATCCGGCACAATCTACATTGCTTGTGACGAACTACCACTTTCTCAACCATCACCACAACGGCCCTCAATCCTACACCAACTGAGTCGCCAAAGTGCTTTCCCACGCATTCGGTTGATAAAGGCCCCGCGGGACCAGATGATGAAGTGCTTAAAATCATCGCAGGCGGCATGTCGCCTGGTCTACAAGATATTTGCAACGGTACTATGTCGGTGTGGATGGGCCATTGGCATGGGGGTGATAATACTCCGACCGGGAGCAATTATCTACAGTCTGGAATTATAATCAATCTCGATGTCCCAGATGAGTGCAAATATTTCTGGAAGGGGGGACTGTCTCCACTGCAGCTGATTCTTTGTGCTTTGCCACAATAAGAACTTGTCGGTAAATGCCCTTGCAATGGTGGGTCGAAGAATACTGTTTGTGGCCAGTGGTAGTTACAAAGCTGCCCTAATACCATGCCCCATTGCCCAGTTGGTGATCCTGGCTATCCTAAGTCATAGGCTAAGTTGTTGAACCTCGTTTTAGGCCCGATAGCAAGGATTTCGCGCATATAGCCGAGGGCTGATCAAGAGTGAAGCCGTCTACGTCAGCAGGTTGAAGTTAAGGGATACGAGGTTAAGGTGCTGGTGCTGTCGCTTGACCCTCAAAAAACATGACATTTAGGCCTGATGGCAGGGTTTTCGCGTCGTAGAATTTCCATGGTCTACGGTTCCTCTAGCTATCAATACTTATTTATTGTGCTAAAAGAGCTACTGAGACAGCTTTGACATTTTTGGATACTATGCTCCTTTCCAGGGAAGCGGAAATGAAAATTGTGTTTCTTAACTGCATCTTAGATTGCTGGAGGGTCGTGAATTTGTATAAACCAAGGCTCCGAGTAGGGGTGGCATAGGCTGCCATGGTGAGTCAAATTTCCAGAGCTCACACCAAAGTTATCACATATATCAGCTAAAATCGCGGCAAAGAATAGTCTTGGCAGGCAAAACGTATTTTCTATCCGCTCTTAGCAATTTGCCACGTTTGATGCCTAGCAGAGATTCCCTACAGCTACCGAAACTCCCAAACCCATATCAAAGTGACGCTAGAATCCAAACCATGGCGTTTTCTTCGCATCACAATAATTAACGGCTGTCACTGTTTTTTTGGGCAGAGTGACTGTGACTCCAGATGCCGTTACCGTTGCAGTTATCGTTGTAGTTCCTCCCGATATCGTTACAGTTTTCCTTTCCTCCATGGCCAATGTGACGATAGCTGGCATGGTATGCAGATGGTGATTAACAATGTCTCCGAGAAAGCAAACAGCCCCTTGCTCTGTCTCTGCCATGCCGTTTTCTGGGAATGCAAATGGCGGTGCAATAACGGTGTTTGTCGTGGGTTTGAACTATATTATGTTAGATCATGGCTCTACTAGTGGGACTGGTGCGCGAGAAAGGAAACATATAACCTCAGTAGACTTACAAAACCTCCGCACACAAAGAACCCCACCACGGCAAAGACAACAACAGCAACCGAGAAAAATATCTGCAGAACTCTGATCCGTTTCTGTAGTCCAACTGCAACATTCTTCTTCTCCCTGTAGCGGAGCTCTGTCTGTGCAATTAATGATTGACTCTCTCGAATAACATTGTCCTTCGAAATCTGCAGCTGCTGGTGTATAAGCAAGGTCTGCTCCAGGTGTGAACATCGATTCTCGTAGTGCTGGGCTCGTCGTCGCCGGTACTCGACACCGTCGGCTGCGGAATAGGCTGGGGGGGTGGCGTCGCCATCGTTTGCTTGTGCGGGACTATCGTCGAGTGCTTGTGGTTCGAGAGGCTGATCAATTTGGTCTGCCGGCGCAGGGATTCCCACAATGGCTGGTTCGTGGGGCGCTGGTAGTTCGAGCGGCTGCGAGATTGGCACTGAATCGTCCGCAGAATCTAACTGTGTAGCCTGCGACATGGTGTAGGTAGAGCGCTAAGGTGGGAATTGACAGAGCTGGAAATCTGGCAATTTTGACGTGTCGTTGTAGATGTCGAGAATCGAGATGTTGTGTTGAGGCAAAGTGAATCTGTGAATTGGGCTGTCCATGTCTTTGAACGAAATCGCGAGGGCGGTGGGGAACGGGGATAGCTTCATTGTTTCGCTGGCCTAGCATGACATGTTAACTACGGTATACTGAAAAGCTTAAGATATACTTATATAAGGGGATACTGATTTGAGGTTCAGAGCGAGCATGGATATTGGATAGTTTGTTCTTAAGTCAAGTTGCAAGGATATTCCGGGGTTTGTTTACGAGAAGTGACTTTACGCTCATGCACAAAGCAGGTCCTTGTGGCTAGCCCACAACGCAATCCCTATCCTTTCTCCCACCCTCAATACCTTGCACCGTCCCCCTCCTCCCACCCCTCCGAATCCCCGGCTTCCTTTGCAGCCCCTGATTAGCTCTATGGGCACTCATTCTCCTCGCCGGAGCCCCTGGACCCCCGGGACAGGCTTCTTGTAGTGGTGGTGGATTCGCTCGACCTCGACCTCGACCTCCATCGCAAACCGGGACTCCACCACCCCGACCATCACCACGACCTCGGTTGCCGCCTCGAATGGAGAAGGGGAGTATTTGGAAGATCAAATACTATCCCTAATATCGATTGTCTTTCCTCCATCATATCCGTCAGCCTGGGCAAAGTAATAACCCCTCTGGTTCGCAAGTAGCCTTAATAATCCGGCACCTTCTTTCCGCTCAACTACAAAGTCACAATTATAGTGCGTATGCCCAAATGCCCATATTTTAACCTTTTTACTCTGGAAGCATTTCTCCTCAGACAAGTCGGTTGAAAAGGCGCTCGTAATCGAACTTGCAGCGTGCCTTGGATCAATCGCACGGGCATCCTTTGATGGACTCCAATGTGTGAATATCATAATACGCACGTCAGACTGCTCAAGCTCAGTAACTTGTGTGTTGAGCCAGGCAATGTCCCGTTCATGCGCTTCGTTGTGCGAGTCGACATCCCACTCGTTAGTAACGAGGAAATCATTGAGCCCAAGACTAACAGCCATTTGGTTTTCAGCGGAGATGGAAGAGAACAGACTGCATCCAAGAATGACGACGTTGGTGTCTGGCATCCGATAGACTGCACGATCGAGCAGGATGAAGTCCCCGAGCGAGCGTTGTTGCGAACGTCTCTTTCAAAAGTAAGAAGAATGTCGAGTGTTTCCGGCCAATTTGAATGGTAAGCTTCATGATTCCCGGGGATAAAGAGTACAGCGCGGAATTGGTTGAGCTGTCGAGTGAGAAAGGCAAGGCAGTCGTCCTTGTGTAGTGCGACGTTGCCGATGTCGCCAAGAAGTGCTAAATAAGGTGCCTTTGGGATGATGTTAAAGACGTCGTAGGCTTTTGGAGCCTCTAAATGCAAGTCTGAGAGGATCTGAACCGCCATTGCGAGTGGAAGATGAACAACAATGATTAATGTGTAACGGTTATTGAGAAACCTCTTTTAAAGGGGCTGTTGTCCGTCCCGTCCTTCGCTAAGGCGTCGCTAGTCGCGCCAGCTTTACTCTTGGCTTAATAATCTCGCGGAGTCACGTGCGACTAGACCAGAGGACTTTTAATAAGTTTGATAGGGGAGCGAGAACGGACATTATTATAACATCTTAATAGGTTTAAAGAGATGGCTGTATCTTAACCTGATAAGTATTAGTAAGATCTATATTCAAATAATATGAAAATTATAATCGATTTGCGAGAGGGTTAAAGACGATCTTTTAAGCATGATATAGCCGACTTATTACCGTGCTTAAGATTGAGGACGCTTTGTAGCTACCTAGCAATTGTTAATAATAAGTTAAGACTTCAAGTCGAGACTTTAAAGCCTATTCACTAGAACTGACCATGGATAAGGTATCTCCTCAGATGATCGTCCAAATGCTCGTCGGACGAAACGACTGACCCAGCTGGCTACGATTCCACTTCTCCTAGGTCACGGACAGCGAGATCTGGTAGATAGCAAAGTAGGGAGGCTCTTGCACAATTCTATTGCCAAGCCTACGCCCCGGTCAGACCCTATCATCGACCCCATCAACATCATCAAAGACATGGGATTCCCATGTGTTACACATCTTTTCCGTCTCGGTCGTAGTGAGGGCTCTCACGACGCTACTTCAATTCTTTCTAAATTTACATCCGCAGGTTTACCTTCGGACGAAGAACATGGAAACCGCAAAATTCACCACGCCTACCTCCTATATCTCTCTGAATACATATGTTATGCAGAACGAGCTATTACATCAGCACAAGTGCTTAGAGAGCTTGTCTGTCGTTCGGAAAACACCGTACGATCCCTCCGGATTAAGTACGAAAACGATATCGAACATCTCAAAAAGCACGCGCCACCGCCGTCAACAGTCACAAGAACGCAGCCAAAATAAATAAAATGTAATACTAGTCTACGTAGAGCAAAGCCAATATTCTACGGAACGCTACCTGCAAATTCGAAACACACTATCCCTTCCAGTTCGAGGTTCTCTGAAAGAAAATGGAACATCACCTGCGCAGTACAGAGAAATATTCCCATCACACGCAATACGTTTCTATTTTGTATGTCGGATTTTCTCTGTCAATCTAGTTAGCTTCGGGAAAGGTACAGGGCAGGAAGGAGCGGGTATGGATATCTTACGAGAACGTTTTTATAACTACCAATCCCAACCCAAGAGTCAGGAAACCAAAAAGACAAATAAACTACACCGTGTTAGCATTTCTCCTCAGAACCAAGAATATTCTATTCCACACTCATCGTAACGTACCCCGTTCTTCAACGCAGCTTCCTCTCTCAAAGTCTCGCTCAGATTGATCTGGCGCTGAATTTGAGAACAAAGAAGCGCCAGATCTTCATTATTTCGTAGCAATTGGGCGTCCTTGTCCTTCAATTTTGTGCCTTTATTGACCAGCTGAGCATCCTTATCTTTTAGCTCCGTGGCTTTCTCTCGAAGTCGACGCCGAAGGCCCGTGAGCTGGGATTCCAGGGCTTGGAGATGTTCATTCCTTTCAGCCACCCGGCTTTCAAAACCAGATGCCGCACTGGAAAGCTTACTCACCCTCTCCGCGATTTGTTCCATATCGTCTGCATGTTGTCGCTCGGAATTTTTGGCTTGATGGAGAAGGTCTGCGACTGTTGTTCTGTATTGCTCAATGACTTTTTGCTTGTCTGCGAGATTTCTTATATATCCGTCAATGGCTTTGCGCCAGTCTGCGAATGTAGACGTCAGTCTTGCAATTGTGGCGTCTTTCCCTGCCTCTCGATTGTTGTTGAACCTAGCCAGCTGCTCAAAACGTACAAACATTGCACATAAAAGAATGAGGTAAAAGGCATCTTTTTCCTGTGCCTTGACAGCGAAGAGAGATTCAGCATTGACTATCTGCTTCTTCAGCCTCTCGTTGAGCTTCCTCTCATTTGCTAGTTGGATGTCCGTGTCCGTGGGCTCGTCCTCATCCTTATCCATGAGGGCTTGCAATTGTACTAAGAGTTCGTTGGATCGAACAATGCTTTTGAGATAATTGTTGAAACTTGATTGATCTCTGTAGCGTCGTCTAAGGGTATCTTGCTCCCATTCCCAATAACGAAAGATTGTATGCAAGGCCTTTTTGTCCTCTGCCAGGGCATTTGAGCCATTCATAACCCGGAGAGTAAAGGCAAAAGAAGCTTCAAGATCCCATGGCGTGAAGGAAGTACCATCATTCGGGGTTATGGTGAATGAAGGGGCTATCGCGAATTCGGTGTGTATGTCCTCGGGGAATGGGTTTCTTAGCGTTGCATTATCAATCTCCCCTAAGCGCTTGGATTTCAAGAACAATTGGTATGAAGAATCAAACATATCAGATGCGATGTATTCATTATGAAGTTCAATGGTCGCACGTTGTGACTTCGTGAGCTTTTCCAGATTGACAATTTGATCTTCCCAGTGTTCAAATAACTGATTGAATAATTTAATCGTACGCAATTCCGCAGTCGAGACATCAAGAGCATCGCGCGCCCCCTTGAAAAGCTTCAAACAATACGTGTCTGGATTCTCTTCGGTCTCTGTAGAGCTCGCGGCGACTATGGCGGGGTTTTCACTACTAGGCGAAGGAGTGGAACTGTTGGTATTTGGGACAGGCGTCGGATTTGCCATCTTGGATGAGGCTTTGGCTCGACGAAGGGGGGCAGACTCGTATGGAAAATTGTAGTTTCGACTTGAAGGAGGAGCGGTGAGGGCTGGGAATAACGGTAGGCGCTGCTTTCCGAGGCAGCGACGTCGAGGGTTGGAGATTTGAGGGCTGAACTTTTGCTGCGAGTAAAGACTACGGAACAGAGGTCCAAAATATATAACTTTTGAGAATGTGCTTGGTCGAAATTCATTAAGTGTTGGTAGTTTGCACACTTCTAGCTATAGGTTAAGCGGCATTCACCACTTGAGGCCTGCCAACCTCAACTACGTACCTGTACTTACTTTTGACATGGACCACATGCTCGGCGGTCAACTTTCGCACGCGTGATCCGTCACATGTCACTTGACAGCCATATCTTTTCATAGCCCAAACTTACAGTTTCAGATAGTTCAAACCCTTTGAGTACGTGTCAAGTCTACTCTACCTTCGTGGAACTTCCAACAATTCAACTTTCAGCTGTCGTCCTTTCTTTGGCTGCACACAAGGCAAAGACATCATGTGACGCATTCACCCAAATACAGTCTTAGATCGTTCTCGCAGAAAGCAGAACTCTTTGTTCCCCTGAAAGACCATACAGTTGCTGTATCTCAAATTCCTCATCGTTCGGCTCCACACGTCAGCTCTTATTGTGCCATATCTTCATCCCCTCCATAATATTTGCTTTTCAGAGCAGACTGTCAACTCGACATTTGACATGTCCTCTATCACAGCAGCAGACGTCTGACCATAAGCGAAATTAGTAAGTACGTGCCTCCACCTGTCTTGGACGTCAACGATCCTTGAGATTCCAAACAATCATGTAGGTATAGAGAGAGAGAGAGCTGATAGAACGTTTCAATTTGTATATTTCAAATAGCACAGTTTGCTTGCGAGTAAACTCATCAGATCCTACATACGATACGTTAGTCCTTCTCACAGCCAAAGAACCATGTTTTCCCCTCTCACTTTGCCGCCGCCGCCTCCTTTCGCAACTTCTCAAATCTGTCTATCGTCCTCTCCGAGATAGCCTTAGCATCCCACTTATAAGTAACGCTGTCCTCCTTCACAACAGCACTAGCCCACTTCCAGAAACTCGGTGCCTTGGCTTCCAGCGAGGTAAGAAGGCTCTTGGGAAGCAAGGCCTCATATTCAGCAAATGTAACCAGACGAATGACAAAAGAGGCAGTTTGGACCTTCCCAGACAGACAGAATTAGCGCTTATCCCATCTGACTCTGGAATTTAAAACGTGGAGTTCCGTTCACTTCAAAGGAGATATCAATATACGTACCTCAGCCAGCGTAAACCTATCCGACCCCCCAAAAAACGGCCCCGCATCCCCCAACAACGGCTCCAGCTCCTTTACAACCGCATCCACAATCTTCCCCACTGCGTCCTCCTTCTCCTCCCCGACCTGAGCCCTCAGCGCCGCTAGATACAAACTGAGCAACTTGCTAATAAACGTATCGACAAAGAAATTGATCTTCGCCCGCTGCAGCGGCCCGCCTTCATCGGTACTGGCTTTCTCCAGATGCGACGAGTGCGCATCGACGAGGAACTGCGACACGATGGCCGATTCGGTTAGTATGATGCCGTTGTAGTCGAGCGCTGGCACGAGGCCGCGGGGGTTGATTTTTAGGTATTCGGGAGTGCGGGGTACGGATAGGTCTACGATGACAGTTTCGAAGGCGAGGTTGAGTTCGCGGAGCGCGATTTGGGAGCGGTGTGCCCAGGGACAGGCGTAGCTTGTGTACAAGGTGATTTTGGGGGGTTCGGTGGAGCCCATGATTGCGGTTTGGTATAGATAGATAGGTACCTGGGGAAAGGAAGGAGGGGTTGAGATGGGTGAATTCGATCGAGTTGAGGGGAGCAGATCACGTGCTTGGGTATAGTATGGGGTCTGGAGCTCGAAAGGAAATGGTTGAATGTTTGTTTTATGGAGAGCAGTATCTTTTATAATATATTTCAGGCTTCAGGCCTTCGTACTCATGTAATAGGCGGCTTGGATGGTGTGATTGATAAGGAGGGGTAAAGTGCTCGGTATTTCTAAGCATGTTTCGGGCAATCCGGACTTAAGAAAGAGGAGTGAAAAAGGGGGCACTAATAAAACTCGGTTATTTCCGACACTCCTTTTACCTACCTATACAGTACTCTATCGTGTATATAACTAATCTCTCTATGAACAAAGACAAATGTAGGAAATAAAGACACTCAAGCTCGGATGTTTTTTATATTTGTGCAATTTTTACCTTCTTGGTATGTATAGAGAGAGCTTTATAAGTACAACTGGAACTCCTTTGTCTCGCTCACTCTTTTTCTACGCGGAGAGGAATAGCAGGAGTCATTAAATTTGCGGCTCTCCTACAAAACCTATATCAAAAATGATCTCAAGAACCTGTGTTGTCAATCAAGTTTTGACCATAGCACTGCTAAAAGGGCAGATATCCAGACCTGTCTTCGTGGTAGGTCATGAGGTGGATTAATTTTATATTCTAATATACTGCTAGTCCAATTCATGACACAGAATCAGAATTGGGAATCCCGGAAAGGTTTTGTGGAACAAGAAGGCGGGTTCATATTCGTGAGAGTGAAGTATCAGTATTTTCCCAACTGCAACAAAGGGCTAAAATGCAAAGAAACCGTCTTAAAGCGCCTTACTCCGTAAACCACACATCTTTCAACAACTCCTCCGCATCCAATCTCTCCTCTGGATCAATCTTCAGTACCCTCTCCACAAACGCCCCATCCTCCTCCTCAATCCCCCACTCCCTCATAACCCACCGCCACTCCCAATACTGTTTCCCCGCTTCTTTCATCGCTCTTTTAAGCCCATTAAAGTGCTTGAAAATAGTAACCATGTCCTCACCAGCCGCTTCGAGCATGTGTTGTGCGTATTCCCCGATCATCGCGTTTTGCTTTTGCAGCATTTCGATGGCGGCTTCATCGTCGTTTTCTTTCTCGGAGTCGTAGAGTTCGTCTGGTGGTCCCATCATGAGAGAGCCAATCTGGGAGGTGTAAGATGAAGAATTCGTAGAGGTAGATAGATGGATTGTCAGGTATCTGATTTGCTTACAATTGCGCCGAAAGACCAGATGTCTGTTTTTGTGTCCCAGGGTAATTCGAGCCAGACCTCGGGACTGCGAAAAGACAGCGGCGAGATGGTGTGCTTTGATGGTGGCGAAGCTTCCGAGAACATAAGTAAGCTAATATCCACTATGATACTGAGAGGAGAGGATGTACAAACCACTTGCCCAGTCTGCTATCTTGACTGAGGCCTCGGCAGGATTGAATTCGGAGTCCGAGAATCCTGTGAGCAGAATGTTTTGTGGTTTCAGATCTGGTTTCCATCAGGTTTTGGCCTGGGAGGGATGTCTGACAAGACTCTAGACTCACCGGTATGCACTAGATCCTTCGAATGAGCCCAAGCAAGGCCCTCTAAAAACCGCTTCGCAATCGTCTTGATCTCGACCCTCTGAAGCTTCCTCTTGAGAGCTTCACTCCAAAGATCCGTTTCCATGTATTCGAGAACCATGCAATTTGGAGTCTCGATGTTGTCAATCAGCTGACGGATGCTAGGGTGCCCTTTGAGTGCCGAGAGATGCTTGCGTTCGGCTTCCAGGAGATGGAGCTTTTCGGCTGTTTTGATTACAACCTTTCCTTCATCGCTAAGAGGAATTAGCAAGGTGTCAACCTAGGGTCTGTCACAGGAGCCGTAGTTTGCATACCTTTGGTTCTCCTCATTCTCTGGGCATGCGCTCCAAACTGTCTTGGTCCGCGGGTGCGTCGCTTCAAGGAGACGGTATGAACGAACAAGACCTACAAGGCGCTGACCTTTCTGAAATATAGCCATGGCGCCTCGAAGGATTTGATTGTCGTCTTTTGGTAGAACAAAAGTAAGCTCTTTTGATATCAACCTTTTTAAGTTGTGACTGGTTTATTTTTCGAGGGTTGTAGGTAAATATTGACATTACTACTTTCGGTACTGTAAGCGATAACTCTAACCGATCTACCCCTGACGCCAATGCAATGCTACCTATGTATCATCTAATTATGATGCTTTATATCACATCATAAGCAACATCAAACAGCAGATACAAATTCAACAGAAGAATATCATACTAAGTATGATATAACAATAATGCCTCACACCCCCGCAGACCCCAAACCAACGACATCACCTCATGCATCAAGGACCACTTTCCCCGCCAGCCTATAGCTCGGGTGAATTGGCTGCTTGAACGATGATAGGAAGTAGAAAGTAGAGCTATAGAAGGATGAAAGTAAAAACATGAATTATTACAATATATTTTTGTCTACCATCTAAAAACGCCCATGCTAAACAAGTCTATCCCACCATGCACAAACAAACAATAATATAGATGACGGGGAACATTTAATGTTATAGGATAAACTATTTCTCACACCCAGCTGGCCAATCAAATCAAATCCCTTCCAAAAACACGACATCACCTCATTCATGCATCAAGAGCCGTACTACTCCCACCGCTCTCCTCACCAACCTCCTCTCCTCCCTTCCTCTCCTCCACTCCCCCGCTAGTTCCATCCTGATTCTCCTCATCATCTTTCTTCTTCCCGAAATCCGTCGGCGCGTACGACGAATGCTTCCGCAGCCTCTCGCCGTAGATGTAGAACAGGAACGGGATGGGCATGAATGCTATCCCGAGGAAGCCGAGGAGCGAGCCTGCCCAGTCGACACCGAGTTTGTTGAACATTTGGGTTGCGAAGAGCGCTGGGGTGTTGTTAGTACGGGAAAAGAGAAGAGGGTGGAGGATAAGGATGAGAGTTGACGTTTGTGGGGGATCTGAAATTTAGTACAGGAAAGAGGTATTCCAGGTTCCATGTTGAGTGGGACATTAAAAACCCCCAATCGTGAATATAAACTTTCGTGGCTGGTAGTGGGAAAGAAAGGGCGGATTTAGACTTACGAAAGCCAGCTCCGAAAAACGATCTCAAGAACGTGTTTGCGGCAATCGCACTAGCTGCTACGACTAGGTAGGCGTCGATGATGTAGTTTAACGCTTGTAAGAAAATCGTCAAGATCCCCGCGCCAGTCATTATTCCACTAAGCGTTGGGGCAATCCAATGGATGTCGGGATAATTTCCCGTCCAAGCAAACCAGAATAGTCCGACTGGGAAGAGGACAGCGCCGAGCATCATTGGCAAGAGGCGCTGTTCCGGAACCTATTCGTGCAATCAGTATTGTTTGAATATCTCGAATCTTCTGAGAGGTTTTCCAGCGGGTGAAAAGTGGATCTCAGAAGCAGGAATCATGCATCATTTCCAGGATCAAGAAATCGACCTACGGGTATGTTGTTATTTGCTTTCAGTTTACGGTTATAACGCGGCTCAAATGCTATCACAATTCCGGAGCCAACAAGAACACCAATAACGAGACCGATATATGGCAGCGTAGCAACAGCTTCATTGATGCCTCGCTTTTCAGCAAACACAATTGGGTACGCTTCCAAGAATAGGTACAAAATTCCGTAGATGAAAGCTGTATAGAGGGTAATGAGGAATACGATAGGTTCTAGGAAGAGGAGTTTGAGTGGGAGCGAGAGATGTTTGTTGAATAGGTCCTTGACATCAACGACTTCTTCCTGTAAGTTGTCAGTATTGCCTTATTGTGAACAAACCATATTGGGGGCTTGTTCATAGTGTCTCATAACTTCTGAAACATGAAAGGGAACGCAGAAAATGTATACCTCTGATATATGGTGGATGGCGAAATTCTGCGTTTCGGTCCTGTAGTAGCCGGCTCGTCTTTGCAGAAGGGTCCTTTCGTATGTCTCTTCCATAATAAACAGATCCAACACGAAGGCTAGGGCGCCCATAATGCCAGTAATATACTCAGTCCATCGCCAGCCGAGATAGCTTTGCGTGATAAATGCTCCTGCAATTGGAGAGATGAACGGTCCGATGAAAACAAGGGATGAGAAAGCCGCAATAGCAATTCCCCTCGTTTCGTTTCCAAACAGATCCGAAAACGCACCTCCCACCACAGCAAGCGGGCATGACGCAAAGACTCCTGCGAAGAATCTCGTGAGCATCAATGTCTGGAAGTCCTTTGCGGTCGCTGCGGCAAACATGAAGCATGTGAAAACAAAGCAAGCGCCAGTAACTGGAAGTTTCCTGCCATAAAGCTCCGAAAGAGGCGCGAAAGCCAATGGCCCTGTAGCAAAGCCACAAATGTATAATGTGAGTCCGAGAAGTGACACGACGGTCCCGACGTGGAACTCCTTGCCCACGGGCTGAACTGCTGCGGAGTAAACCGAGGATCCCCACGAGGCGATAAGAGTATCGAATCCTAGTACGACGGCGGTCCGCAACTTCCTCCTTATCGGCCATGATTTTGCGTTCGCGGGGTCGTCGTCGCCTGTGAGCTCGACGAGGTAGTCATCATGGTTCGCTTCGAGGGAAGGAGGGAGCCCCTTTCCGTTTCGGCCAAGCTTGAAGTCGAGGTGAGTGGGAGCACGTCTGACGGGCTGCGATGCATGGGGGTGAAGGTCGAACATATTGGAGGTGCCTCGTGCTCGTGGAGTACGTAGAGTACAGTGACTCGTAGATGACAGAAAAAGCGGCGAATTCAAATTTCCGGAGGTTTCAATGTCGATCGCAATGGAAGTGAGCAAGCAGGCGGAGATTCTTAATTTGACTTCACCTTCAAGCACTCACTCACGTACTCACTTGAGAATACTCACGGAACAGGAAACAGTACAGTATAAGAGGAAAACAAGCGAACTTAAAGTACTTCTGAGTTTTTCTATTTCTCTCTATATTTGGCAGTAGATGTGGAGGGCCGGCAATATGACGGATGCCATGACGATGCAATGGATACTCGACTCCGCCACGTCAACAGAAAAGGTCTAGTGGCTGTTTTAGGTTCCTCGTAGAAGTACCCAGAGCCCTACGGAGTGTGAGTATTATCGCAGGGAAATAAGTTATAAACCAATCAGGATGACGTGCTGCATTTTCGGCATGTTACAGTAAGTCCGTAGATGATACTTCGAAGTATCTCAAAGTTTATTTAGAAGTCTAGTGGGTCCAAGGGTCCAAGGAGAAGAGCCGACAGCCGTCGCCGTCTATCCGGAATGTGGGGCTCATGTATGCATAATGTACCTACTAGGGGTAGGAGGGCATCGGGGGCATCGGCGCCCGTAAATGCCGTATCGAATTTCGAATTTACTCCTGTAATAATTCTTGCTATATCTATCAATTACGGAGTAGTAAATGATATAAGGGATGATTGCACTATACTAAAATAAGCAAAAACTATAATATAGTTAGCATTACATCTAAAATAGGTTTACACCATGCGTATTAGGCTTAGTCTGAAATATTGATACTTGAATATAATGAGCTTAAATTCATTGATTCCTGATCATATCTTCGTAAATATCAATGCCCTAATACGTACTTCATGAAATTGTTCAAGCATAACTATAATAAAGGCATTTAAATTAGTAATCGAATATTGCATCACGGAGTAAGTAAAAGATACGGTCCAAGTAAGCAACGGAAAGTATGTCTAGAATTTTCTTCTTTTTCCCTCCACGTCATACTGAATACTTCGTATTATTGTCTTGTGAGCTTCCGAGTGGTCAAACATCTAGTCCAGCTTTCCTGGACTCTGATTTGGCAAAACCATTAAACGACTAACTCTTCAACTACAACAGACGGGTATATAACATCTCGGAATCAACAGAATCATCAATAATTTGGTCAACGAAAATGGAAGGCTTAGTGACCCTGAGATTCGACGCGTGAACAAGAATAGGTCTGGTCTGCAAAAACAAATGAAATGCGATAGACAGTGACACTTGTCCAGGTAAAGCAGCAGATGTTAGCAGAGATGGATGCCTACGAAACAGAGTCTATCCAGGCGAATTTGTAGCGAGAAAAGGCTTGTTGGTACAGGTGCATTGGATATATGCCTCTCAATCTACCACCATGACGCCAGCTTATGCTTTTGGACCCCAAAGAACTCCATACAACTCCAGATCTGATCATCCAAACCAAATTACTTCCTTCCTCGCCCATTTTCTTCCTCAGATCAGACCGTGTACCTATAGCTAGCATATCTCCCGGCTGTCTCAGACTTCCGAATGATCTTGACCACCTGACCCCGCCTCAACCCCAAATACCTCGCAACCGGATCACCAACCTGAATACGCGGGAGCTGTGTCTCCTTCAACCGATATCTCTGCAATAGCGCCGACTTCTCTTCCTTGCTAAGCAGAACGTGTTTGGGCACTAGTTCGTGGTGTGTGATGTTGACCAGCAGATCCGCCTCCAGGAATGTCTCGATCCTGGTCTCGGACGCTACCGCGGGGATGATCTTGAGAGCCGCAGGGGTGATATTGACGCTCGTGATCATAATGCCTGTGTGGAAGCTTTCTTGTGTGAGCTCTTGGGCGAATTTGCGCATGTTCTTGATACCGATGGAGTCTCCCTCCTCGAATTTAACCTTGATGGGCCCAACGTCAGGAGCTGCGGGTTTGGGGTCGCGGTCGGTAACTGGGTTGCTGTAGCGGGCAACCATCTCATCGCTGGGGTGTGCGGTGAAGGTCATGCGATTTTTCCTGTTGAAGGGAGGGTTAATTAGGGTATCTATAAGTGCTGTGAAGAGGAATGTGGAGAAGCCTACTCGATATTGCCGTCGCCGCTGTTGAATTTGTGAATGAAATCCTCTAGACTGATCTTGACCTCTGCCTCGGAAAGGATATAACCTCTATCCTGAACCAACTCGTGTACAGTCCGCCATGCGCGCCAAAGTCGTGCGGTTTCCCTGTTTCCTGCCTCTCGCTGTTTGACCTCTCGGTCCTCTTCGTTGGACATCTCGTTTGCGTTAGATGGAGTTTGCGAGTGCAAGGAATATGGCAAAGCCGCTGGTGTTGGCGTTTGCGACAGGCTGTTGTGATTGTAGAAGTCAAGGGAGGGGGGTTTAAGAAAAAGATGAGGCTGCAACTTCAAAATATTCAGTATTTCGCCAAATGGTCGTGCAGCCCGCCCTACGACCCTGAGCGCGGAACAACTTTGGACGCTCCGGTAGCCCAGCCGAGCCACATTAAATTGTATGAATCTGTTCTCGAACATATTTTAAAACCATCCAGTTTACGCAAGTTACAGTACTCTGTCAACTTCCACACAATCCAAGTGCACAAGATATTTAGTTATCCTTGTGATCACTCTGCACCTCTTTGCACGCTACTCAATTAATTGACTTCTACAACACCATAACACATTCTATTCCCTTGCTTGTGAAGTCAAATCACAGTCATGGCCGACCTCGCAACTCCCTCAGGTGCTGCCATGTTCGACGCTGGTGGTCCCAGCGAGAAGAAGAACGCCATCACCAAGCCCGAGAAGCCAGATGAGGAAACTTACAAGGCGAATCTCAAGCAAGCCGAGAAAGAACATGCGGATGTCATGACCAAATTGGTAAGTCCATTCGAACAAGCGCACTGGGTGGATTCACCGGGAGTCTGCAGATACAATTGCTCACTAATTCCTGCAGAATGCCGTCCGGGCCAAGATTGACATTGCGAAGCCCTCTTCCAAAGATTCGCCGTCCAGCAAGCGCCGTGCAGAGCTCATTGCGCAATTGAAGGAAATCCGGGAGAAACAAGGTGCTGGGAAATCTGGCCGAGCATCTACATTCGAGAGGATTAAGGCTTTGGATGAGAACCTCAAATCGGCAATTCAAGCGCAAAAGGCTGCTCGCAGCAAGGTTAACTTCAAGGGCGTTGAGGATCTTGACCGCGAAATTGACCGACTGGACAAGCAAGTCAACAGCGGTATGATGAAGCTGGTCGACGAGAAGAAGGCGTTGTCTGAAATCTCCAACTTAAGAAAGCAGCGCAAGGTTCTTGCTGGGTTCGACGAATCCCAGAAGGTCATCGATGCGAAAAAGGCCGATCTCAAGAAATTGAGAGATACTCTCGACGACCCAGAGTCAAAGGCTCTAAGCGAAAAGTACAACAAGCTCCAGTCAGAGCTAGACGCCATCAAGGCCGAGCAAGACGAGGCCTACCAAGGTATCAACGCCCTGCACGAAGAACGCAAGAAGCTTCAAGACCAGCAACAAGAGAAGTGGACCGCCCAAAAGAAACTCAAGGACGACTATTACCAAGCTGGCCGTGCAATTCAAAAATACGAATATGAGGCACGACAACGTCTACGGGAGCGCAAGAAGGCTGAGCAGGAGACCTACGTTAAGGAAAAGAAGCGAGCCCGTGCTCAGGAGATGCTCGCCGATGCAAGCGAGCCAGCATACTTGGCCGAGATCAGAACCGCTGAATCTATCATCCGATACTACGATCCCAAGTACACGAACGAGAAGGCACCTCTCCAAGCCCCCTCGCAATTTTCTGCCTATGCCGCGAGAACTGTCGATGAGGCCGGTATCAAGGGCATGAAGGTCGTTCAGAAGAAGGACGAAGAGGATTACTTTGCGGGCACTGGGGGTAAGAAGGGAAAGAAGGGGAGAAAGAACAATGCTGCTGCCACCCTCGACGCTCCCGCTCCCAGCAAGAACTTTAGCTGTCCGCCTCAAGTCATGAACGACTGTTCCTCGATGGGTATTGACCCCCCTATGAGCTCAGCCGATGTCGAGCCTGTCGTTGAGAAGGTCCGGGCGAAGCTGGAGTTCTACAAGTCTGACCAAAAGGCGCAAACCGAGAAGGTAAGTCGCCTTTATACATAACATCTATTCACGGAATGGTATGCTAACTAAGTAACAGAACATCGCCAAGGCCAAGAAGGAACTCGAGCGTCTCGAGGCAGAAGACGAGACACCAGCCGCGCCAGCCAAGACCGCGGAAACCAACGGAGCTGCTCACGGAGAGACCAAGGCCACCGCCGGCGTTGACGATGGCGGCTCTGTTGCAAACGAGATCAACCTGATGAAGGCCGCTGGTTCAGATGTGATTGCCGATTTGCAGGGGGCCAGTCTTGAGGACAAGGAAGAGGAGAAGTAGATCCATCCGATGCCCCGCTTCACCCAGCCGGACGTTGTCTTCTTCCCACTTCTTTCACACTTCCCTCACTCACCTCAACTCCTCTCCAAACCCAAACGCCTCACACCTCACCCACCTCTCACAAAACCATTTCCTCATCTGCACATCAAAACTCATCCATCCAAAAGTTACCCGTCACGTCTCGGGGTCGGGGGGAACCTGCATATTTCTGGCTCGCTCTCTGTATATCAACCTACCTCGCCACACTTTCACGTCACCTCACTTCGGGAAAAAAGTCTTCTCATTCTTGGACATCGAACGCGGAGACGCATCGTGCATGGTAGCAGCAGATAGTCGTGGTCGCTTTGCTAGATAGGGAAAAACATATGCATCTAAATTTTTGAATTAATTAATCCACCCATTCCGTTCTGTGAATTTCACTCGTAGTGATCATACCAGTATTAGCAGTCAGTGACTATGCCTTTCCTCCTTCCCCTTCTTATCTTTTCCTCTCGTCTCCCTTTACATTAAACTCTAGAATTCGAACGCCAAACTCCACATAACAGAGCTCCAAGCTTTTCATTACTAACCCCCTTAGTCACAAAATCACTGAAGTAAATACCTAAAGTACGTGACAAATACTCGTATGTAAATGCAAGCAGGTGTATTTGTTCATTGCTATTACTAGACGTTATAAAATTGTAAATCCCCACACCAATGCTCCGGCTAAATGCTATGATATGATATGCTATGCTATGCCGAACCCCCCAAATTGCAAACTGCAGCCCTTATATCGATCCATCGATCGATCCATCTGGTTCTCGATATCGTTCCTGCTCATATGAGCAAGTGCAAAACGTATGTCATATCTCATATCGGCAATTTCGAAGCACAGCACCACTCCTTCTTTTATTCGCCCCCTCCCCTCCTCGCCGTCACTTGGATCCAATTCCCAACTCTTTCCTTCCGTGTATTATATTATATTACGTATCTTGTAAATGCTCGGTCTCCTTAATAACCAGGCGGCACATACCCATAGCCCTGCATCGGCGCAAAGGCAGTCTGTGGTCTACTCGGGGCCCTCGGCGGCGGCTGCGGCATGGGCGCCGGCACAACACTCCTCCTCCTCTCTCTGCGATCCCTCTCCCTGGCTCCTGCATCCTAACCTTCCTCCCCCCGCCAAACGCAGCCCCACCACCCAGCGCACTCAGCGGCGGATCTCTCACACCCGGCTCCTCGTCACCCGGTAAATCCAAACGCACGAGCCCATAGAAATACTCCAGCACTTCGGGATACCGCTGCACGGACGCTTTCCAGTCATCGTCGATGCCGCGCTTGAGCTCTGCGTCTGCGGAGGCGATTTCAGAGGGATGAGGATGTGTGCGGTAGTAGGCGTAGTGGGCGTGCAGGGCGTGCAGGCGTTGGGCGTGCGAGTCGCGGCGGCGGGTGGTGAGCATGGAGAAGTAGGAGAGGATGTAGTCTTGAGCGTGGCCGCGAACCCAGGTTCTAAGACATGGGGGGTTAGTGTGATTAAGAATTGGATGGGGATCTATATGGTAGAAGTGGAGGTGGAAGTGGAGGTGGTTTAAAGGGGATATACCTTATATCGGTAAATACACTAGTCATCATCCTCTGCTCTGCTTGCCTCACTGCAACATCCAAGCCCTTGGCTTCACACTCGCATTGTGCCAGGGCCGGCTGGTTGCATATGGCACAATCCGGGTCCATTATCTTAATCGGTTTCTTGGACCTGCTGTGCTTGATTAACATGACTTCGGGACGAAAGTATGGCATTTGTGTTGCCCTTCGGATAGGTAGGTAGCGGAAGCTAAGATAAGGAATGGATAGAAGGATATGGGGATCAAGGGGGGGCAAGAGAGGTCCGGAGAGGACATGGTTTTTGTACAGGATTTGTCGATTCTGTGAATAAGAACCCGTGATTGGGATGCATGGGCAGGCAATCGGTGTACGAGTAGATGTGGAAACAGATGGCAGACGTGGAGGTGTGGGATGAGGAATTCAGATCACCCACCTGTTGAGAGTGATGCAGATGTCCAGATCACGCTATATGTCGAGGGTTCAGAGAGACAGGTACTCAGACAGAGGAGGGAGAAAGACAGCCCAGAGCGTGCTCGTGTGGGCTTGTCTCGAAAGAGTAGAGAGAGCGAGAGTCAGGGAACAAGCTTGAAGGCATTCGGACAGCAAAAACACAACGAAGCCGACATGCTGCAACTTGACAAAGCAGGGCAGCTACAGTACTTACTTGTCGTTGCATCGAGGTCTGTCTACTCGGCCATAAGTGGAGTCAGCAAGTTGAGGGGAAGACTTGTTGTCGTGGCTCGAATGCTTTGCATCGCGTGGACCTGGTGTGGCATATCAGAAGATCCGGTTGGAAAGAATTAGTTGTATTGTAGACTTGGACCAATAGGCACATGAGAGGTGCTGTGTGTGCGTCTCTAGGCGCATGCACGATGGAGGTCATGACTTCTCGCACTGAATACGGACAGTCTCGCGTCTACACCGCTTCCATGGCGGCAAAGGTAGCCGGGCCTGGTACAGTGATACGGAAAGACTCGGTACTGTATTGAAAGCTGACTATAGATAAGATATACGTCAAATATCCACACTGGGGTTTTTAATCCGGATAGCTTCTTGGTGGGAGGATTTGTATAGCAGGTCAGCTGGAGTTATAAGTCATGATGTTGATTTGAACTTGACTCGGCTATCTCAGGGGTGGGTGAGACATTGGAGGGAGGAAAGAAAAGAATTCTACGGTAGCCGAGAAATAGCTTGGACGATGCCAGTATCAAATTCGCTACATACTGTACTTACTGTACCTGACAATAGGAACCAAATCAATCACATATTCTGTGTACCTGCAGAAATATGCCCCCAAGATGTTCCAGCATACAAGGGACATTGACGCCATTCCTGTATCCCTCCCTCCTCTCCAATGTCGCTAAAACAAGCTATCGAACTTTTCTCCAACGCCGCCATGAATCAACAACCACCGCACCCTCCCAACCAACGTTCGAAGAAGGCTCCCATCTGAACCCTCCCCCCACCGACTACTCGCGCACAATCTTTACAGACAAGGCAACAGTAACCCTATTCGCCGGCTCCGGCGGCCACGGCTGCGTCTCCTTTGTCCGCGAAAAGTACATAGAAAAGGGGCCTGCAAACGGAGGTGACGGAGGCAGCGGAGGAAACGTCTACATCCAGGCTGTACGCGGTGAGACGAGTTTGCACAAGCTCGCGCGACGCAACATTCTCAAAGCCGGACGCGGCAAGAACGGCCAGGGCAAAACACGTGGCGGAGAACGAGGCGATGATATCATTGTGCAAGTCCCAGTCGGGACTGTGGTGAGAGAGATAGAGAGAGTGGATCCTGTGTTTATTGAAGAACAAAGGTTGAAATTGGAGGCGGGGAAGAAAGATGGTGTTGATGAGAGTGGCCCTTGGAAATGGAGCCGTGATAAGTGGTTACTCTACCCAGCTGTTACGCCTGAAGATATCGCGACTGCGGAATTCCCTTCTTTGCCTCGGGGACGGAAATCAATGCTGGCCATGGCGCAGGTGAAAGCTCCTATCTCACTGGATCTAAGCGCGCCTATGGAGAGTCCGATTTTGCTTGCTGCTGGTGCCGTGGGTGGATTGGGAAATCCACATTTCGTTACGAGGGAAGTGCCTAGGCCCAAGTACGCTACAAAGGGGGAAGGGGGCATGAGGATTACATTAGAGCTAGAATTGAAGCTTCTTGCAGATGTTGGACTTGTGGGCTTGCCCAACGCGGGAAAGAGCACGCTGTTGAGGGCTATGAGCAAGAGTCGCGCACGAGTTGGAGATTGGGCATTCACGACTCTCCAGCCTAACATTGGAACTGTCGTACTGGATAATCACCATGGAAGACCGGTAGCACAAGCGACGTACGAGACAGGCGAGCCGAGAATCAATTACACCATTGCCGATATCCCCGGTCTCGTCCAAGACGCACATCTCGACCGCGGTCTAGGGATCTCCTTCCTACGACACGTCGAGCGCGCCCGCATCCTCGCCTTCGTAATCGACCTCAACGCCGGCGATGCTGTCAAAGCCCTCCAAGCTCTGTGGAAGGAAGTCGGCGAGTACGAGCGCATGAAAATCGTCGAAGAGAAAGAGAAGTCCGATCCCATCGTCGAATGGTCGCCTTTCCGATCCACGGAAGACGCATTGGCCAATCGTTCCGAGACAATCGTCATTCCATCAGGAGGACCGACTTTAGATGCTCCTTTGGCACCACAGTTACCGAGTATTGCTGGGAAGCCGTGGTTTGTAGTTGCTACAAAGGCGGATTTGCCGGGCACGCAGGAGAATTACGCGCAGTTGAAGGCGTATCTAGAAGCTGTTGGAAGGGGCGAGCAGGAGCATCCTAGCGGGCAAACGAAGAGTTGGGAGGGAAGCGTTGAGGCTGTTCCTATTAGTGCTATCAACGGGCATGGGACAGAGAGGATTACGGAATGGATTGTGAACCTACTGGAAGAGTGAACTTATGTACTTATATGTCTGTAAATATCGCCTGGTCTGCCAGCTGTTTGAGTACGAAATGATGTAGCTTAATTAATTATTTCAGCAATGCTACCCCTTGGCTCTTGTCTCTAGGAAGAAAATTCCATCTCTGGCAATAAAGCACGCCGGCCTGTCCTTCCAATTTCACATAATGTCCATGAATTGAGCTTGACTTCTACATTTGATTTCTTCGCGCTAGGCGCTGACTACTTCTTTGCTTCTCCTACCAGACTTCTTAACTTCACAGCCACATTAAGCAAAATCTCTATGTCACTAGCTCTCTTGTGATCGTGTCCTGCCAGCAAACTCATGTCCAGAAAAATGCTATACTGCCGGGGGGTCATAATTCTACTCCAAGCAACCACCGCCATCTTTTATTTACATTTACACCATCGATCTGTTTGCAATGTGCTCGGCTCTTATCAGTGAGGGCAAGACGTTGTGCTGTGTTTGATAAGTGGAATAGCCAGTCATATTGAGGGTGCTGAGATGATGTACTGCAGGAAACTATTGAAGTTCATGATGGCAATGCAGAAAGAAGGATACATATCGAGATGCTATTGAAACACTTCGGCTTGTCTATTTGATTCTGTTCTTGCTGTTGGTTATTTGTTGGTCTCCAAAAGCATATAGGGGAAAGTAGCTAGTGTAGGTGCAATACATTTCTCAAATATCTCCTGTGTCCTCTCTCAGTTCCAGTTTCCTCGGGCAGGGAAAAGATACCACTAGCCATTGGATTTATTCTCCCCTTTTCCGTCATTCTCTCGTGGCTATATTGATCGTGTAGTTTTTCAGGCCTCCAGCTAGAGGTAGGCAACTTTCCAATCAACATATCGCTTCTAAATGCTGTTGAGTGGGTGTTTCGGGGTGAATGAAGTATGACTCCACTCACTCGTATATTGCTTTCCCGTTCGCGCAGCCACCTGTCTCATTCATCCTCTTAAACATTTTACTGACAGAAATCCCCTCTAGGATACCACGATGCGTTCATCCTTTTCGGCTGCCTGGCTAGTTGCTGTCCAAATCATCACATCAAAAGTCTTTGGCGCACCCGTGGATACGAGTCCCCCATTGTCCGATATCACGAAGGCTTCCTTGGCATTCGAACAGACAATGTGGGCACACGGTTCTGTTTTGACTGACCCCTGGTATTCTGTGGACAAGTCAACCGCGCCGGCAGGGCCCGGAACACTTCTTAAAGTGGAAAAGGTTACAGACGCCTCCTTGTACACTCTTCCTCCAGCTACATCTTTGTCACGATTCATCTATCAGTCAGAGACTTTTAATGGTACTTTGGTTCCCGTATCAGCTTATATCCTCTGGCCTCATACTATACGCGATGATGCAGAGGGCTATCTAGTCGTAGCTTGGTAGGCTTAATCCCATCCTGTTTTCCTCTATGAAAGTTGTTTCAGAAGCCCACATTCCGACTCCTGTTGACTCATCATTATACTAATTCACTGGTACAGGGCTCATGGTACTAGTGGCGCTGGCCCTAACTGTGCACCTTCGCATCTCAAGAATCTTTGGCAACATTATTTAGCTTTTTCAACTTGCCCTCCAGGGTTATGTCGTTGTTGCGACCGATTATGCTGGTCTCGGAGTTTCTAAAGACAGTTCGAATGCAAATATCCCTCACGAATTTCTGACTGCCCCTAGCCAGGCAAATGATGTCTTCTATGCTGTACAAGCGGCACAAACGGCGTTCCCAGAACTCTCCGAAAACTTCGTCATTGCTGGCCATTCTCAGGGAGGGGGGTGGCATGGGCTGCGGCACAACGTCAGGCTATTCAGCCTGTGGATGGATATCTGGGAGCCGTTTCCATTGCTCCCGTCACGAGTATTATCGGATTGCCTGACCCGCCAGCAACCTACGATGCTACTGCAATTGTTCCCAGTATCCAACTGATGTTTCCTGCGTTCAAACCCTCCGACATACTCACACCTGATGGTATTGCGAGACTCGCTTTGAGTCAACAGGTCGGTGGAAACACCTTCACGACTTTGTCGATCGTGGAGGGTTATCAACTTACGAAACCTACATGGCCGCAAAACCCCTATGTTCTGAAGTATCAAGATATCGTTAGGAATGGAGGCAAAGCTATCTCGGGGCCTTTGTTGGTGATCCACGGAGAGGCTGACCCAGTCTTGGACATCAAGCTGACTACAGCCGCGGTGCAGAAGACTGCCAGTCTATTCCCAAAAGCTTCGATTGAGTATCATAGTGTTTCTGGAACTTCTCATAATGCCGCATTGACTAGCTGTCAATGGATATGGATGAATTGGATCGCAAATCGTTTTCAAGGGATTCCGGCAGCTGTGGGGCTTAAAAGTGAGGAGCTCACAACGCCAATACCGCAGTCTGCGTATCAGATTGAGCTGAATTGGTGGGTTGCACCTGCTACAGGTAAGTCAACTTCTCAGAGAATACTTTGCTATATGTGTTGCGGGTGTGGTTTACTTCCCAATGGTTGACCACTTATGAGACATTAACAACTCCCAAGCTTTACCCTTTTGAGCAGTACTGATTCTGAGATGTTATTACAGCCCCGTTTGAGGACCCTTGAAGATGGACCACCTAATCTAGGGGGAATATGCTTATTGACTAGCATGTTAAGGACTGCTTTATTGGGAGTACAAATCCCGCATCGCAGGATCTCTTCATGTAAAACACCATCGAATATTCGACTCCATAGCGACAAAACAAGCACGCTACTGAGTCTTGGAGGATAACACAGATCGAGGGACTTTTGCTCTCTCACATACTGAAAGGGGCAGTATTATCATTAGTCTAGGAAGTTTGATAAGCGTTTCCACGCTCATTCACAACGGTTCAGCGGGCAGTACTGCAGACACAGGAATGGTTTTCACGATACATCATTACCCTAGGTACATCGTTACCCTACCATTAATACATTAATTTAATTCCGAAAGGTAGACCTTATCAAATATCGACACAATTTAACGTTGCATTAATATTTTCCGATATAAGAATTGCCAACATCGAGTGTACACCGAAATAAAACTAAAAGTCCGACTTATCAGACGCTGACTGATAGGACACTCTCACTTAGTCTTAGGCCTGGGATGACCCGCGGTTAGAGTAGCTTTGCCACTTGTTTCCACCCCCTAGAATAACTTACTGAGTCAGCAGTTGGCTCTGCGTTTCAACTAACAGGCAGGAGCAATATATTGGCTTTGCAGCCTTGCGCATAGCATCTCCCATGGTATAATTTCACCCCATTCTCCCGAAACCACCAAACTCATGGAGCCTGTAGTTGCGAAAATATGTGCTTTCTGTCAAGATTTGGTCCTGCTCAAGGAAGAACCATCAAAAAGCCGAGCTCATTATCCCACTTTAGCACTGCTTGAACAATCTAGTCAAAGCTGTTGCATGTGCAGAATGCTAGTAAACGCTGACATTTTTGAGGACGCCCGAAAGCATTCCCCAATTTATGACGTGGAGCACGAAGCCATATATTTTCAGGTAGAAGTAGAGGAGATCCATGCGAACTCCGAACTATGCTGGGCGATATTGGAAACTCGTTTGAGAGTAAGAGAATATGCGGTTCCGGGCACTTTCTCTAGCACCACCTGCTGCATAAATTGTGAGTAATCAGTCCTCTGGTATTGATTTTAATTAAAGTGTCTCCGTCCAGCTATCAACGCAAACCGTCCAATTTGGAAAACCGCTACCATATCGTTTCCAGACAAGATTTCTGTCTTGAAGGATTGGCTTCATAACTGTGAACCGAAACATGAAAAATGTAAACCACCCGTACATCAGATGCCAAAGAGGTTGATTGATGTCGGACGGCTCGGAGGAGCTCACCCTAGGATCGTCATGTCCCAGGATTTGAAGAAGCAGTCTACATCGCCCATCAAGTATACTACACTGAGCTACTGCTGGGGACGCGCAAATTTCTGTACCACCAAAGAAAACGAGACGTTGCACAAACAAGAACTTGACTACGAATATCTCCCTCAGACTTTAAAGGATGCAATAACAGTGACCCGCCAACTGAGCATTCCCTATATATGGATCGACGCTTTATGCATAGTGCAGGATGACCCTGCGGAATGAGAAATTGAAGCCTCCAGAATGCGAGACTTTTACTCGGGAAGTTCACTTACTATCGCCGCATCAGATGCAGTTGACGGGTATACGGGATGTTTCCCAGCCAGTTTCGATGACAACGGCGGCTTGGACCCACCCGGTATCTTTTTCACCACTAGCAACATTAGAGACGGAGGGGGATCCATTGTACGATTTCAGTCAGCAGATATCAGACGACTTACTGAAGATGTAGTGCTCAACACCAGAGGTTGGGTGCTTCAAGAGATGGTGCTTTCCAATCGCATTGTCCATTGCATGAAGTCCGGACTCTACTGGCAGTGTAGATGTGCCTTTCAGACCGAAACAGGCCTGAAGCTTGATCGATCAGCTGTGAATGAGAACTCGCTCGCCATCCTACCACACGATGCTCAGATAAGGACGGAGACCAGTAAGATATGGTGGAACTGGATGGAGAACTACACGCGACGGCACTTCACATATCCAATAGATAGGCTACCTGCCTTGACGGGGATTACTCGGCATTATCAAGTTGCTACTAAGGATGTTCCGATCCTTGGTCTTTGGGAAAGCACCTTTTCTCAAGATCTACTATGGAGGAGAGATACGATGATACCACCAGACGAGTTTGAGCCAATCCCAAATCCTATACGAAATGCTCCTTCTTGGACTTGGCTATCATTCCCACATCAGATTTCGTTCAAATACTTAGACAGGGACAGTGATGGCGAAATTCAACATCATATTGAACTTCTCGATTGGGCAGTCAACTGGGACTCTGAGCCACTGACGTCCGGTATCAATTCCACTCGACTTATTTTAAACGGGCCCGTTAGACAGTGCGTTCTAAGCGACATAAGAAAACGGACAGTGTTCGATACACCCTTCTTTGACCTTGGTGGAGAGGAAGATCAAGCTCCCAAATCTGCAGGCGACTTTGATGGCGAAGTCCGATCGATTCCTACCAAATATTTGTGTATGCTTGTACAGACCAGACCTCGTGAGCCGGATCATTACTTGAGGCAGAAGTTCCTTGTATTGGAGCTTTGCCCGCGTACAGATGCGTACCGGCGAATAGGGATAGGATGCATTGACACCAGGTCTTCAAATTTTGATTTGACGAACCGACGAACTCTGAGTCTTGTATAAGAGCGAAATGGCCGCCACATTGGTACCACTTGAGCACGGAAGTTACTTATTCTCCTTGTAATATTTATTCCTCGTACCCAGAACTCGACAACTCGTTATACGCGAAACATCAACTTCAAGTATTGACCCTCCTTGAACTCCTAGAGCCCAAAGGACACCGTCGCCACGTTCTACGAGCTAAATACAATCATTCGTAAGGTCCAACTAGCTCGCGCTTTTTATGACGCAGAACTCAACAGTAGCAAAGGACTCTTTGCCCGTGTTTCTCGACAGCCCAAAGGCCAATCTCCGGCTTGGGACAACTGCTTGTGGTCTTTCTAGAAGCGGCGGAAAGGAAATCTAGAGGGTATGATGGGAAGGGAAGGATACATCGATGGCTGAATTGGGATGTCACTTGATGGTCAGACCTAGAAGATGAAGATAAGAATAGAGCTGCACGCAAGCAGAAAATGTTTAGGATACTGTATCGGGAAACAAGCGGGAAGCGCACTTGCGCGTTGGATTTAGCAGGTCCATGTTTAATACACTGGAGAAAGAAAGAAACCTCAAAATGCTGTTGTCAAAGTATCTGCAATGCTCATTTCTTATCCCAAATTATCCACAATGCTATGAATGAAACCCGACCATCCAACCAACTCGGACTCCAAGTGTATGCAAACCAATCCTCATGCCAAAAAAACCCATACAACTTGCCGTCATAAAAACATATCTACATCTTCCTCATCCAACCACAGCCTTCATACTCAGACTCTCGAGGAAACCCGCCAAGTCCTCCTTCTTGACCTCCACTACACAATGTTCAAAACTGTCAATCCTCACCCTAGCATTCGTCTCCTCGACAACCTCTTGGAACGCATTCCCGAATTTGTTCCTCCCGAAGCCCTTTACTTGCTCCGCTTCGTCGTCCTCGTCATCTTCGGATTCGGATTCAGAATCATCAGAGCCTTCAGACTCCGTTTCATCCTCTTCATCATCATTTTGTCTCGCAGCTCGTTTCTCTTCCCTAACTTTCTCCTTATTCTTCTTTTTTAGCTCGCGCGCTTTGGCTTTAGCCTCGCGCTTCGCTTTTTTCTCCTTAGCAGCCGTCTTGTCGCCAAACCCCATTCCCCCACCTCCACCCCCGCCAGTTCCAACGACAACATATACGCCGCGGTTTTCATTAAGACCTGCGACGACGAGTGGGGTGCCGCGTCCACCATGACCTAGCTTCCCTTTACTCTCACGCTCCTGCTCAGCGATAGCTTCGCCGATCCAGAGCGCGAGTTTGGTAAGTGCGGCTGGGTGTGTGAAGAGGGCGACGTCAGGGCCATCTTTGACGACGCACATTCGAAAGGCGCGGAGATGGCGGATTTGGCGCTTTTCGATTAGGCCGGTGCCAGTGCGCAGGATGGCACGGTGAAGATGTTGGGCTGTTGGGAGTGCGGCTTTAAGTTCATCGATTCTGTTTACTTATTAGTCCTGGCTATCGTTCAAATGGCAAATTTACTTACTTTTCGAGAGCATCATATGCGTCCCAGAATCTCCCAACCCATTCCTCGCCTTCCAAAGTCCCATCCTCGTCCGTAGTCTCCTTGTTATCTCTACCTCGATCCCATCCTCCAACTTGGAGCGTCGAGACAGCTTGCTTTCCTACTTCAAGAAGGGCACCTACAACTATACCGACATCTTGAGCGCTAAGTGTTGCTGTCCAGCCCCAACTCCGGACGAATCCCCAGCCTTCCTTAGCTCCCCCTCGATCTTTGCCATCAGTGTCTGCTGATGGTACTAAATCGTCCAGGCCGTACATCTCAGAGTATTTTAGCAGTTTGGTTCGTAAGCCCCTCTTCAGCTCCATATCCATATGTGTATAGCTTTGTTTACATTGGACAAGACTGACTCCCATCTTGGCGAGTAATTTGTGCAAACGTTTTCGTCCATTGTCAGACCAGATATGTAACCGTGCAGAGAGGTAGGGAGAATGCAGCATGCTATCATACAAACTCCAATGCCGGATGAGAAGAAATTTCGGTTCAGGGGAGAGACGAATTGCGGTGTCAGTAGGACCCCGTGCACATGTAGGGATAATGCCACTGTTTTCAGGCAGCATGTTCCGGTTTGAGGTATAGCTTGACTCTGAAAGCTCGGGAGGATTCAAACGTCGAACTTCATCTCGTAGTAACTGCCGTATCCTTGACCCACGTGTACCCAGCCAACTGGACGCAGCTGTTGATGGATTCTGGGAAGAGACGGTGACGCCTATTGCAGATCTCCCGTATAACTCCATAGATGTAACTCCTACAATCGTCATCCATAGAAGGTCATTGTCTTCCCGGCCAAGTTCTGACGCAAGAGAATACATCATTGAGGCTATAGGTTCCGAGTATGATGCTCCAAGTGAGTAGTAGGCCTGTAGAACGGTTTCGTGTTTCCGGCGAAGCTTTAGTAGACGTCGCCGCAGTGTTCGTGCCGAAGGGCCTCTAGGGGGTTGCGCAGGGGTAGGTGATACAGATCGTGAAGCAGTAGTATCTAATGGTGGCGGGCCATCTAATGACATGAGGCCTCTTTGAGCTGGACGCGTTGAAGGGGAATCGGGTATCGGACTAGACTGCAGAATATGTTAGTAGATATAAATAATAGTAATTGATATACGCATACCGAATTACTTCTCCGCCGTTGCCTTGGTCTATCATCATCGTCACTGCTTTCATCCTCTTCGTCCCTATCTGACCAAGACTTCCGTTTCTGCCCTAGCTTGGGTTCTACTACGTCCTCGTTCTCACTCCCCGTCTCGCTTCCCTCACTATCATCATCATTCTCCTCGACCTCTGGCATATCAATTAATGCCATATACGCGTCTCTTTCGGTATCCAGCTGTTCTTCGATATCCCCATCATCAAAAACAACAATACCACCCTTGCCAGGTTTATACCCCCTCAGAAGTTTCCCACCATCAACTCCAAGTTGCTTCATGGGTTCCCCACCCTCCTCTGGCGGTGGTAACGTAGGATAACCCCCAAAGACATTCCCCAGGTTCCACGGTCGTCTCGCATCTATAACCCAGACTTCCACCCCACCATAACTATCCACGTCTTCCTCTGTATCAATTCCCAGCAGACCTCCAAGATCAACCAATCCTCCAACACCCAGACAAACCACAACACCTCCACTGCCACCCTGACTCTCCATCATCGGCCGAATAACATTTCGACCCGCCTTCTCCAAGTCACCATAGCCTGCAATCGGTTGGATCTTGTGCGGTATGTAGTCGCGTTTAAGTAGTTGGGTAAGGATTCGACAGCCGCATAGTGCATCAGGTTCGAGAGCGACGAGTATCAGGACTGGTGGGGAGAGGGGGTGGTGTGTCCGCTGGAGATGTAGGTAGAGGGTGGAAATGAGTGACCGCGGTAGATACATTTTTATGAGCTTCTAAAAGTATATGAATTCATAGCAGGCCCAGGAGAGTTAAGGGAGACGGTTTATATTGCAATTGATGTGGTTGCGAACCAGAAGTCGCGGTCTGGTGGGATGCCGGATGGACGCGTCTGAAGATCCAAGGACGGCGGCTTACTGCTGGAAGGCTGCCATGAGTATTTCGAAAACTGATATGGTTATATTGATACGTTGGATCCTTCTGTAAATAACGAGTCTGTGGAGTTCTCAAAGGTTTTGTATGTCTGTGGAGTAGGTGGTGGTGGTGGTGTTTTTGACGGCTAGGTCTCAAAAGTCGCGAACCTCGATTTGGGGACGCGACCTATCAGGCCGGGCGCTAAAAATCTTGACATGCAAAGAACGGCACGGCACCAACCTTCCATCAACATAGATAGGTAGGTATATCCATCATGAAAAGTCTATTTAACAACAAGAAGTCGAATATCCTCATTCGATGTATTTTACTTGATCTCCATGGGACAGTTTTCATACTTGTGATCACGTGCGTATCCTCGAGTGTGGTTCCATACCTACCCAAGGTAGTTCTTTGCAAGTTCGACTAGTCTTGAGAAATCAGCTATTACCTTTGAGTACCAAGTTATTATTCCTGTGAATCAGAGGCATTTGTGGAGAGCCTTTATCAAATATGTATACCTGGAGTTAGTTTCTTCGCATCTTCTATACTTTCTCAAGACACTGATAATGTAGCTTCCATGTGTATACACATTTTCCTATGCAGTATATCAAACCCGCTCCCAAATCTCTATCGAAGCTAATAAAGTGCTCACCACCATCGCCATCCCTACATTTGCACTGGAGACCACAATCCACCCGGTAGTAACACCGGGAGTCAATAGATCACAACCATCAATCACAAGCTTCCTCACAATCGTCCCTCTAGTCGCCTCCCACTCCTTCCTTTCTCTCTTGACTTTTTCCGCATCTTCTTTCTCTTCGCTTTGCTTAGCAGGGCTAGCACCTAATCCCCACAACTGTACAACTCCCAGCAGCAAACTGAGACAAATACCATAAAACCAGAATTTATTCGCTTCCAAAAACAGCGGTGTAGCCCAATCACTTTCATGAACACCCATAGCATCCAACTTCTCTTCATCAGCCTCAAATTACCTCCCACATCTCACCCGTCTGGAAAATTGGGGGACAAGAAAGAAAAGCTCACAAGCGTAAACAGTTCCAAAAAATTATACAATGCCAAACAACTCCATTTCCCAACTTCCAGCACACCCACAACCCCACTGCTTCCCACAAAAGCTTTATAAGACAAAACGAAACAATCAGCCCATTTCAGGAGCCGGAAGTAACGGCGTCCGAGTGCGATTTGGTATCTCGCGCGGAGATAGGGGTTGGGGGATATGGAGTGGAAGGCGATGACTTGGGCCACGGCTTGGAATAGGCGGAGAGTTTTCTCAAGGCCCGCTGAGCAGGTATTAGCGAAGCCCGGTGAGGAGATAGGGTACGGTACCAGCGTCGTTTGTGAAGCGTGAGATTTTGATTAGAGAGAGCATCGTGACAGGACCTGGGAGATCAAAGCAATAGGTGAGGACACAGTACAAATTAATCTATGTAATCTTGTCGATATATTCTACTCGATGGCGGTGAGTTCATTTTCTAGCGCTTTAATATTATTTACACTGAAGGCCGACGAGTAAGTGAGATATCAGCCCAAGAATGGGGCTGTTAAGATGAGATTGCTAAGCTTCCACAGACCCGCAAATGCTTCTGCGCCACGTGTGGCGTTGCCGATTTTTATGTACAGACGGATGAACTGAACAAGCAAACCCCTCCCCCTCTCCCCAAAGATGTTCTGTTCATAGTAAGCTTTCCTCCTCTTCCTTCCCCTCTTGAATGTCGATCCAGAGCTGGTGTGAAAGAAGTGCGGGGTAAGACTTCAATGTTCCACACATCATGGTGAACTAGTTCACCAAGCTTGAATGATAAGACAAGCCCCAGATCGGAAAAGTCGAAGTCTCAACATACTGTAGTGGAATGGAATATCTGCCGAAGTTTCGTATATGCACCGGAAGAGATCTTGGTAGCGTTTGGTCCCAAACTTCGGGACTGAAGATCCCCCACCTTTGTAAGATTACCTAGAAGTATAAAGTAAGTACTGTAGTACAACTGAAGCGAAGGAGTCTGCGAAGGTAAAAGTTGAGATAAGACAATTTAACTTCTGAAATACTTGATTCTCACTTATTCCACCATCAAGTTGTTTCCACTGTTTAGGATTCGATTTCGATAACCGCAATATCAACCCACTTGCAATCCACAATGGCTGAAGCCCAGCCTCTGATCAATGCTCTTCACCCCTCAGTTATTGACCGAATGGATCCTCAATTTGCAGAGATCTATACGAAATATCAAGGTGACCCTCTAATACGTTGCTATTTCTCGGCACTTGCTGACTTCATCCACCCAGCTCCCAAAATCCGCGCCGACCAAGTCACGTATGAAGAATACAATGCCGATAGATCTAAATACACATTCACTATAGTACCAGGACCAAGACCAGAAGTTGGAAGCGTCAAAGAATACAGGATTCCCGTCTCAGAGCCAGCCGGCGAAATCACCATTCAACTCTTTGCCCCTACCGAGGAAGCCATCGCTGCCGGCGGCTTGCGGACCGCAGATGGAAAGCTGCCAGCACATTTAGACTACCATGGTGGTGGCTTTGTGATTGGTACTTTGCAATCAGACGAGTCTTGGTGTAGACAAGCATGTCAGGCACTTGGATGCATTATTCTGAATGTTGATTACAGACTGTCACCCGAGTTTCCTCATCCCGTTCCATTGACTGATTCCTGGGCAGCTTTGAAATGGGTGTTTGCTCATGCTGTGGAGCTGAAGATTGATACTTCAAGAGTTTCAATTGGAGGCCTATCTGCTGGTGGTCAAATTGCTGCCGTGCTTGCACTTCTCGCTAGGGACGAGCCTGACATGCCGAAGTTGGCTCACCAGATGCTTATTGTCCCTGTTGTAGATACAAGATTCGTACCACTGGAAGGACCTTGTCATCCCAGCGTTCCGTATGAAAGTTACATCAAGAATGAATTCGCTCCTTGCTTGCCCTTGAACCGTCTACGGTGGTTTTACAAGCTTTGGTTGGGAACTGATATGGGTATGATTTCTCCCAAAACCCAATTTTCTTTGCTCAGACAACCTTAATGATACGAAACACGAGCCATACTGAACCCTTCAATAGAAGCACGGAAGATAACAACAGCGGACTTCCGCGCATCACCGATCCTTGCTTCGTCGCACGCAAACCTTGCACCGGCTTCGGTTTATGTTGCTGGAGTCGATACTCTGACGTCGGAAGGTATTGCATATCACGAGAAGCTCAAGAGCTCTGGCACACCTAGTACCCTGAAAGTGTATGAGGGTTGTGGCCATCCATTTGGACACTGGGATGGCGAATTGGAAAAGGCTAAGGAGTTCATCCAGGACACTATATCTGCATTAAAACTGGCCTACAAAGTTTAGAGACTTCTTTGGGTCACTTGATTCATAGGGGAAGATATATGTGGGGGTTCCAGTATTTCCCAAACATGAAGGAATCAGAGCCTTTCCCATAAGCAAGGGTTGTGTCGTCATCCACTTGGTTGGTTCTTGTTCTTGCAAATTATTAGTTTCAGACCACCCTCTCCTAAACCTGTACTTGATTTAGAAGTAGAATACTAGAAGAATGAAGATTGTTTTAACTTTAACGAATCGAGTTTCTACCGCCCCTATTAATGTAATGTCTCGAACAAGTTAGCGCCTCGCTTCTGTCTTGGTGGCGACTGCCTCTCAACCTCGAAAAATGAACAAACTTCTCATCTTTCGTGTCTTCCCATCTTCGACAAACCTGTTCTCTTGCACTATTTTCTCATTCCCAGCTTAGTTTGAGTTACATCCTACATCGTCTCTGATAATGCCACCGCAAATGCACGAAGACGAAGGCAATTTTGCCCCCTTAGCCCCTCAGTCACAGGAGTCCGTTCAGTTGTCTGCAGGGAAGCAGAGAGCTTGCGCGGAGTTCGTCTATATTTCATGCAGTGTGGAGTCATTGATCGATACTTGCTGGTCTTTTACCGATCCGGAACCACTCGAGGCTTTGATAGAGCAGAGCTCCCGTCCGGACACAAAACACGATTCAAAGGCAAGATCCCTCCTCTCTTGTGGTGCGCCCATCCTCCAGCTACTTCTCAGCCTATGCACTATTGTCAGAGTCCAGGATAAATTAATTGAATTCGGCCACATAATACATAGACTTGATGATCTCATTCTCATTGCAAGAGAGAAATGTTATGCATTTCCATACAAAGATGTTCCATTTTGCTGGGTTGAGCTATTTCGATTTGCGAGCTTTCTCAAGGCCTCTGTTTTAGCGATGGAAAGCACTTGGGGGGAGACAAAACACTTTCTGCCTCGGAACAACAAATCTGAAGGCTTCCAGGTCGGATTTCCGGGGCTTTCAGAAAAAACCATAGATGGAATGGTCGAGGCGATCGATACTGCTCTCATCATGACCGGTCACCCTTCAGATGACAAGGCACGAGTCAAGATCAATCATATACTCGAGATTCTTCAAAGTATTCATCAGAGAAAGTTCAACAACAACGCAGACATTCCATCGCCTTCAAAGCGCCCGAGACTCGATAGCGATCCTTTTCCTCGGGCATCTTTGACGCCAAATGTCCAGAGGCCAGTCTCGATTTTCTCTGATCCTTCGATACCGGCTCTCGAAAGGCATATGCAGCATCCCAACAATGAAGGTCTCGGACCTGAACCCCTCTTGATTAAAGGTTCGCTGACAGGATGGCCGGCTCTCACCAAATGGAAGGATATCTCGTACTTGAGGTCAAATACCATTGGGGGTCGACGATTAGTACCAGTGGAAATTGGCAAGAGTTATGTCGACTCAGCATGGGGCCAAAGCATTATTACATTCAACAAATTCCTCGACGACTACGTTCTCGACTCACCAGGAAAACCTGGTAACGGCATGGCATACCTTGCACAATATGACCTATTCGAGCATATCCCAGCCCTAAGAAACGACATCATGATTCCGGATCTCTGCTACGCAACTTGTTCACCACCTCATCACTCTTCGCCTTTCCTCACCAAACATTCTGCACTTCCACGATTGGAGGATCCCATTTTGAATGCCTGGTTTGGGCCAGCAGGGACCGTTAGTCCAACGCATACCGATCCATATCACAACATTCTCGCACAAGTCGTTGGGAGAAAATATGTCAGACTCTATGCTCCACGAGAACATAAGAAGTTGTATCCCAAAGGCATCGAGGAAGGCGGTGTCGATATGAGTAACACGAGTAATGTCGATATTGGACTTATCTCTGGCATGGACGGCAATGTTGACGATCAGAAAGCGGCCGTCGACGAGTTTCCGCTGTTTAAGGAAGCAGAATATGTCGATGTTATACTAGAGGCTGGAGACTGTCTGTATATCCCACTAGGTTGGTGGCATTATGTCAGAAGCCTCAGTGTAAGTTTTAGTGTTAGCTTCTGGTTTAACGACACAAACGATTCGGATTGAAGAATCATCGTTGGGCTGTGGCAACCATGGTGGTTGGCCCTATTATTTGCATGTTTCTTTACGAGCTTACTCCAAATATCTCTCCAGAGATCTGCAGGCTCTCTTCCAAAACTCTAGCAGCAGTTGCCTCCACATTGCCAGAATTGATGTCAAGCAACTCATTACCTAGAAGGTCGGGATACTTGTCACACTTATCGCCGGCTCTGATGATTTTGGTCACATGTTGCTTTGATCCATGCTGATCTCAAATTGAGTATCGGGTGTGCTAAACAGCATTCGCTCCGGAAAAGATTAGAATAAGACCAAAGTTCTGATTTGGCGTACCCCAACAATCAACATTGAAAAGAGACACGACACGAAGCCTTTCTCATGGTTCTCAGACTACATTCGATGAGCGAATCAGGTATCTGGGAAAGATCGCTGACTTAACTACTGCTTGCTCTCGTTCGAGGGCGGTTGTCATGATTGGCATAGAGTGAACAACGTTCCTGGATAAATGGGCTTTGATATTGAAGTCTACAAGTCTGATTAGAAGCTCTATGTAAGTTTGTTCAAGATGTCGCTAACATCAACGGATATTATTACCCCTCTAAGCTCTACATAATTCATCAGGACCCACGCTATTGAATTTGGTATCATCCCCCTTCCAACTCCATACCGATTTCCGAGGGAGTGTCCCCACCTATAAAGAATAACCTCTTTGTACCTCATTCATTTAGTCTAACTCCCTCTTCATCCGATTCCTCAAACCTGGTCTGATTCCCAGCCATCGTTAAAAACCCTTCCTTGAACACCTCATTAACCTCCCACTGAAAGGGGTTATTCCGATTCGCAATAAATTCTCCTAACAACCTAGCCTGTTTAATACCTGCCACATCCCCAATACTGCACAACCGCTGCGAGACCCACGCCCTAACCTCATCACTCGACAGATCCATCACCCCAACCAGATACAACGGCCATAATATAAAATTGCCTCTCGACCCCGTCAATAGCCGCGCCGGTTCCGTCGAGTCCTGCGCAGAAGTATGCTGCGGAACCGAAGCAAGAATATCCCGCGAACACTGCATCGAAACTACCTTAGAATCCCTGAAAATCGCCTCATTTTCCTCTGGTGAAAAGCTCGGCACCAGACTTTTAGCATCAGCAATCAGCTGGTCCCTTATTGTCTCACCGAGCAAAATCCTACACGTGCGCGTCCCGTTCCAGATCTGCGCCGACCAATGCTCGCTATAAATGTGATACTTGCCATTCCATACCAGATGTGGATTCTCGTCCGTGTATACGGTTTCGTATCTAAATTCTTTCGGCACTCGGCTGAAGATTTCGGCGAAGCGATTGTCGATTTCCAACGCGCCGTTGACTACATTGCGCGGACCAACGATTTTCGAGTCCCGGATTGCAGCACGGAAGATGGTGAAGTCGATGATGACGCCGGTGGAGCGCCAGGCGGTCTTTCCTGTATCCATATGTTTTGCGGCGATGTTGCGCAGCTCGATCATGTGTGCTGGCATGGGAATTGTTCGCTGGATGCAGGAGAGCATGATGTAAGCCAGGACTTGGATAAACATGCGCTGGCCAGCCTCTGTTTCGAATTGTTCGAGACCGCGGAGCTTAACAAGGGCCGTGGCCCCGTTGACGTGCTCAGTCCAGGCGTTTAGGGATCGCTCGTTGGTGCCGGTTACGGTTTCGTAGATGCTAAGGATCATAACTGAGAAGAGGGTACTGTCTTTCTTTACGTCGGTAGGGGATCTGAGAGCTGCGTTGGTGAGGCGGAGGGCTCTGACATAGTCTTTTCGAGATCTGGTTAGGAGCTCGGGTGTATGGAGGGTGTTGGAGAGACTGGCGAGACCGACGGCGCTCATGCTGGCGAGGAGATGTTCATCTGCGTTGGTTTGGTTGCATAACGCGCCTAGAAACTCGAAGTTTCGAAGCCACAGGGGCGACTTTGAGTAGAAGAAAGCCTGAGCACGAAATTCAAGTGGTGTCTTTGGAGGAAGGTTGAATGAACCCAATGAACCAAAAGGTACCATTTCCTGAACAAAGCCTCCGTGCAAGTTAGGTTCCAATACAAGCTCAGCGAATTCTTTCTTCAAGTATTCCTGCTCATCGTCGACTGGTGGGGTCCAGTTGTCGCTACTGATTGTCGACGCCGGCGATTTTGACGCCGGCCTTTGTTTTTGTTTTGCTTTTGAACTTGAACTTGCCTTTGCCTTCCCCTTGGCCTTCCCAATTACAGCTTCACTTTCATCCCGAAATATAAGATCTAATTGGTCCCGGTAACCTGGGCAGGGCCGTTGTCCGCGTATGCACTGGCTGCATGATGGAGTGGCACGATCACACTAGTGCTGTTAGGAAAGCTTGATACGACATGTCGGAACAATCGTTTTGAAACAAGAGTTGGGGGCGCAAATCGAGGGGAATATGACTAGGGTACAAGTAAAGCCCACTTACTCGTGTCTTCCTGTCTCTGCATGCTTGGCATCCTTTCGAAGGCTTGCCACAATACACCATCCTTAAAGTGCCGTTGGAATGAATCAATGGGGCGCTTATTGTGAAAAGTTATGTATGTATACTCAGCTCAGGTATACTTGTAGGTATCCGAAATCCATCGACAGAAAGCATACAAGTAGACAGACCAGCGCAGGACTTTCAGATTGATACCAGAGCTCTTATTCTATCTGACTGTGCACACCCATGAGTTTTTACAAGGCACAAACTGCAGCAGACCCAACTCGGGGGGCTTAGCGACAGCAGATGCGTAAGGGTTCAGCTTGAGCCACAGTCAGCAAAGGCATTTATCGGATTGGTTCGAGCAGCTCCCTTACTAGCAAGATTCGGATCGAATCGGTGTTGCCGTGGACTGGACTGGACTCACTCACCTTACTAAGAGGCCTCAGGGACAGTACGAACTCTAAGGTTGGAGCAGGATTCATGTCGGACGTCGTCTACAGCCAAGAGGCGCAGTAGATCGTACCGCCTACTCTTTTTAGCGTGGCTTTTAATACCCGAACGTGAGTTCAGACCGGAAAGCAACCACTCAGAAGCTAGATTCGGGAGGGGTAGGGAGGATTTGAGGGCACCAGGGGGTATGGGAGATGTCTTGCTATGCCACGGCGTCAGCACGTTGCCGGTAGGCTAGTCCAGATCAGGGCACCAATACGCAAACCTATCACAGCCAGCCGTCGCTCCATACTGTACATATGTACAGATTACTGATATGTATACTTATACCTCACCTTTACTTTCGTTGCTTCAACTTAAATTTGCCATTTTGAAAAAATAGCAAAAAGTCGATTACCAACGCTAATGGCAATTGATTGCTCTTGAACTCTTCAACACTGCCCCAAAGATATAACCCAGAGTCCAAATACTCACTTCCTCATCACATCATAGCTAAAGCCCACTGATACAAACATGAGCTCCTCCACCACTACCCCAGCACCTTCCCAAGCCCTCCTAAAACGCAACCCCTCACTCACGCCCAAGCAATTCTCAACGCACTGGTACGAAAAGCACGCTCAGCTCATCGTGCCCTTTTTCCTGCATTGCGGCGTGGAATACTATGCTCAGATCCACGCCGCCCTTCACATTTCCCCCTCCCCCTCTTCTTCTTCACCCCCGCTTTCAACAGAAGAGCTTTCAGCATGGGACGGCGCAGCAGAAGCGCATCTGAGCGAAGGCCTAGTGGCAGTTTTAGGGGGGAGCGGGGAGGGGCAGGAATGGGTGATGGATTATTATCGCGAGGTGGTGTTGGTTGATGAGTTGAGGTTTTTGGTGTCGAATGCGGGAGCGCATATGAGGGTTCTTGGGGCGGGGAGTGTGGGTGGGGAGACGAGGGTTGTGATTGAGGGTGGGAAGAGTGTGATTGAGGTTGGGGGAGGGGGCGTGGGGGGTTTGGAGGGAGTATGAGAAGAGGGGTGGAGGTGGAGGTGGAGTTTAAAAGAGTTTCTGGCTTTTGAGGGTTTGGCGTTGATGGATGAATGAATAGTACAGGGATTCAAATTCGAGGTTCGAATTTTGTCACGAGATGAAGGTTTGTAGTAGACGGTAAGTAAAGTAATATATCTGAACCCATTGTTTATGGATTTGAAGAGGAAGGGCTTGTAAACAGCACTACCATCAGTTCCCCTGCTCCCCCTTGCAAACCGGTTCTCCATCCTCCCCGAAAACTGCCCATTGAAAAAAACTACACCCCTCTTTCCCCTCTACATTTCCCGCATGGCACATCCAGAAGTACTTCCCCCAATTCTCTCTCTTTCGTTGCACAACCCTCAGCACAGCCGGGACATCGCACCGACACCTTGGCGTGAACTTCGGATGCAACGATGGCTTATAATCCCGATACGTGATATTTATCCTCTTGTTGCCAGATACTGGATGGGGGTCTATTGCTTGTGCTGGGGCAATGCTGTGTCTCCACTCTTCTTGCATTTCCGCATGCATAATAAGAAGGGAATTGTGCGGGAGATGGATGGCGATTTGGCCTTGTGCGTCGGCGGTGGTAGAATCTTGGGTTTTCTTCCTGGGGGAAACAGAGGAGGAGTCTTCCTGTGGGATGATGCGACGAACGCGGAATTCGCGTGCTACGCCAAGGGAGATGGAGCCAATTACTGCGCGGGGACCAAGATATGTAAGTTGGTCGCTGTGGTATCCGACACTTTCGTTGCCGCCACTGTAGCAGTTCACGAATGCTGCATTTGGTTTCCATGGGTCGGGGGATTGATACTTGAGTTTCTTGCCGTTTGGGTAGTGGGTCTTGATGCGGGTTGTGATTTCCGAGTTGACTGCTTCTTGGACTTTGGGTGATACCTTCCGCATTTGAGGAGTCAGTTGGCGAACATCCTATTAAGAGTTAGTTTTTGAATCCCAAATTTTTGACATAGCTTCTTTAAGGCCACTACTCACTGTCAACAATCCACCGTTATATATATACTCGGTTTTCTGCCGACGCAACTCTTCCATGCCCTCGACATAAAAACAAGCCGTATGTGGACTCTGTACTACATTGTCAAACAACTTGAATGTCATCCTCTCAAATGTAGGAGCTTCTTCCAGAAGTTCTTCAAGTAGAGCATTTGCTTCTTCCGCGGGAAGAAAATTGTGAATAATCGAGCATGGAGTATGTTTGGCCACATCTTCGGGAGAGTAAAGGTGAAGCGTCTTCCCTTTCTTAGATAACAGTTTCTTGCCCAACGTATCAATAGCATCATTCCCAGTCACAAAGCCAGAAAGAGAGCTCTGATAGCCCGTCGCTGCAGATGACTTCCTTGGTGGCGAACCAGAAGCTTTCAAGGATGCCGAAGTCTTCTCCACAGATCCCTCATGGGCTAGCAAAACATCGAGAAGCACTTGTTGCTCAATATAAGGATGCAAAGATGAAAGTAACGCTAGTTTGAAGTCGGTCGACTCATCATCAGGAGCGCTTAAGGCGCTGATCTCGTCGAGCTCGGTGGCCTTGGACTTTGGGGAGGATAACTTCCTCTTCTTTCGAGACACAAATGCATCCATCTCGACCGCCTTTCAAGAGAATATTTCCGCCATTTTCCCGGCGCAACTTTCATGATTTATTCGTCTACCATGACTGCCTTTTGAAGGCTCAAGTTCGAGCTAAGTAATAGATACTGGTGTCGGGCTTTAAGGAAGATATATAATCCGCTTTACATGCACACACGTGCACAAGGTGGCGGATGACTGAAGCATGTGGATACACCGCCCTCTTTTCTGCCTCTACCGCGGTTGTTTTCCTAATGGAGCTCGAAAAAAGCTTCAACTTTCGATCTACAACCCACTCCACCTAGCTATTGCTATGCCACGTCCCTGGTAAGCAAACCTGAAGTGGCCAACTTCTTCCCCCTACACTCTGCATTGCTAATCACTTTTCTGGCAGATATTGGAAAGGCGTCAGGAACCGAGAATCGAGCAGCATACAAGTAATGGAGTTCCGCACTCAGGGATACAACGGCTATGCCGTCAAGTACTCTCCCTTCTTCGACTCGCGCCTTTGCGTAGCTGCCAGTGCCAACTACGGAATTGTGGGTAATGGTCGCGTCTATGTCCTCCAGCTCACGCCGCAGGGCATTCGCGCCGAGAAGCAGTACGTCCACAGACCTAAGGCAGGTTCTAGAAAACTGATAGATTCTCTAGATTTAATACGCAAGACTCTGTATACGATGTAGCATGGTCTGAGCGAAACGAAAATCAAATGGTTGTTGCGTCTGGAGACGGCTCTGTGAAGTTGTTCGATTTAAACGTCAATGACTTTCCTGTGAAGACATGGAAGGAACACAATAGGGAGGTCTATGCTGTCCATTGGAACTTAGTGTCTAAGGATACGTTTGCATCAAGCTCGTGGGATGGAACAATCAAGATCGTAAGAGCCTCTTTCAAATCTTCTAAAAGTATTTCACTTACCCCACTACCCCGCATTTTCACCAATCATTCCAATATCACAAAGCTGACTTAATTTCACAGTGGTCTCCTGAGCGCGATACTTCCATTCTAACTCTTCCCACGCATTCCTGCACCTATAGCACAGCATGGTCCCCCCACTCTCCCTCAATCCTCTCATCCGTCTCCTCCGACTCCCACTGCCGAATCTTCGACCTCCGTACCCCAGCCTCATCTTCCAACCATCTCGTCGCATTGATTCCAATCCACGGACCTCCTCCTACTCTTGGCGGCACACCTAATCCTATGCAACGGAATATGCCCCCAGCTGAAGCCTTGACTCACGACTGGAATAAATACCGCAGTACAGTCTTAGCCACCGCCGGGGTTGACACCATTATCCGAAGTTTCGACGTCCGTAATCCAAGGGGTGGGCCAATTGCCATGCTAGAAGGCCACAAATATGCTGTTCGGAAGATTGCGTGGTCGCCGCATCTCAGCGATGTGCTTTTGAGTGCTAGCTATGACATGACGTGCAGAGTCTGGAGCGACGGAACGAACAACACAAATACTCACCCGGGAATAGCAACTGGCGGGGGAAGTCAGATCGGACAAATGGATCGCCATACAGAGTTTTGCACAGGTGTTGATTGGTGTCTGTTTGGATCTGAGGGTTGGTGTGCTAGTGTTGCTTGGGACGAGAGGCTTCTTGTCTGGGATGTGAGGTCGCAAATGGGTCCACAGGCACATGGCCAGCAATGAACAATGCCAGCACGGACAAAAGATGGAGCCAAAGACTATGCCTGAAGGTTTTTAGCACGAAATGATCTGGCAATACGAACGCAAATTTATATTTCCTGGAAGGGGCAGGGAGTGGAAAAATGGAGTACAGATGAATAATGATAATGATGGTTTGGTTTATAATGGATGATACGATAATACCAGGCAGGCGGGCGTTTGTGGATTTCTAGAGTACAAGGGGCGCGAGCTTCATATATTCGAATGGAATGCATATCAGATTGTGTAGCATATATATATATAGGGGTTGAACTACGAAAACTACAATAGATACATCATCATACATTCAACTTTACTTGAAGGCTCCTGAGCCACTTCCTTGTGATGACTCAACGCCTGCACAATCAATCCTGACCTAATAACACAAATCCTCTTTCTTCTATAAGAAAGGTATTCATGAATCTACTGGTAGGCCGAAGATTTAGCGGTTTTGTATGTATGTACGGAGTGGAAAGGAATGGAAGGTAGGAGAGGTAAATAGATAGTTATGTGCCAGGTTTAGGAAAATCAAATTCAACGGGTGGTGGGTTAGTCAGACAAGACCTAAATGGAAAAAGTAGAGTTGTATTATATCTATCCATCATAACATAGAAAGCCATCAGATATTATCGCAAACCCGTAAAAACGCTCTGCAATAACTCTTCTCTACCCAAAGCAAGGCGGAGACAGATGCCCAGAAACGCCATCTGACTACTTGTACATGTTCCCTACACTCCTTTTTTATACACAAATGTGAAGAAACGGAGTCTACCACATGCCTACCCCATCTAATGTACAAGTACACCTGCTAATCCCACAATTGTGTTCGGTTCGGTTCGTTCGGTTCATTGATTAGAAGGAAAAGTCATCGGCGCGTCCCCTGTCTCGTCCACCACCACCGCCACCTGATCTATCATTTCCGTATCCACGACCTCGGCCGCCTGATCGATCATTTCCATATCCACGCCCTCCACCTCCGCCTCGTCCACCGCCATAACCTCCTCCACCTCCGCCTCGTCCACCACCATAACCTCCACCGCCTCCGCCTCGTCCACCGCTATAACCTCGTCCACCTCCACCTCCTCCTCGTCCACCGCCATAACCTCCCCCACCGCCACCGCCACCTCCTGAGGAAAGGCCAATCTTCTGGGCAAGTCTTGAATCGATGTGGGGTGCTTCGTCCCAACCCCATCCAAATTTAGTCCACTGAGTCAAAGCCTCGATATCAATGCCTTTGCCAGCTTGTCCAACCATACCCATAAAGGCATCATGCTTTGTCTGACGATCTACCATCTTTGTTGCATTGCCAACGCTGCTCAAAGTGGCGGCAACAGATGCCGGTAATTGGGCATCCTGAGTCATATCTACATGCGCAGCTTCAATAGATTTGTCCATTTCAACGGGCAGGCCACGCAGCATTGATCTCGATGCGTTGATTTGGCCCTCATAAACGATGAGAACACCTGTTCCTTCCTTGTCTGCTCGTCCGGTACGACCGATTCGGTGAACGTATTGTTCACGGTTAGAGGGTAAGCCGACTTGGATAACGTGGGTGACGTTGGGGAAATCCATTCCTCTCGCTGTAACATCGGTGGAGAACAAAATTGCAGATTTGGCTCTGCGGAACTTCTCTGTGGTGTATGAACGTCGCTCTTGTGTGAGTTGCCCGTGGATTGACAACACTTGCGCCGGGTCAAGCGGTGATTTTGCGTATCGCCCGCCGTTTTCGTCACTCAAGTTGTCGAAAATTCTGAAAGAGAGTTGGACGTTGGCGGTTGACTGCAAATAAACAATTGCCTTGAAAGGAGGCCCTTCGCCAGCAGCGTGTTTATCCACTTCGCGTTTGCACAACTCAAATAGGGCTGGCATGTGGTTTTCGAGACCTGGCGTAGAGATGATCTTTTGGGGAACCTTTTCGTGCGTAGCCAATTCGCCTTCCTTGACAGTTTGTACGAAGTGGAATTTGGGTTTCAGTGTTTTGCGAACGAGATGCATGACCTCCCGGGGAACAGTAGCAGAAAACATCAACGTTTGTCGATCGACGTCTTTCCTATCGGGTAACTTATCTATGATACTATCAATTTCCGCAGAAAATCCTTGATCTAGAAGTCTGTCGGCCTCATCCAAGACTAGCGCAGTCATATTCGGTGCTTCAACTCCACTATATGGGTCTTCCAAGAGATCGTTCAACCGACCAGGTGTGCCGACAAGAATGTGGCATCCTTCTCTACGGGTCTTGTTCAACATCTCCCGCTTGCTGTTTCCACCAACTGCGACCTGGACTATTAAGTCGGTATTATTGGTGAGTTTGGCGGCCTCGACAGCGATTTGCTCCGCAAGCTCACGAGTTGGGGAGATGATAATTGCTCGGATATCGGAGGCTCGGGCTCTAGAATATCTGTGCCGTGTAGCAAGCTCGGGGTCCTTCTCGAGGATCCTTTGGATTGTTGGGATGAGAAAGCCAAGGGTTTTTCCGGTACCCGTTCGTGCTTGCGCAATGCTGTAATGTGTAAGTATTTGAATGGACATCGTGTCAAAGCTGTTCGACTTACATATCGTCACCCTGTAAACCTTGGTTGATTGTCATAGTCTGTACATCCGTCATGTTTTCATAACCTAATCCCTTCACAATAGTATTGACAATATTGGGGTGAACCAGGTCATGATCAATAAGCTCTTGGAACTTTTTGATCTCCTGGTTGTCCTTTTCATATGCATCTCCATTATCATAAGCTCTCGCCGCCGCAACCTGATCGCTCAATCGTGACGAAACATGCAGCCATCGTGCTTCAAGCGCAGGCCTCGCAGTATTCTTTAGCGAGAGAGAAAGGGTTGAGGGTCGAGTTGATGGTATTCGGGATATTGAAGCTGCGGCGCGGAAAACTCTAGATATGGAGGCAGGGCCTCTTCTGCTGCAGGCAGTGAACATCTTCAACACGGAGCGAGATGGCTCCAATTGAAAGTTACAAGAGAATAAGACAAGTTCGAAGAGTAGATTCGGTAATTACAAGGAATGTAAATGGCTAGCCAGAAACTTGCCGTTGTTGTTGGGATAGAGAGGAATATTGAGTGTCTGAACGATCGCGACTTTCTCCTTGTCGACATTTTTTTATTTCGCGCTAGGGAGATCATCGGGAAAGGTTCACGTGACCAATTTGCCCCTTAGTCACGCCACCTTAAGCAAAGTCTTGCAGGATGCCTCAGTCTCGGTATTGTAGAAGAGGAACTTGAGTATATCTTAGTAGAAGTATATGTGAACTCGCTCATATATGCCTATCCTACTCCGTGCCTCTGAAACTACCTCGAAATCAGAATTAGCCTCCAAAACGCCGTCTATGCAGGGTATCAAAAGCTAAAAACACCTCGTCACATCTCATCATTAATCATACTTCATCGCTCATGGCCTCCTCTCTACAATCCTCGCTCCCACAATAACCATCCCCTCCCCAACACCCTCATGAATACCCCCCGTAACACCTTCCACGACCCACGCCGCGCTCCGTGTAATCACCTGCCCGACCTTCCCATCACCCATTCCACATATCGCACTTGTCAAACTCAGACTCTGTTTACCGAGTACGTCTATAGTCTCGATGCCTTGGCTCAACACTTTCTCTGATATCTTGTGTTCCCGGTCGTATTGGTACGCGGAATGAAGCAGGTATTTAAGGTAAGGGATAATGAATTGGAAGAAGAGGAAGAGTTGGATTATTATTGAGGCTAGGGTTCGGTGGAGGACGGATGGTTGATTGGTGTGTGTGGTTTGGTTGTGGCTGGGGTGTACTTCGACACGGAGAGTTTCGACAACACCGGATGGCAATGCGCTCCGCACACTCAACTGCTCTTCTGTAGTAAGATCGGGTGGCATAGCTCGAAGGAGGTATGTGAGAGAGTGTATGTATAGCTGCCTCGCAAAACTAGCGTTCCCTAATCGGTTGTCTCGGGAGATGACGGAAGACTCTTCAAGAGCGAGACTTAGGAGGCTGAGTCCTATTTTCAACCATTAGACTCTGTGCTTCATGCTGAGCGTGTCTGCATACCTTGATTTGCGAACTTCCAATTTATCCCGCCACTCGAGTCTGTCAACCCCATCCCAACCGGATGACTTCCCTCACCAGTACTCGGGCGAGAAGTATCTTCATCAGAAACGCTCTCAACGGCATATTCTTCTTCTCTTCCCCCCATCAACACCATCGCAGATGTATAGCTAGGTTCCGGTGTTCCATATCCCGAACTCGGCCTTGAGTCTAATTCTGTAGATCTTTGTCTCCCCGCAAGTCCATACATGCTCACAGTTCTGCGAAGTGATGGCAGACGTGGAATTCGGCACTGGACCGCAGACGGAAGTATTGAGTACAGAATCGAATCTTTCGGTCTAGGAGCAAAGTCGGCGGAGAGGGGTCTGATACAGGAGATGGCGGGAGATGGGCGAAGCTGTGCCATATTCTATTGAAGCGTACTGAAACCTTTGAAAATATGAGATCTGAATGCGAAACTTTAGACTTTCTTGTAGAAAAACGTTTGCCTGGCAGAAAGTTTGAAGTATAGTTGAAAGACTCGTTGCTCACGGAGCCAGATTAGAAATCATACTAGCGGAATTGTAATGATCACAGAACAAGAAATCGAAGAAGAGAGATACAATGAATATTATAAGAAAAGGAAGAGAGCAATAGAAGTCTGAGATGCGAATTAGAGGGGTCATGAAAGAAACTAGGAGATAAGAAAACGGAAGTTGCTAAGGGCTGAAGTTGAAACGGCACATCCTTGCCATCCTTCATGTGATGCTTACATGCATGTGAAAGTGGGGTCCACGTGATTATCCCTTGGAAGTATATTTTAGAAAACGAATATCATAGAGATGATGAAATAGCGGCGACGCTAGCATAAGAGATCGAGTTCATATATTGTGATGTGTGGGTAAAAAAGAGGATATAACCGATCAACCGAAGAATAGTTTCATGGTCAGTCATGCATGCTTATGTAAGAATCTAATTCCAACAATATTGTGCCTTTATTTCAACAAGTTGTCTATTGTATATATGCGCAGATGTTTAGCAGGAAATTGGTTTCTTGACGAGGAAATGTTGATGCTAGTTCTGGTTCATGTTACGAAAAAGTGCTTCGCTAAGAAGTGTCGGAACAAGCGAGGAAAAAGGGGTTGCCTAAAACGCTCTGCACCCTTTGTATATTAGGTGAGTCATGCTTTGGGAGCCTCCGGGAAGTTTATGATATTGGCTAGCAAATGTAAAATAAAACCAAATTGTCACCTTCTGTGATTGTGAAAGAGTGTAATAAATATCCAACCGGAGAATAAAATCAACAACCGAGACACTTCAAACCTGGACACGATACTTCGCCAGCAGCTCTTTGACTTTATCAATCGGTAGTCCAGGCAAGTGTAGGCCTTGATATCCCGTTCTACCAGCCCTCCCAGCAATCATAGAATTCAAGATCGCCTCTTCCGTTGCTTCCGAAGCAGCCCTGAACATAGCATCCACACTCTCATTCTTGATAATCTCAATCTGATTTGTCTCCACAGGACCAACTCCCATCACTTGAGGAGTTGTGACAATCTCATTCGGCTTGTTAGCTATGGAAAGCGCAAGTATAATGTCTCCCGAGTGATTTCGTCCAATACCATGTCCACCGACTTGAGCAAGGCCGACGGCACAATGTCTTGCAAGGCGATTCAGTTGGTGAGGAAGCATTGGTGCGTCGGTTCTAAATCTAAATCAGCAAGAGCCCAGAGCAAACTAAAGGGAGGGAGAGATCTTACATCAGAAATATAACAATGCTCCCATCATCCGCCTTCCCCGTGGGCACCTTGCTCTGCGGTGCCTCCTTCTGTTCCTTAAGCAGCAACTTACCAATCGGCACACCACCAATATGCAGATCATAATTATGCCCATAATTAGTCTGCACCAGCACTCCCACCGTATACTCCCTGCCGTCTTCCTCCCCACCCTTCACAATTCTTGAGCTAGTCCCAGTGCCACCAGGGAACATGTGGCAAGTCATACCCGCACCACCGCCATGCTGTCCCTCCAAAACCTCAGTTTGGGTCATGGCGGCTTTGAAAGCGTCCGCAACATTTTCTTGCGTGAGAGCGGATTGGTACACATCGTTGAGATGCCAGTCTGCTGTCTCTCCAACAATTGGCGTCCCGTACGCGTGGCTTATCTCATTGAGGCTTTTGCCTTTCTCGCGAGCATCCTGGAGAACCCATTGCCAGATGGAATGGAATACTATGCCGAAGGAAACAGAATTGGTGAGAGCGAGGGGCTGTTTCGTGATCAATACACGAGTCGTTATTTCTGAGAATCTTCTCTACTAGAGAATGGGAAAAGAGGGAAGACAAACAGTGTTGGTATATCCCCAATCTTTAATCTGGTAGGATCCACTGACTTCGCCATTGCCGTTGAGAACATGCATGCCAGCATAGCATGGCGTAGAAATCTCGTCTGGATGGCGGGGAAATATCACCGTGACTCCTTTGCGAACGTTCTCACCATCCTCTCCCACAGTTACTTGCCCGACTTGAACGCCTTTTAATCATCAGACTTTGTTTCATACAATTTTAGTTCTTGTTAGTCACCTTTTACATCAAGAATTGAATTCTTTGGCCCAGCAGGTAGTTGACCTGGAACGTATCCCAAGTCCTTGATTGTCATGCGTGTCATATTGGAAGAATTTAGTTTGGTTTTGTTGAATTAGAGAGGTTGTTCATATGATGTTTCGGTCTGTATGCACAGCAAACTATATTCTTATACATGTTTTTCTCAAGCCCAAGGTTTGCATGTGGAGATGAAAGTGATAGCGGGAAGGAACTATCCTGACCCCACCAACAAACAACCCCGCACCCGCATTTGCGGCTAAATTTGTTGCAACTCGCAGTCAGCGCCTAACTTCATGAGTCAAAAAACCACGACAAACCATCGCTACTGCAGGTACGAAATGAGTGAAGGGAAAATTGCTATTAGACTCATCCGCCGAGCATGTTTCCATCTTAGCTGCCTTCCTATTCCAATCCAGCGTTGAAAGCTTTCAGTGTTGATCGTCGTAAGATGCATGCTTGGACGCCGTATGAGTTAACGGGCAATCAATCTCTACATGTACTGAGAATGCTGTCCAAATCTGTGCCGGATTAATGGTCGTAAAGGCAACCAGGATTAAGTGCGGAAATGAATGACAACAGTTGGTTTACCATGTCGAAAGTTTATTCTGATATCCAACCTTTTGTCGTTGCAGTCAGGCCAGAGCTACAGAGAGTCGAATCATTTTGTGTCCATGTCATTCCACTGAAGAGCAAACAAACTTAGTTCCAAAGAAGATGAATGTATCAATATCAAGATAGAGTCAATTGAATTGCCACGTTTTGTTTGTACTATTCGTTTTTGCTGCTCTGGTTGCAGACCCTGTCTTGAATATAAAGCTCTATTCCAGTAGGAAAACTTGGATTTCATTAGGTACAAGGTACCATCTTATTCGACAACTAGATACACAATGACCTACACAGTTAATCGGTATCTCTTTCAGGATCCTGATGTGGAGGAAGGCCAGGAGTTCCAAGGCAAGGAGCCCCAAAGCACATGGCAACATTTCAAAGCAGCACTCTGGTGGTGTGACAGAAATAGGTAGGACTTGATCCCCCCAAGGCGATTCTAAGCTCACTCAAGATATCCTAGATACTCGGGCGCATTAATCTTCAACTTTGGAGCATTTCTCCTCCCAGCTCTTTACGAGACTATTAGCAAGTCATGGGTCGCCGCAATCAATCCCTCAGAAGTTGTCATAACCGATGTCTACGTTTATATCATCGCGCTAGCCAGTGTTCTCAACGACGGTCTCCCCAGGGCCGCGTGGAGCCTCATCGGTGACAATAAGACTCGGACTATTCAATCGCGGATCAGTTTGAGCTATACTCTCATTTTAGTCCAGGTCTTTTTCGGCTCACTTCTCTGTCTAGTCTTAATTGTTATGGCTAATCAACTAGCTGATACCTTCGTCAAAAACGCAGATAGAAAGACTGCGGTCACTTATGTGCGGATATCGTCTGTTGCGGCATTGTCTTCTGCAATGGAGACTGCCGTCTCCAACTCAACTCGTGCTCTTGATCGCCCAGATGTCCCTTTTTTACTCAACCTGATTAAATTCATCATCACTGGAATATTGGACGCGATCATTATTTCAAGGGCTCGGGCAGGAGACCACACTTCTGTCACCAACCACGCACTCGTCCGAATGACATGTAACTTGGTATCTGCAGCGTGTGGATTGGGGTATTTCAGGTGGATTGTGCGCAGAATGAAATTTCCATTGAAAGAACAAGATGACGCATTATCACAAGCTCGACCCTGTCTTGCAGCATTGATACTTCTGGTAAGACATGGTATCTGGACTTTCGGAGAATCAATGGTTCGAAATTCGCTTTACCTCTGGCTGGTGCACAGTATCATCAGGATAGGTAAGGACTACGCAATAGCGTGGGGGGTCTTCAACACTATGCGAGGGGGGCTGTTGATGGTTCCTTTGCAAGCACTAGAAGCGTCGACGTTAACATTCATCGGTCATGCTTGGGGAGTGTGGAGGAGCAAGTCCTTAAAAAGTCAGACTGAGGCTGAGGCTGGTCTTGGGGAGGGCAAGACTACCCCAATTGAAAAGCCACCCAACAAACCTGAGGCCGAATTGAAGGACATATTTTGTGCGTCTCTTTCCCCGACTCGTTTGATCTCACTAACTCTGCACAGATGTTATCAATGCCGCTTGGGCATCGTGCAGCACTGGCTTTGCAGTTGAAATTTTCCTTTTCTTCCTCTTCTTCTGGGCCGCAAAAGATTATGCGTTCTACCTTTCCGAGTCTCACTCCGTGGCAGAGATAGTGCAGAACATGTGGAGAGTAAGTCCTTCCTATCCCAAGCCCGGTCCAATTTTACTAATTGATGATTAACAATAGACAATGGACTGGTGCTACATTTTCTACGGTATATCTTCCCAGCTTGCTGCAATCCTCATCGCAACTTCTCCCCGCTTCTTCTTCGCACAAAGCCTGGTCGCAAACATACTCTGGATGCTTCCTTGGGCCATAGTTTGCTCAAAAATCACCATGTCAGAAGACAACGCGTGGACTTATCACGGCATTGCCGTTGGTGGATCGTTACTAGCCAACTTCGTTACAGTATTAATGACTTGCGTGCTTTGGGCTTGGATGCTAACTAGGGGATGGGTGAGCTTGCTTCCTGTGACAAGAGATGTCGAAGACGAGGAAGCAAAGAAGACAACCAGAATGGAACAAGAACAAGCAAGAAAACAAAAGAAAACCGATAAGGAGACTGCTAGAGAAGTCAAACGAGAAGCAAGGAGAACCGCTAAGTATGGCAATGATGCTAAAAATATTCGAGCTGTTCAGAGTAATCCTACCACAACCCTAGAGCCGCCAAGTAACCGCTCCTGGGACGAAGTGGGAGTCAATATGGAGGGAACGTCACACCCCGAGCCAGCGATATCTGAGACCGAAACATCCGAACCAGAGGTTTCCGACCTAGGAACTCTCCATTCAGAGGCATCCAGATCACAGACCCACGTGTCAAAACCACCCTGGTGAGGTGCTGTTTATTCACAGGATTCCTTAGGCTGGTTTTTGAGCATTAAGTAGTATTTCGTAGTCCCTAGCGGAGCTTGTAACTTATTCGTTGAGCTTTACGATAAGTTCCACAACCTTGCCTCTAAACTTTAAATGAGATAAAACCTGTGTTGTTCAAAATATGTTCCCTAATGTAAGATTTATACTGATTAGTTCATTTCGAAGCATGCGATGCCAACATCACCCCTTTTACGGCAACTCCCCATATGTACCTACCGCCATACACCCACTACAATTGTCTAGTTTCCCCCACAGCCTCTTAAGCAGGAACAACATACTCCCCTCCAAGACTCTTCCACTCACCCTTCTTAACCTTCACCTCATCCCACTCCAGCCCATCAAAACACCTCAAATTAACCGGCAACCCCTTCTCCCACTCCAACCTATTTTTCGCACCCATATTACTCCCCAAAATCCGCTTCAGATACAAACTAACACCACAAATTCCACAAAACGTATGTTCCTGGAAACTGCGGCCGAAAATATATGCTTTGACTTGGCTAGGATCTTGCGTGGAAATGGAGACTTGGAGAATTTGGGGGTAGGTGAGTATTGTGCCGTTCTGTAATGCGTGAGTATATTTACTCATATTGTAGAAGTAGGGGGTTGGGGAGGATAGGTGGTAAAGGGAACGTACGCGCATGCAAATACTGCAGTTGCATTCCCCTATATCTTCATGGCCGCCGCTGATGGGGTCTTTGGTCTTGAGCGCCATGGTCACGTTACCGCAGTGGCAGCCACCGGTATATATCTTGCTGTCCTCGATTTCGGCTGTGGGTTCGGGGCCGTTGAAGGGTGCTGGTTTGTATTTAGGCTCAAGGGATTTGCCGTCGAAACTGTAATAGTGAGGTTAAGCGAGTTAGGAGGCGTGGATGGGGGCTTCTTACGTTTTGGTGGGGAGGGACCAGATGTCGAGATCGTTAAATGTTCTTGCCTGTTGATATGTAAATTGACATATCTGGAAGCTGCCGCATGAGACTTACATTGATCGATATGTCACTTCCAGGAGGTGCGCTGCGTCTCTTTCCCATGACTGGCGTGCCGCAAGTTGGGCAGAACTGCTTTCATCAGCCCAGTCACTCCCTCCTTTTGAATAGAACATACACGATGAAGCATAGTTTTCCCAGCAAATTCATAATCCTTCAATAGCTCTTCACCTCTGATGAAAGTAAAGGCTTCGGGTCCGGGAAATAAGTGCTTGTAGCCCTTCTTGAAGCAAATACTGCAGTTGCATTCCGCGACTGTAGGGATTTCTGGGGTCTTTACCGTGAACTTGATAGCGCCACAGTGGCAGTTGCCATGGTAGATCTTCAGCTCTGATGATTCAACTAGAGTTGATTCTGCCATTTATGTGTACTAGATCTGGATGTTGAAATGAGAATTGAAGAGTGGGATATGTGCAAACTTTCTGGTTCGGAAGATACTCAATCAATTGATGGAAAAGCAGAACTGGCTATTTCTTCAGGTTCAATCAAACTAAGACAAAGAATGAAGAATATTGTTGAAGAAAGCATGCACGAATATGCTACCTGTGGAAAAAGAACACTAGTACAGTGTCGGCCTTCCAATGGTCCGACTTGGACCTATAGTCTGATAGATTGAGGCGTTACACTGCACTAACTTATCTGATCTTACCAAGCATAGTCCCATCCTAGTACAATAATGCTTCGACCCTCCTTCGCTCGGCTAATCTAACCGTTATAGTACTTTGGGAAGACATGTAGGGCGTAAAACAGCCTTCCGTTTGTGGTTACCGCCTGTCTGCTGCTTCTAGAACAGACATCGACCAATGAGGGTTGGCAATTGACGCTTTTACAAGACAATAGATGCATGCTCATATACAATATCATTTAGAAGTCAAGTTAGAACGTTAGCATGCAGTATGCGGGGATGAATCGCGAGTGTTACGGAACATATTGCAAACTGGGGGAACCTGAACGTGCACCAACCTGTCCAAATCCCGGGCGATTGTACGGACATTCATCACGTGTCTCTATAAAACCACCTCGATTCGCAATCTCTACATTGTGGGTAAATGGAAGCACGATATTGCGAGCAATAGCATCTTCTGTTCGGCATCAAGTGATGACAAGAAATTGCTAGCTTGTTCAAGTGATCGGAGCAAGCGCGGTGTAGTTGGAGCAGGCGGTTTCATTTCCGGTGCCCTCGTCGGCTCACCTCAACAAAACACGTCGAATGGTTTAGTAATTATCTCTAGCACTTTCCCAGGTCTATAGAGGGGGCGTTGAAGTCCTAGTAGTGGGCAGTTCAACTCAAGGTTGTCAATGAGGGGGCTTATGAATCTACGAGGAGCTGATGATGATTGTCTGCACCTTGGGAACCGTGGCGGGACGTTGTGTATAGGCCAATGCCACTCGATTCCAAAACTCTGTGCCTTTGAGGGTTTCTTAACACCCGAAGGTAGGAAGGAGGAACACAAATCATTGGATGTGCATATGAGAAGTGTACACTGCGTCAGGCTGTTCGAATGCATGCAGGAAGGATGTCCTGGTGCACTAGGACCTTTTTCTAACAAAACTGAACTGGAGCGCTACAGACTTACTAAATACAATAACGAACGGCCATATCAATGCGAGAGGCAAGATTGTCCGGCAAGAGCAAAAGAATTTGCACGGAAACGAGATACAGCAAACGTTCCACCACTGCGGCAGTGGAAGCTGAAATCTGCAACCAACGAAGATCCTGAATGAATCTTTGTTTAATCGGTGGGATGTGGGAGAAATAGGTCAGGTAGGTTTGTCCAGTCACGATGGCTGTGGTTGGTCTTGCGATAATGACTGTCAAGAATGCCATGAGTTGACATGGACTTTCAGTCGAGAACTGGAAATCGAGTACTGTGAGGGAATTTTGTAGTGAGCGTCGTGAAATTTCGGTCGTGCTCTTAGCTGGAGATGGCGTCTCGAGAACACTGTCCAAGACCCTTTACATGTGCAGCCCGAGGGCACAAAACCATTTTTGGGGGATTTTAAAGGGCGTTGAATATGATACAGAGTATGGACGGAAAACGGGATTTTTTCAAAAATAAGAAGTGATAAGTGCAACAGTGAAACTGCTCGCTTTTTAAAGAAGGATTAGTTCTGCATGTTTCTATGTAGACATATCAGGAGTGCAGCTAAGCATAACTTTGATATACCGAACTTCCATGCGACCAGTTCCAAAATTTGACAAGAGCAATCGATTCCGACGAAACACTATGCCCCCTCACAAGGACACGATAGTGGCAATTACTAACTTGAAGAGCAAAAATCAAAGGACAGTCTCAAGATTGGGATAGGAAAGAGGTTGAATCGGTGTCTACTCTGTTCATGTAAAGGAGTAAACACATCAAATCCCGCGATACTAAGATTTAGTAAGGCAAAGGCTAGAATAAAATTGGGGCTTTACCTATTTGGATATCCAGGTTCTTTTGAGAGGGGATGAAGTAGAGTTGTAGAAAATTGCAAGCGGAAGATACAATGGCTCGCTTCCGTGCCAACAAAGAAATTGTTGTCATCCCCACGTGATGTCAACTTCAACCTCAATGGATTTCTTTCTTGCGACAACATCAACGTCCCTTCACCAGAGCGCGTAGTGCGCATATCATCGAGCAATATGAGGTCGCATACCCCGCAGCAAGCCACGGACGCGTCGAGGCGGCGCTCCTCGATCACGGCAGGGCATAGAACGAGCATAGGAAGCAGTATTCCGCGAGTGCAGTCTAGAGTATGTTTCTGATTCCCAAACCCTCAATATCTTGCCAATTTCTCTACTATTTTGGGCCCTAGCTGATATGTATATATAGATTGGATTAGGACGCCCATCAAACTCGCAACCATCGTACGATTTCATCACTGGCGAGACAATTGCTCGCCCCCCATCGCGAGACGCCGGCTTTCGACAGTCTATACGCAAACCCTCCGTCGAAGTCCTTCGGGACCAGTCAGGTTTCGATGCTGATCAAGAGCGGGAAAAGCACCGTCGCGAGCTGGACGAGCTGAAAGCCGAAGTCAAGACTCTGAAATACACCATCGATAATCACAAACAAGAGGAAGAGCTTGCGAAACTCCGACATGAAAGCGAACTTCGAGACACAAGGCGGAAGGCTGAAGATGATTTCAAGAAGATGCAAGCGGCGGAATCTGAGAAATCGAAAGCCCAGCGACAGTATGACGCATTGTCAAAGCAACTGACGGAGGTTACGGACACAGCTAGCAACGAGAAGGCTGCTTTGGAGCGAAGACTACGTGAGATCGACGAGAACAAGCGAATACTGGAGGAAGCGGTCGAAGATATCAAATCGGAGAGGGAAGAAAGTGTCCGTGGGGTCGAGAGAAGAGCTGCCGAACTAGAAACTCGCAATGCGGCTCTACAACATTCAGTGGAAGAATTACAGGAAGATTCAGACAAACGGGAGGCCTTATTACAAGAAGCCCAGCAACAGCTGTCGGACAAGGAGAAGGCATATGGAGATTTGGAGTCGGAAGTTTTGAGGCTCAAGGCGCAAACCGGCGACGCAGAAACTCTGGGCATAATTAAAAGAGAATTGAGCGAGCAAGTTGCACATATTAGGAAGCTTGAAGCTGCGAATAGGGAACAAGCGGCGGAGTTGAAACATTTCAAAAGACTTCACAAGAGCGTGGAAGTCGTTGAGGAAGAGAAGAGATCATTACAGAGAAAGCTAGAGTCTCTCGAAGCCCTAGAAAATGATCTTGGTGAGGCGCGAATCCAACGTCAGAGATTAGAAGACGAGCGTCTTGCCTGGACCGCGTATCTTCAAAGCCAGGCAGGAGAGGATGGCCAACTCGAGTTCGATTCTCCAGAAGCCTTAGCTAGAGCTCTTGTTGAAGAGAGGATGCAGACTGCTTCTTTAGTTGAGAGACTTGGCGCTCTAGAAGCCGAATCTTCAGAGAGAGATCTATCTGTTCAGGGTCTGGAAGCCGAGAAGATTAAGCTCTCGGCGGAGATTGAGAAGCTTAAGACTGCGGGTGCTGTAGCCGGCAGCAATAAAGTCCAGCTTAGACTCGAGAGACAACGAGCTCTGGCTATCAAAGAGGCTGAGTTCCTTCGGGCTCAACTCAAAACTTACGACACAGAAGACACCACCTTCCAACCTGAAAGCGTGGACGAAGCCAAGCTCAAACGCATATCAGAACTTGAGGACATGGTCGAGCAATACCGACAAGAAGTCCAAACCCTCCACGGCGAGCTCGCCTCTCAAGACAAGCCAGCTCAAGCAGAAACCGCAGGAACTAAGCGTCCCCGCGACGACTCCGAAGACAACGAGCGCGTCGGCCAACTATCCCGCAAGAACCGTAAGCTGCAAGAAGACCTCACCACCCTGCAAACCAACATCAAAGTCCTCAAAAAAGAACTCTCAGTAAGCCAAGAACGCCTCATAGCCGCATCCCAACAAAGCAAAACCCGCATCCTCTCCCTCCGCTCCAATCCAACAGCAGAAGTAGAAGCCATCAAAATGGCCACACTCAACGGCCTCCGCCAAGAAAACGCCGACTTACTCGCCCAGCTCCAGGGCTCGAAATCCGTAACCACAGTGCCAGCTCCCAACTCGAAGCATCACGGCGCGACGTCCAAGACGCAGAGAACCGGCTCGAGTCTGAAAAGAAGCGCAACAACCGGCTGATGAAAGTCTGGGGTGAGAAGTCCCTCGAGTTCCGCAACCTCGTCATCTCGCTGCTGGGCTGGGATGTGGTGTTTATGCGAGACGGGAAAACAAAAGTCACGAGCCATTTCTACAAGAGTACAGGCGATGAGGAGAACAGCATCTTATTTGACGGCGAGCGGGGGACTATGAAGATTAGCGGGGGTCCGCATAGCGCGTTTGCGGTCAAGATCGAGAACCAGATTAGGTTTTGGGTCAAGGAGAGGGGCAGTATTCCTTGTTTCCTCGCGGCGCTTACGTTGGAGTTTTATGAGGAGAGGTTCAAGGATGGGACATTGAGTATTGACGTCTAGGTTGACGACGTATGGGAGCTGAGAAGGAACACATATATGACACTTGCTTGCTTGTAAATAAGAACGGTAATGATGGCTTGTGGGTGTTAAGGCGTCAAGGCGCAGATGGAGCGGATTTGCCGGCATGCGTGTATATAGAATATGGACACACTCTTGAGCGAACACACAAGTTGCTACGTTTACCCTACTTTGATATTCAAAAGTCGTAAAGTATGATGTGGGATTGCTTAATGTCTCATAATACCTGGAAGAATTCGGATTAAGTCACCCACGAGTTTTCGCGTTATCAAAATATTGTTCTAATCCGTTAGAATGAGCATCAATTCCATTGCTACCTCAAAGACAAGCATGTATTCGTGACCTAAGCAAAAAACGCCATCAAAACTGAGAAACCCGCGAAACCAACCAAATCGTCCCAGAATACGTAACACAATCGTAACCCATCCATAAATTCATTATTCAAGACACTCAATCCCCTCCAGCGCGCGCATAGCTCTCGTACCTTGCTGCTCAAAGGTGCTTACCATACGCTCACACTCATTTCTTAGCCTCTCTTCCGCCTTTTCAGCGTTATAATGAATCCACTCCTCTACGTTCATCTTTTTCTCCGGACTTGCCAGGGCACTGGTCTTCATCTCCTCTCCGAAAAGAGCCTTTGTATTCATAACCACGTTCCCGCCGCAAGGCGACTTCATGAAGACTGTATCTAAGTCGGCAGAAGACCATGGGTGAAGCGTTTGTAGTCCAGCGATGATGTTTCGCTTTGATGGTGACATGCTGGGTGTGCTTGTTTCTGCGAGGGGAATACGTTTTGTAGAATGAGGCGTAACGGTCTTCTTGGTAGCCGCAGAGGGCTTTGAAGAAGGTGGGTGATTTTCTGCATCCGAGGATTGCGGTGATTCTGAAGGTGTCATCTCCCGTGCCGGAGGTGTAGGAGATCTAGGCACCGCAGCAGGTGCCTTGCCTTTCGCTTGCTTCGTCTTTGGATGCATTGGTTCTGGGACGTCTTCCATTTCTAGGACACTGTCCTGAGGGACTGGTGTTTGTGACTTCTTTGGGCGGCCTCGGGGCTTTGCTGCCTTCTTTGGAACGTCTTCAACGGGTTCTTCAATAACGGGCGGCGCTTCGGGGGCAGGCGTGTAGAAATTCTCCTCTTCGGTCTCAATTGCTAGAGAATGCTCCACGTGTTGATGCACAATCTCTTCGATGTGTTTAGCACCCTTTTTCCCTCCCTTGCCCTTTCCCTTCATAGTGCTACCACGTCGAGTACCACCTCTCACAACAGTCGACTGGCTAGCCGTGCTAGCATCGGTTTCATGGCCAGAGTCATTTGCATGGCCAGCAGCAGATTCATGAACGCTATTCGTCATAGATGTATCCTGGTCGTTGGTAGACAAAGTGGATCCACGAGTAGCCCGTCCAACAGGCTTTCGTGCAGGCTGGCGAGAAACGCTTCTTTGCTTCTTTGGTTGTAGAAGGGGTGAAGAATGCTGAATGGACATGCTTTGCTCGAGTTCTACGGCAATTTGCTGAGCAGCTGCTTCTTCTTCGGCACTCCTCTCTGCCTCCTCCTCAATCACAGCCGCAGCAGCTTCAACTTCCGCTTGAGCCTGGGCTTGAGCTTCAGCGGCTCTCTTTGCAGCGGCCTGTTGTTTGGCAGAGACCTTTCTTGGCTGTTTTACCTTGGCCCCTTTAGCCTTCGGCAAAGGCTTCGAATCAACCTCCATAGCTTCAAGCTCTGCATCAATAACCGCTTCATCTATTTCCATTGGCTCGGTATTGAACATAGCATGGCCTGTTTTGCTAGCTCGAGTAGGTTTCTTAGGAGGCATCGGAATTTCTTCATCACTCATCCGTTCAAGATCTGCTTCCAAAGCTGCATCTATTTCGTCATCATTGGGTATGGGGGCCCTTGTAGGCGCGACGGACGCAGTTGAAGCTTTACGTGAAGGTCTGCCCCTTTTGCCCTTTTGTGGAACCTCCTGCTCCCGTGACACACTTTCAGCCACGCTGAGTACTGAATCGTCCATGGCCGTGCTTCCCCTAGTAGCCCGACCCTTTCGACCCTTCTGTGGAACTTCTTGTTGTTGTGACACATTCTCAGTGTCTTTCATTACTGAATCATCGACTGCCATGCTTCGCTGTGTTCTGGTATTCCGGCGCTTTGGTGGAGGTGGTGCATCTTCCAAAGCTGACATTGTAGAATCATGCTCTTGCTCGCTCTTCCTCTTCCTTCCCCGGGTTGGTTTCGGGGCGGCGTCGGCCTTGACATCAGGAACAGCATCTTCCGGCTCTGATTCTGGAGCTGCTTCAACCTCAACAGGCTCTGTCTTCTTCGTTCTAGTCTTTTTGCCCTTTACGGGAGCCTTCTTTGCTTTCCCCATTTTTTTGCCACCCTGGGTCGCAGTCGCATTCGTCGCAGTTGTTAAAATACTATCTCCCTCTTCTGCTGCTACATCTGTCACAGACTGTGCATCTGACGCAACGGTAAATTGCGATTGTGTGGAGAGCCTCGAAATTTTGGAGGCTCGTTTGGGTTTGGTTCGTTTGACGGCAGGACTTTTTACCTGGTTGATGAGAGTGAAGAAAGCGCACTCTGAAGAGCGACTAAAGTGTTCGTCCCTTCCCAAAATTAGCAGGTCTCGAATGTAATTGGCTGCTGAACTTACAGAGGCTTATCTGAGTTTTCCCAGCCAGCTAAGGCCAGTTGGCAGTATGTGCACGTAGCCATATCATCATCTTCTGGTGTTGGTGTATATTTCCAACCAGCGTCCACCATCTAAGTGTCGCGTTAGAAATGCTTACCATCATTGACAATGGGGCCGCATACCTGTCTAGTCTTACACTTCCACCCCTTCTTGCTCTCATGTGGCCATTTGTCTGCGAAGGTTGCTTTTCGTGCCTCGATCATTCTCCTACTCGCCGGTGATTCCTCACTCAGTACCCCGTCCTGTCTCTCGATCATCGCTACAATTGCCCATCCACATTCTGGAGAGTGTTTAAGATGTTCCACAAGAGGATCATCATGCTTCCCCCATGCATCGAGAGACATGTGGCAGAGGAAACAGGCTACGTTATCGGGGTTGTTTTGGAGGGGATAGTAGAAGAACCCTGCTTTCGCAAGCTTTGTGCGTGTCAGTGGAGAATTGAGCCATCATACTCCGACTCATAGCTTACCTCTTCAGGGGAAAGAAATTTGTGTGGCCATTTCAAGGACTTTGGTGCTTTCGCGCTCGCGTTCGATGTCCTCCGCTTCGTCAGTTGCTGTGCCGTTTGAAATGATGCGACTCTGTTCTCGTATGCAAAATATTGATCAGCAATGTCGCTAACCCCCATGATGACCTCTGTCGAGAGAGATTTGTAGTGATTATATGTCGGCGAACGACGTTCGCAACACGATCTCGGTATTTGTTGTTGGCGTACGGGGCGCGCTCGAGATTTTCAAATGCGCTGAGGATCAGAGTTATGTGATAGTCCAGCTTTTAGTGACCATTTGCAAATGTCGAGATGTATTTGTTGTTCTTGGAATTGGCGTGTTGATGCGCTGATTATTCGATATGAAGGTGGTGATGGAGGCTCAAATGGGATAACTTGGTTTGTTTACTTTCGGTAGAAAGTCGGCCTCTTGACGCGCTTGTGGGGGCGGCGCGGCATCGTGTCCGCTTAGTAAGCTATCAGAATCTCAACGACAATCTTTAACATCTTCTGGCAAATACTCCTCGATACAAGCAACATATACATATAAAAATTCCGATGCATCTCAATGGACCTGCATTGTGGCAATTAGATACTCTACCGGGATTCTTATTTGTATTTAAGCTCTGTGGGTTCGGAAAGTACCATTGAAATCTACCAAATCATGGAACCGGAAGGCAAGAAATCTTCCAGATGTGCTACTTTCATTTCCCATTTCTCGGAACCAAATCTTGTGAGCTACAAGATGAGCTATTAGCAATTCAGTATAAGATGGCCTCAAGCCTAGCAAAGTTTATCAAGAAATTCGATGGTCTTAAGATACTTAGCCTAGGTAGTCAAGTGATAAAGAGACGTGATCAGACAACAAACACTCATCTTAGTTTCTAAGACCGATACTCAATTCTGTCAGTCATGTCGAAGCCTGAATGCCCCTAAGACCAATTTGACAACTCTATGTATCCCACAGCCAAGCAGCTCCTGCTTGAACAAGCCAGCCATTAAAGCCGTCGATATCAGCCGATCCATAGAACAGAGTCTCACATTCTCCTACACATGAAGTGTCTCAAGCTAGTCGCATATGTTCCTATCTCATACAACATTTCAGTGACCGCTAGGTGTCATTGTCTTCCTATCCGAATGTCGTGTCTCGTGCACCAATCACTCCATGGCCCAATCTACTTTTCACGATGAGAGATTTTTGCATTCTCATGAATAACTTAGGTTTCTAGACGTGAGGAAGCGATTACTTCTCGCAGACTCGACCTAACCACAACTACAAACTTCATAACAAGCTAGCAGAAATGGAGGACGTTTTACAATCTGTACATTTGCAATGGCAATAAACTACTCATGACCCCCATTACCCTCGCTCCCGCCCAATCACAGCAACTACCTAGCCTCATACTTCCCACTCGCAAATCTCCTCGCCAGCGGAACGTCAATCCAATTTCCCACCGGACTAGCTAAGCCCTCATCCGCAAACGGATCATCAACGTCCATCTCCCTCTCCTTCCCCTTCCCAGCCTCAAATCTCGAGAGCGAAATGCCACTACCTACACCTTCGCCAATTTCGCTATGAACTTCCCATTTTGCCTCCACATGTCCGGGTTCCGAGGCACCTATTAAACGACAAATTACTTTGTGCGGTTCGTGGGTTAAGGTCACGTCGCCAAGACGCCAATAGACGAGGGATCTAGCACTAAGATGCGTGCCGGTAGGTTTGGTCTGGCAAGCTGTGGGACGAGCGCCAGTGTAGATAGCCATGAGGACGAGGTTGGTGAAGGTTAGTGAACTAACCCCGCAGGCAGGGTTAATGGAGTATTCAATGAGTAGGTTGAGTTTGTCACCTTGGGGCTTCCAAGCTGGCTTAAGGAGTAAGGGGCATTGACTGGCTAGATTGGAGTCGTCTATGTGTACACGGTAGGTGAATGCCGGTATGGACCTTGAAGAAATCGTGTTTAAGTCGATTGTGTACTGGTCGGTAATGTCGCTTGAGGCCGGGTGGATGAAAGTCCGGTTTGGTCCAATGACTTCGAGACTTGAGAAGTTATTAATGCGAACCGTCTCATTTTCTGTGGCTACGTTAGTTTTGTAGAGGTAGTCAAATGTGTTTATAGCCCACCTGAAGGGAATGGAGATTCTTCGGTCGTGGTGCTCTTATTATAAGTCAAGGCGATCTCGCCGCTGACCTTAGTTGTCTTCACAACTCCATTCTCAAATGAAGCACTTATAGTCTCAATTATCGAGGAGTTCAGACCCGGTTGGTGCATTTCCACATGCCTAATGGCAGGGTGGTTATTAAGTGAATGGCCTGAACGGATCGATGTTGAATCAGAAACACTCGGTGCAGAATGATGCTCATTCGATGACAAAGCCGCAAGAGCTGCAGCTCTACCTGCGGGGATTCCGGGTGACGGGGGCATTGGTTCATGCCCCCCTGGTTCCAACGAATTCGACGTAGAAGGAACAAATATGGTGTTTCTAACATCTCTTCGTCCCCTGATAGTGCCGACTTTTCGAGCTGGAGGGACCATCTTAGCAGACCTTAGGGTATTGGCAACATTTGAGAGCGCAGCCTGAGCATCTGCATCTTGTTCAGGTATTGGGTCTGCACGGATATCAAGCTTAAATTGAGGCTCGTTGCCGTCATGTGCTTCACTCTCTGCTAGCGAAATCGGATCGTTCATCATCCCTGGTACGGTGTACCCCTCGGCATCTTTTTGGGCTTCATTCAGATGAGATGGGGGTGGTCCAGGTGGAGGTTGCACATCAGATAAGTCAGCTAAAGCCGATGATGATGTACCATTAGCCGTTGGAATCGCGCTTGATATATGCGATGTTTCTGGTGTGAAACCATTCGTACCATTGGTTGGTGAAGCTGGACGGCGGAGTGGTGGTGATTCTGCCAGTGATGATAGGCGATTATCATGAGAAGGTGAGTCGCGTAAGTTGTTCGATGAAGCACGCGGAGAAGGGGATGGACGTCCCTCTCGATTTGGAGAATCTCGTCCGAATGGTACGAAACCGCCCTTTGAGGGCGAAGGAGCTCGGCCAAACCCTCCATGTATGCTTTGGCGCCGTCTCCCAACCATTGTACCAACTCGACTTCTTAAGCTCTCTGAGAACCCAATTAGCAAAAGCCCAAGCGCAAGCAATGAGGTATGCGTGATTTTGCCGGGTGATACAAGACGTCTATAAAGAACATGAGTTTAAGAAATACTCCAGTTGAACATACCTTTATGGGGTCGGTTTGAATGCTCACTTCGATCATCTGTATGAGAAGTATGCGTAGTATGCGTAGACCGTGGTGTTGGCGGAGGAGGCATGCTGGATATTGATGGTGTTGCAGGAACACCAGTGCTTCCGGTAGTTGATAATTGCCTCGCTTTTCGCTCGGTGATGGGTTTTCCGGCAACAGCCTGTGAAGACCAATTCCTTATTTCCTGGGCTGTGTCAATCTCTAGTAAAGAGCTCAAAGTCTGCTCTACTGTAATTCTGTTACGCTCAACTTGGTCGGCTTGGTGGGTTTCAAATTGAGTAAGGACATCTCGAAGGTGGTTTAGACGTGTTTCATCCAGAGCTTGGAGACTTTCGAATATGAACGGCGCCTGGGAGTCCCATTGTGATTCGGCGGTTTGGAGCTTCGAAGATGCTTGTCCTACCTTTTGCGCGCTCGCCTTGCCGCCTCTCTTGCTCAACTTGTCGGCCTTTTCTTGCGCATCTTGTAGTTCCTTAGCCATAGAGGACAGGTTCCCTTGTACAGTAGACATGGCCTGCATCTCTCGATTGGTCGTGCTGAATGCTCGCAATGGCTCCTCGACATCCTTCTCGATCCGTTGCAATAGGGTGTAATGGGAGCTTGCGATCTCCTCGGTGGACCCGACGATCTTCTTCCATGGTGAATCGAATATGCTTGGATCAACGTCAGCAATCTATTAAAGCTTGAGAAAGATTCAATTGCAACGCCCTACCCAAGTTCCCCTCCTACTTCTTGCAATGACCTCCGGGCAAGCTTTTTAAGACCCGCGACATATGCTTCCTCGACCTTCCGGCGTTCCTACTAGCATGTAAACATTATGCGGTCGCAAATGCTCGGGGTCTGTTCCGTACCAGAAGCCAATCTGCTATCTCCGTATTGACCTTTCCAATCCTCTTGACACGTTCATTAAACTTCGTAACGGCTGCAGCTGGCTGGAGGCGCTCCTGCTCAACTGTTAGTCCATCCGTGGTGACTGTAATAATGCGATGAGGTGCTTACCAGCATAGAAGGGTACTCCTGGCGTGATAAAGCATCCATATTGGGCTGTAGGGTGTGCTCTCAACACTCAAAGGCACGCGAGACGATTGCGCATAATAATATACAGAAGAGATGCGAGTACGGTGGTGTTGTGAGTGTTGTTACCAGCAGTCGTTTCGCCGAGCTTCTCCACGCCAGCCGATACAGCGTTGAAAATAGCGGCTCTTTCTCCCGCAATTTGGGCCTAAAAGTAGCATCCCTGCAAATATTTACTTCCATCTGCATGCGGTATAATGACAACGGCCAACATATCGGTACTACAGTTTAAGTATCCATGCACGCATATTCTTTCCAATTCTGGAACAGTAATACCGTATTCTGCTGCTTCTCGCATCGTTACGGTAACACGACACGAACTACGCATCCCTGCTCAAGAGTCGTCCCCCATACCTAACTCGGGAGCTCCCTAGCAGTGGACTGACGATATTGCCGGACTTCTCGGGAAGGAATGGACTTGACAATATAGACCATGGTTTCTGCGTCTACTTGGAGGTCAGATCTCAAGGCGGCGGATCGATATGATAACATAGAGAGGTTGTGAGTCAGTCTTTGTTATAGCTACATAGCTAACCTTGCACATCGAGTTCTTTTTCTAATTATACCCATACAGGAAGACAAGCATTGAGGCCCGAGGGCTAAGTGCACTCGGAACGTCTCAAAAGGCTGCTTTTGCTGCAGAAACAGAGGCCTACAACAGCTCTGAGTCGAGAGTGAGTTTGCATCGCTCCTTTATCACGTGACTATACCCGCTTCATGTGTTTTCTTCTCCTTGCTCTCTTGGTGAGTTGACCTTATTCGAGAAACTACTACTTCGTTGATTTTCCGGTACTTTGGCCGCGGGGGCGCGGGGCGTTGTCGACGTTAAGCTTTCGCCTGGTCATAGAAAGCGAAGGAGATTCAGCTGACACTTCTTAGGATGAATACGACTCGGCGTGCAAGGCAATAGTTGAGGGAGTCCCTCGGATTCCAGAAACTGGATATCCTACTCCCACTGGTCCTGGAATATCTATAGGTCGCTACCAAGACTGTCATCATCTCGCCAGTGGTCTTGTTTCGGAAGTGTACAGATCGAGCGCCGTTGCATTGAAAGTTATCACAGAGACTCGAAATGTAGAACCTCATAACTCAATCCGAGAAGTGAAGATCCTAAACCAAATTTCGCATACATCTATCATCGAGCTAGTGGAGACCTTTCAGGATAGTGAAGGAAGACTCGTTTTAGTATTTCCATTCATGCCTCTTACCCTCGCGAAAGTAATTAATAATGGCTCGCTACCCGAAGACCTTGTTCACTCCTGCTTCCATGACCTCTTTTCAGCACTCGCGTATCTTCACCAGAATGGCATCATCCACCGCGATGTCAAACCATCGAATCTTCTACTGGCATCTCCAAATGGCCCAACACTTCTCGCAGATTTTGGCACAACTTGGCATCCAACACTATCTCTCATCAATGAACCAGCTGATCATAAAGTTCTTGAAGTGGGCACAACCTGCTACCGTGCCCCAGAAACACTGTTCGGTAACAGGTCGTATGGCACAAGTCTCGACATGTGGGCAGCTGGGACAATGCTCGCCGAGTGTCTGCGTAGACCTCCGAAGCCGCTCTTTGAATCTAGAGATACTTCCGAGGACGGCAATCAACTTGGACTCATCTTGAGTATTTTCAAGACAATTGGCACTCCAACGCAGGCGACATGGCCGGAAGCTATGGACTTTTCCACGCCACCATTTGAATGGTATCAAGAATTTCCAGGTCATTCGTGGGAGGAGCTCCTGCCATCCGCATGCGAGAGTGGCAAGGATCTAGTCAGGGGATTAATTTGCTATGAGAGCTCAAAGAGGTTGACGTTTAATCAGGCACGTCATCATATCAAACTCTGAGGCATTTGCTGACTCTTAAAAACATAGGCTCTTCAACATGACTTTTTTGAAAAAGGCAAATAGATTGGTTATCCCCCCATATCAAATTACGGTGCTGCAATAAAGTCACCTCTCGCCCTGTGAAGGATGGCACTGTTCCTTGCATGTTAAAAAAGATGGCGCGGCAGAAGATGATGGGTTGTATTACTGCGATGGTTTGAAGACACTTTTATCTATATAAATAAATGTACCAAGTTACTATAGTATGACTATACATAGTATCTTGCGTGTCTGGTGCATCTGATGAGCCCACTAGTCCGCAATAATATCTATAACTACTTTCCCTACACCCCCCCTACCCTTCATAATCCTCCCACACTCCTCCTTGATACCTTCCAAATCCGCAAACTTCAAAACCTTACCCACCACCGGTCTAAGCTTCCCCTCTTCCACCCACGTCTTGATCCTCTCCAACTCTGTCCCATTAGATTTCATCAACACAGTATCAAACTTGACTTGGTACCTACCAACCCACCATCTCACGATACCGTTGACGAAATCAAGGATTTTCTCGATGAGGAATGGGACGTCGGTACTGATGTTTCTGAGATTGCGACCTGATGAGGGAGGGCCGGCACATGCTACTATCATGCCACCGTTTTTCAGAAGAGCTAGCTAGAAGGATGCCGTGTCAGCAAAAGAACGAAGGAGTTCAGAAAGGCCAATTACGGAAGAAAATGTAGCGCCGATCGAGTCGATCATAACGTCTATCGAGTTGTCTGGGATCATCTTGGCAGGATTAACTTTCGTGTAATCAATTGCTATTTGCTCATTCTTTAGCTCCCTTACTTTCCCGACGTTAAAGGCCTTTGGGATAACTCACACTCATCAACGACTCCTTTACTCATAAGCCCGTCTATCATAGGAATTTTTCTCGTCGAGACAGTGGTGATGACTTTCTCAGCGCCGTAAGAATTTTTCGCCATTTGCACAGCCGCCGAGCCCACCCCACTAACTTTACGGAAACACGACAAAGTCAGCTCTCTGTTTAAGTTTCGGGCCATGAGAAGAAGGAAAAGCACTTACGACCCGCTGGAATAAAGACCGTTTTCCCTTGCACGCCCCCAGGGACTTTATCCAACATTTGAAGCGCCGTAAGAGCAACCATCGGGATCGAAGCCGCCTCCATAAAGTTCAGGTTCCTAGGTTTAGAAACTACAAGCGTTTCTGCGAGTAGCGCATATTCGGAAACTGCACCAGTACCGTACTTTCCTGATTTCACTTTAGTTTGTTTTCTTGGTAAGGGAGAAGAAAAGGGAAGGCGGGGGCTTTTCAAGGGGTGAAGGGAGCAAACCTCTATCCTTAAACGGCAAGCAGCAAAACACCTCATCGCCAACATTGAACTTGGTAACCTCACTCCCTCTCTCTACAACTGTCCCAGCGAGATCATAACCAATCTTGTACGGCAGACTTCTTATGGTCAGCTTTTTGCAATTAGTATGCCATGTATTCCTCCAAGCTCCCCTTGTTCTTCACTCGCATGAGATAAAGAGAACTCACGGCACGTTAAAAGCAGGCCAATATTTCCCCCTGGCAGCCCCAATATCAGTCGGATTTATAGCCGCAGCATGAACCTTCACCAAGACCTCGTCACCTCTTGTGATCTTCGGCGTGGGCAGATCTGCAATCTCCCATTTAGAAGGGGTTCCGAAACGGCGGATACAGAGGGAGCGCATTGTTTTTGGGATTGAGATAGCCATGTTGGGCTAAGGTCGCTCGCTGAGCAATTGATTGTCTCGATAAAAGTGTGAAGCTATCTTAGTAGAAGCCAGGCTTAAATGTAGGTGCGAATGGGATGTGTTTCGAATTCAATGCCGGGTCAATGTTAGGCCGTACACGGAAATTCGGAATATTACTATATTACAGCCAATGAACTTCAGATACTTCTTCCATTCTAGTATGTAAATAATATATCACAAATAAATTGCTTCCAAGAAGTTGATCCTAGCCTGAGATGCTTAATGTGTTAATCAACTGCCAAAAGAGATATCTCAGACACGTGATCTTGAATAACAAATCACACAAAATGGTGAGTGTCACGTGACCCACCTCGATGTCTTCCACCAGCGCCGCTCATGTACTGAACATTTTCCACGCCCCATTGGGAAATTGTACTAGAATTTTAAATAGCATGCTAGACTAAGGATATATCTTGTTTCCTATTCAAGCTCAAGGAAGCGTCCTATCATAAAGTCTGACTTGCAACAATCTATAATGTACCAATCAAAATAAGTATACTTCTAATCAATTTAGTCAAGATAATCCGTATCTAAAAGTGCGACTTGCAATAATATCTTCTATCAAGCCAACGACGCCGACCTTATCCCATCGCCAGCAAGTACATCAACACCAAAGAGCACGAAAAGCAACATAATAATTGCATTCAAGATTTAATGAAGATCAGATACACAATAAAGCCGAATAAGAAAAGGAAGACATGTACACAGATACTTCAATGCACGTATTTCCTAGAAACTCAAATCGTCACTAGAATGGAAGGAGTGTTAGGGAGCGCTGATGATGGCTCTATAGTGCAGCGCAAGACCTGCGATGCCGAGAGAGGCTTCGATGGAATTTGTTAAGTTGGAACTGGAGGACGTGAAGCAGAGTGGACGTATAGTGACAATCGATCGTGCAATTGATCTGGAAAGTATATCGGTTGGAGGTGAGTGTACGCAGAGCAGATACCTGTCTATGTTAGATAAGAGCAGTCGATTGTAATCGTAAAATTTATCATTTTTGCCCAAGTAGTGTGAGGAAGCAGAAGGATGATCAGTCTTTCCAAAAGAAACAATGTACCGATATAGATGCTGCAAGTTTAAAACGAGGAATTGGAATCTAATTAAGAGTAGGGTCTACTCTATTGCATCCTTCCCTTAATCGACCTTAATCGAGGTAGTAATTCCAAAAATACAGTTTTTAATCAATCTAGCCAAGTTATTTCCTTATCTAAAATTGCGACTTGCAACAAAAGCCCCTTTCGGTAGGTAGTTGCTAGTATCTTATCTAGAAATGCAAAGAGCTCTCTGTCTTATCAAACTATTACCGAGAGCTATTAGGATCAAGCTCAATAACTCCGATTGGCAATAGAATCCGAGGAAAAGAAACCCATTTTCCCGGCTCAGGCGTGAGGATTTGACGCGTGCACATAATGATATCAAAAGAGATGAACGCCGGTTATACGAAGACAATTGCACTTGCAGTAAAGCTGTATAAGCGACAGACTCGAGACCAAGGTGGAAAAGGCCAGGAGATGGTTAGAAAATTCAAGTTAACTTTTATTCTTAATCGGATGTATGCTCAATACTCTGAATACGCCCCTGTCCGCATAAAAGTCAAAGTCGAGACATATTTCATCCATCCGGTCCTTATCTACTCCGCACTCCAGCCCATCATTGCGATCGCTTCAAATCCAACTTTCTCATGTCGGCCTGCCGTTATACAAAGAGTATAATACCGAGCCACTTTAGCTCAGGGGCTTGTGCAGGCCCACATTGAGAGAGGGAGAGGAACGAACGCGAAAAGTATTAATCTGACATTACTGGCGCCTGCCATTCCGCTAATGAATGGGTAATGGCCGCCAGTCGGTTTTTACGTGAGGAAATGGAACATGCAACGTAACGTGACGAGGTGGTGGTGGTACAGGCGTCTGTCGAAGCTCGCAGGGCTTTAACGAGACGCAAAGGGTGTCCAAAATGAGGTTGGTAACAAGGAAAGGTCGTTAAGATTGGTATCATAAGAGAGGTGCAAAGAGAATCCCGCCGCCGCCACCGCCTACGCTTCGATACCAATTCGACCGGTCTGGCCAATTGCAGCTAGGTAACGGATTGAGGAGTAGACGACTCGCTATCACCAACCATATCCGCGACACGCATCTTCTTTGCAGGTGGTCCTCCCTCGCGTAGGTCATTGAGCTCCCGAGTTCGTTCGTTCAATTCGCGCTCTACATCGTCGAGACGACGTTTGAGCTGATTCTCGCGTCGTTGTGACTCCTCGAGTCGCTGCAACGCGCCGAATTCACCCTCGCGGCGCATCTCTTCGCCTCTCCTAGCATTCGCTTCATCTTGCTCCAGCTGAGTGACTCGACCCTCGAAAAACCCATTGATGACCTCCAGCTCGCTAACCCGAGTCTTGAGTGCGGCGTTCGACGCGATAAGTTGCTCATGTGTCTGAGGCGGCTCAAGTTGTCCACCATTTAATGGCGAAGCAGAGCGACCTGGTGATGGCTGGCGGATGTGCATGGGAGGAAGGGAGGGTGATTGATGATTGTTGTAGGGGTCTTCGATGCTGTGGCCGTTGTGGGCGCTGAAGGTCCCGAGGTGATTTGGATACATCGATGGGGTCGCAGTTCTCGAGATAGGGGAGTTCGAGCCATCAGAGTGACCATTCGCAGATTTTTGAGACGTGCGACGATGGCCAGGAGGAGTGCCAGCCTGCGATCGCGCGGGTTCGAAAGATATCCCATTGTTGTCGAAGAGCTGCGACCACGGCGCGTCAGTAATTGGCAAGCGATAAATTGGCAGGATAGAGACTGACCTTCTTCTTCGTAGCTTGTCCTGCGCCAGAACTACTTTTGACGCGGTTGCGACTCTTAATAACATCTGTCTTCAGGCTTATCGGCCTTGGACGACCGTGCAGTTTGAGGAAGAGGCCACAGGCATTACACAAAACAGAACCAATTTCGTCACGCCGCCAGAGCGGCGTGGTTGAGGTGGTGCAATTCTGGCAGGTGGGCTGTTGGGTTTCACGATCATTGTTAGCCAGTCATCTGG